CTTTACTTATTCAAAATTGAATATTTTTTATTCGAGTTGAATAGTTCGAATATTTTTTACGAATACCGAATAGTCGAATAATTTTTTTATACACAACCGGGGTCCAAAACGTCGGAGGTCGATACTTCCTTCGGAATTAAAAGATACGTGGAAAAGTCGGCAACAAAGCGTTTTTTTTACTAGTTAAATTAATCATAATCGCTATTTTTTTTTGTCACGGCGCTCGCTTCGACGGCGATTCCCTAAAGTTGGTAATCTCTATTCCCACGCTTTCTTTTTTTGGGGATATTAATTCTTGCGGGTCGGCGAATATCGAAGTTTTATATTTCAGGTATACTCGTGTGTTCACATCGACAACAGCTGTTAGACATAAAGGACTGATTTCAAAACCCAAATTAATTTTATTCTGATTTTTATCTTTTGCGTTGGCTTTGATCTCACTTACCACCGTTTGCAAATTAACCGTTCCACTAATATTATTATCGACACCGGGATATTATCAGATAGGTAAACCTTGCAAATATGCGATTGCGTGAATCCTGAATGTTGATTCAAAATAGTGATTGAATAAATTGGCAAGAAAAGCATTTATACGTGATTATAAGACTTTAGTGCCTAATAGAGGATCAGACTCAATTATACCTGATTCCCTCAAGTTTTGACTTGTTTTTAACAATACCCCGACGGTTATTATAGTTAAATTCGTTACCGAGTAATTCACAATTTTATTTACGGAATTTGCAATTTCAGCACCTCACTTGACGATTTTGATGTCAAGCCCTAATTATTACTGCTAAAATGCTTCAAAATACAACAAATGTAATCACTTTCGACGATAACAGGCGCAACAATTCGTAAACAAGCCAGCGTGCGTTGTTATAACGAAATTCGCGCTTGATTTTACTTCTCTCTTGTTTACAATTTTAATATTCCACCGACCCTGTATGGTCGAATAAAATGTCAAATGGAAGGGATCACTAGAGAGTTAATAGAAAGTACAGTGTATAAAGGGAGTATGGCCTGTCATTTCTTATCTGGCTACAACTTAAAAATTGTTTTCATACCAGTTACTGATACCAGCTCTGGGAAAAACGTTGACTAGTCATTTTCGCACCGATGTTATTTATCGACGTTAGACGCAAAAAGAAATCAAATAACACCACAACGCAAAGTAAATACTGTAATATTTGATTCGGTTTTCGAATATTTTGCCCAGTCCTATATGCGAGGGCATGGTATTAATGCCCAGAACATTTGTGAGCATATGGACTGGGAGGAAATATTTTGCACCCGGCTGTTGGTTTGCGGAACAACGATTCGCTAAAGTTAATTGATCGAATACAGAGGAAGTATTTATTTATCATCTCACTGGCGAACATCGGGGTTTTGGCGGAATTGTACGATCATGTTGTCTTCCTTAAAAAAAAAAAACTTTTTCAATAAATGTCTATTTTACTTTTGCGTCTTAATTATGATATGTAGGGTTTTCATTTATTTCTAATTCGAAATTGTCCGAAATACTCCAACAGGTGTATTGGCAGTGGCGCAGCCAGGGGGGGGGGGGGTTCGGGGTCGAAACCCCCCTCCTTTTAAATTTTCTGAAAAGTGAAAAAGTTGCCGATAACACGTGCAATTGCCTTCTGCTAAAATCGCCGCTCGTTTTCATCAACGCGGCATGTTATTTATGCCGTGAACGCACTTTACATTGGTGTTTATTCTCTTTAAATCACAAATTTGTGCCGCGGGAACAAAGATAATTATTTTATTTTTGTACCCGCACGGAAATGTGAAAACTGAAAAAGCGTGCAATTAATTGCCTTCTGCTGAAATCGCCCATGTTTTCATCAGCGTGTTATTTAGGCCGTAAACGCCTTACGTCGGTTTTTATTCTTTCTAAATCATAAATTTGTGCCACGATAAACATGATAATTATTTTATTTTTGTACTTTGCACGGAATTGTGAATTATTATACCTTCATCGGTGGCGAGGTTCTAAAGACAAAAGAAGGAGCAAAACCGCGATCTAAATCTGATTGAAAAGCGGCATTATAAAATACTGAAAATAAAACCGTAATCTCAAATTTGTCGAATTTGCAAAATAGAAAAAATACGGATCAAAACAATATATGATAGGCGACGGGCATTTTTTACCACAACCACAAATTTTTATTTTATATTTTATTTACCACAAATTTTTATTTTTATGTCGCAAACGCAAACGACACAAACGCTGGTTAAATTGAAGACAATTAAATTAATAAAGCAATTTAAGACATTTTAAATATGCCCTTATCGGTCACGAATTGATTACTTTGCACAACAGAAAAATCATTTTTCGTTGTAAACGTCGGCTCTTTTAACAAGTGGCGTAATCGCGGCGATTAATATGTATTTTTAATTTAACGATATATATACTTCAAATGCATTTTCATTGCACGAAATAAAATTGCACTTTTCGGGATTTTATATCAGTTATTGAGATTTTTCTAACGGCGATAACGAGTTGGTAAGATTCCAAAAATACGTATTAAAATTAAATACACCGTTTATCTCATATTTTTATGTCCACCGATCGCCGTGGCATTTCAGAAAACTAATATTTTAATTTTGACGTAAGAAGAAGCAACCGCGAGTTACGTTGGACAAAATTAAACTAATATATAAAGACATTTTGGAATTTTGTAGTTGTCAGAGATTGAATATTTCACGCCACAAGAATAATCATTATACGCTGAAAAGACGTCCCTTTAACGAGCGCGTAATGCGAAGACTGTTACAGACGCAATGGAAATTTATGATTATGAAACCCCCCCTTTTGAAAATCCTGGCTGCGCGCCTGTGTATAGGTATAATAATAATAATAGTATAGTGTAATCGAGTAACCAACTTAGCAATGGGAAGTTTAATACACATGATGTTTTGAGGGCGTCGTAGCCCCCGTTTTTTTTAGTTTGATTGTTCTATTGCTTCAACGTCTTCGTCGTAACATTATCTTCTGCTTAAAGAAAGAACAACGTCGTTTTACAGTCATCTAACGTAACTATCCCGACGAAATCTTTTCTGTTTTGTATGGCATCGCCTTGGCGCAATTTATTGCCGGCTGAATTTTAATTGTTTTAGGATAAGTTATTTTTTGTTTGTTGGTTTCTAAACTTTACAAACTCGGGACGCAATTACTATTAAAAATATCAGTAATGTTGCACGGAATAACGAATCTGATTTTATTGAAACACACAAATAAGAGTTTTTCATTTCATGCACAACTAACCGATGCTACATGTGAGATTTGTGCACATGAACGATTGAATATCCGGAATGGATGTCTGATATCTGAGAATGCGTACTTCCCTTTCAACATTATTTTAAGGATATCAGCGTTTCATGCGGTTAATGCGGTTAAAATTATTTATCAAATGGATTGGTTTTTCGAGACACTCTCAAAATTATTTGGGAACCACTATCATATCGTTCGTTTATTTTTTATATTCAAATTTTTTTCGAGAATCACCCTCGTTGTATTTGTGTACCTTCGCAAAAGAAAACTCTTTGGTGTCATCGTTCCTATTAGTGTAAGTGTAATCCGAATATTTCATACTAGGTCAGCAGCATTACAAAGAGTGCTATTTATGAATGCTGAAAGTAAATGGCATTCCAGAAAATATTGCCAATATATGATGTTTTTTGCTGGATTTAAACTAACTCGCACGAAGGCACGCCGACTTTTGAAAATTACATGTCTTTGCATAAGTTCTGAGATAGTATACTATAAATGTAAATGAAAAATTAGGTCAAGATAGTTCATGAGAAGGGGAAGTATTTTCAAAGTGATCATCTCTTTAATGGGGAGAGGAGGGACTAATTCCATGCATATTCTCCCGGATGCGTGTTATACTAAAGCGATATCAGTGACGGGGATGTTAATTCGCACGTGCTTTGTACAAATGACCCCTCTCCCTAGCTATGGCGGTAGTAACTTATATCGATTCCTGCCTGCATGTATCAATCCTTGTCTCATGTTAAATGGAAGGAGTAACACAAATGTGCAAGGCTTTCCTGTTCAGGCGAAGGAGTACGCTTCCCCTTCGCAGCTGACAGGGGTGGTTGGTAGCACAAAAGTTTTGTTCGGGACAGGTGTGCTTAGCAGGTGTCCTTATGTTACCGATGAATTCCCTTGTTTTATACAAGGATTTAAGCGGATTTAAGCGAAACATTCCGTTAAAGGAAAAACTCCTCTTTTCAATTAGTAATATTAACGGAAGGAGCGTTTTTACCAGTATCTATGCTGCTTTTTTAAATGAGTTAAACAAAAGCTAGGGCATCTAACTTGTTTAAATTGAAAAAAGCACTTACCGGTAAGCACTTTTTTTCAACGGCAAGCACTTTCTCGTTCATAATTTCCTTAGAGTTAACACTGACTAGGGAATTAACTAATATGATTTAAATTGACAGAAATCTTTATGAATCAGCAAAGCCTGCCTGATTTCTTACAACTTTGATTGAGATTATGATTTAAAGCCGGCCACTAGACTAACCAGGCAAATTTGTAACTTCAATAAAGTCACGCTGCTGCTGACCCCTAAGTTGGACCACCACTACGTATGAACTTTGATTTAAGGGAAGTTATTTTTAGTTGTACTAAATTGTACAGTTCTATCAAATACATTGTTAGAAAGGTTGCTGTATGTTATTAATAACAGGAATAAACCTTAAGTATTTGAAAAACATTTGAAATAACCTGGTACAATTCAAACTGCTGACTTATTTATAGTAAATATACTGTGTGAGCCCAAAAGAGATCACAGATCACAGAGAAAATAACTTTGTGCAAAGTGTCCTAGATTTCTAAACTTTCGGTACAAATATCGAAAAATCGGCAGCAGTAATCGAAAAATTAAATAAATTTTCTTCATTTTCGTAGGAGTAGCCTAATTACTAAATGGGTTCTGTTTTTTTGGGTAACCCTGTATATATAATTAACAAAAACCATTCTGTGAATGTACCTTGAGTGCCGAGAAACTCCATATGGAGATGTTCAAGTCCGCTGGTGATTGAAATTGACAATTTAAAAAGTCCGGCTTGGTCAACTTGGGTTCTTTCCAAGTAATCAAACAAGGATCCATTCTCATGATATTCCGTAAGTAACCATAATTCAGTCCATGTTCCTACATCTATAAGTATAAAATAATTGGAAAATAAATGTCAGAATATGGTTATTGGGGCGTTTCCGTGCACTTTTCATATATCAAAGCTTACCTTTGAACAAACTTGCATATTACAATACAAATAATATTGTATCAGCAATGGACAAGAAAAAAAAATTCGAAAAAAAAACAGTTAAAATTTGAATTTCATAAAAAGTGACAGATTTTATTTAAAATTAGGCTATTAGATTTTTCAGTACAGTTTGCAAATTTTGGGGCTTGTGTTTTAGCAAACTTGCTTAAAACAAACTATATAAAAGTACTGGGAAAAAAAGTTCTTGTACTTCTAAAATTTAAATTTAATTCACACTGAATCCTTCAAAAAACTGATACGTGATCATTCACAATTTTTCCACTTCTTTCTCTTTCAAGTCAAGTTATAATATTTTTACCTTTGTTATCAGCAGCAATAAATCCGAGCACATTCTCATGTCTAAGCATAACTGTTTGATAAATCTCCGCTTCTCTAAACCAAGATCTCTCATCACGAGAAGAAAATTTTTTCACAGCTACATTTTCATCCCCTCTCCATTTTCCTCGGTAAACCTCCCCATATCTGCAAATCGAGCATGAACAAATAATAAAACGAAGAATTTAAAATATATGAAAGGCAAATTAGTATTTTATATGGAATTAACCATCCATCTTTATGAGACTCACCGTCCCTTTCCAATGACTTCTTGTAACTGAACTTGTCTGGCTATTGTCCTCTGGACCAGTAAAGGCTGGCCAGCTCCAGAACCGCTTGACCAATCGTCAAATTCTGAAGAAACTGTTGGGAATGACCATCAAGTTTTCAACAAAAATAATCAATCAGTAAGTAAAAGAGACCTAATCAAACAGCTAAATCAGTAATTTGGCCAAACTAGTATAATTGGTACCGCAGAACCAAATTAGCTGATGTGTTTTTTAGAGTTATCAGAAAATTGAATTTTTGTAAAAATTTAGTTCTACCAGCATAACCTAAAAACTAAAACTGATAGGCCAACTGCTTTAAAATCCAGATCAAAAGGAATGACCATCAAGTTTTCAACAAAAATAATCAATCAGTAAGTAAAAGAGACCTAATCAAACAGCTAAATCAGTAATTTGGCCAAACTAGTATAATTGGTACCGCAGAACCAAATTAGCTGATGTGTTTTTTAGAGTTATCAGAAAATTGAATTTTGTAAAAATTTAGTTCTACCAGCATAACCTAAAAACTAAAACTGATAGGCCAACTGCTTTAAAATCCAGATCAAAAGGAATGACCATCAAGTTTTCAACAAAAATAATCAATCAGTAAGTAAAAGAGACCTAATCAAACAGCTAAATCAGTAATTTGGCCAAACTAGTATAATTGGTACCGCAGAACCAAATTAGCTGATGTGTTTTTTAGAGTTATCAGAAAATTGAATTTTTGTAAAAATTTAGTTCTACCAGCATAACCTAAAAACTAAAACTGATAGGCCAACTGCTTTAAAATCCAGATCAAAAGATAGCTCCTGGTCCAGAAAACCAAAAAGGTCCATTTTTAAAAAATGGGAGATAAGGAACTACGGATTTACTGCGACATATTGTGCATTTATTTGTAGACTTTGACATGTGTTACTGTAAGATAACTATAAATCTAGGGATGCATTCGAGATCATTATCTTTGTTTTTAAATTTCATTTAAATATATATCTATATTGCAGCATTAATGTGAGACGAATAGGAAGTTTCTTTTAAAATATTTCACTTAGCTACCAATCAACAGACAGGCTTGTGGGACCTACTGTGCATTTCAGTATATATTATTGAAGGCAAATTCAGAATTAACCTTGCTATCATAATTCAACAAAACAGAAATATTAAGAGCTCATTACCTTTATTGTCAGTGACATAACCCTCCTTTATGGACAAAGATGAACCGTTACTTCCACTACTACTTAGAGGATCTTTAATCGTACTTCTTCTTTTTACGAGAACAAAGATTACAACCACTAATATCAACAAAATACCAGCTATACCTAAGAAGAGATTAAACTGCATCAAACATCAATCTTAGAAGTTAGAAGCGAAAAAAAAACACTGCATCTGGAGGCAAATGCCATATAATGTCCTAATATGAAACTAAAGCATTTCAATGTAACTGACTGTTTTCTGCTTTCCAGTTTTTCAATTCAATTTACTTTATTAAACAAAAATTCTTCTCTTTCGAGTGATATTTCAGCCAAATAATTCTGGTCTTAAAAGTCAAGGATCAAATTTGGTACATTGGCAGAAAAAATCTAGTATATAAAAGAACTGTAAAATTATCAGGTAAAATAATTAAAAAATGCTTACTTGAAATGATTGTAGCTTGATGTGAAGAAGTTAATCCGGATTTTTCTGGAACTAAAAATACAGATATATAAATAATGAAAAAAGGAGATTAAAATAAAAAGAGCTTAGGCTTAGATGTATGAATATGGGAGTTATGGCATTGATGCCTGTACATAACTGAGTATTGAATTTGTTGAAAAGATCCACTGGCGTAGGTGGCAAGCATGAAAACATGAAAAAAAAGTGATTCCCATTAACAATTATTATTGAAATATAACACCAAAATTTTGGGTGACATATTGGAACTTAGAGGAAAGTTGTCCATCTTCAAGTAATGAAAATTTTCAGTCATGGAGTAAAGCGATTTTTTCACAAAGACTAGAATTTAGAAAAACGATCATGTCCAAAAACAAAAATAACAAAATTTCCACAGATTACCCACCAGTAGTCTCAGGAGGTGGCAAAAATATAGGTTCTCCGTTACAATAATCTTCATCATTGCAACATGTTTGTACAAGATATTCACTCGTAGATGGTTTACAAACAAAAGGACTAGAACGTAAAGTTCCTTCTGTAAAACACCCATAAGATTCATAGATCTGAAATAAGAATTAGAAAAATGAAAACTTCAAATACAATATACAAAATAAAATAATACATGATATATGGGAAAAAGAGTCAGAAACGAACGACATAGTTGAAATAAAAGACTTTAGTCATAACAACAATGCTCTTTTGGTGTTTCTTTACTTTCCAGTAAATTCTTTGGAGATTATTTCAAACAAACATCCCAAAATCTAAATATCTTCAAATATTGTTTTTCAACTAGTGAATTGATTATCTTTTTCTTCAGATGATATTTTAGTATTTTTCAATTTGGATTCAAAACTTTCCAAACAGTAAAAATCCGTTATTTCACGATTCAGTGTGAACAGTTTTTTTTTCAATATCAATTGTCAAAATATAACGTACATTTCCACTATCTGGCATTTTCTGAATATGATGATAACATTGTCCTTTTCCTTCTACAGTACATGTATCACTTGAACAGAATGGATTTGGCTTGTTGCCTCCACAATGACAATGTAGCTCTGAAATAAGTAATAAATTATTATTTCAAATGAAAACTCCTAAGAAGTAATTAGTATCAGTATAAATATCCAAACCTGTCAGGTATTTTCGAAAAACATACTAATATTTCAATATTAAAATCTTAGTGAACAAGTTGTAATAAGGACAGCTTTAACTTTAACTCAATCCAACATTCCAGTATATCGGTATGTAGCTAGTTATGACAATGCTAGTACGCCATTAATGACATGGTTATGCAAATGAGCTATTGTTATAACTTATGAGTGCCTCTCGGTTCTTCTATTTAGATTACTAACCTGCTTGTGTGTGATGTATATGAAAGCAGATATAAAAAACTACAAAAGTAAAACTTTTCATCTTCATATTTGATAAATTTCTAAAAACTAAATTGATAAAAAAATTGAGCATCAAAAAACATAGCAGCAAATTAAAATCGTATGGTACAGTTCTCCGATTCTAAGAATGGCCCCCACATCAAAAGACATGGTCGCGATTGATTTAATGGCGGAAACACTATTTTTTCGCTCACGTATCATTTGTCTCCTTTTGACATCGTAAGTCAGGCGGTGGGTGCTTATTTTGTGCGAGAGGAAGTAAATCTCTTAGAGCAGTAATTTCTATCACTGGTGTTTCTTCTGGGACATTTAAACACCAAACCGTAGTAGTCTACCGATGATATATTGGTTAATGCCGTCACTCAGAACAAAAATAGGGCGTGATTCCGCGCCGACCGCGTCTTCTCTGGCTAAAAATATCGATCTAGTGGATATTTTTACACTTAAAACAGTACGTGCATTGACTTCGTGATTGTTTGCCCAAAATAAAGAAATACGTCGTTATTCGCGTCTTTGCCCTTAGCATATAATAATGGATCAGGTCGTCGTCGTTTGTGCACCTAAGTCCGTCGCATAGCTGCAGGGCCGTTGAAGAGTTAAATTATTATGGAGAAGAGCATGGCACAATCACACGCATCTGCTGTCATGGCAGACGCCCTCGTTTCAGAGACAAATAGAGTGTTTGAGTGAACATCTTGGAATTGGAAAAATGTTCCTTACTGCAGTACTGAAAATTAAATCATGATACAGTCCAAAATCAGTATATAAAAGTAATTCCCAAAACTGGGGTCTCGATGTAGATTCGTACCTAACATACTTCTAGTGGGAGTAGCATGACAAATTTTTTCACGTATCAATCCTAACCAACCCCCACCTAACTACACCATCCAAAAATGACGTCATTACGACGTCACAGTGACGTAATAGAGCCCCCTAAAAATATACGAACTGCCATCCAAGACGCGCAAACAAGCACCCGAAATCGAACAGTTATTTCTTTCGTTTTCTCGTCGCAACGATTCCAATAGGAGAGAGATCGATAATGTCAGTCAGTTCTTTATCGTCGGCGCCAATGCCATTTCGGTCGATCGTGCGTATATTTGGCAACCTCTATGACGTGATTGTGATGTCGTAGTTATTTAATTTTTGGATGGCGTAGTCATACAGTCATATGGGGGTTAGGATTGACATATCAAAAAATTGTTATGCTATGCCCACTAGAAGTACGTTAGGTACGAAACTACACGAGACCCCAAAACTGCAGCTATCATGTTTTGCCTAAAACAATAAATATAGTAAGTCTGTGTACAGATATAGGCTATTAAATTCACCCCCACAGTTCTGCAGTTCCTGACTCTGGCCCTTCGTTTCTCCGAATATTTTTTTCTGTTTACTGGTTTAGGTGAGGATTGAAAAAATAACAATAACACACGTCTTCTGTCGTAATTGCTAATTAAACTAGTTAGATATTAATCTGACTACAAACAGAATATATAATAGGTTGCTTGTTCAAGTTGAGATGTCTGTTAATTTTGATATAACAGCAAGGATCTAGACAATTGCCTGTATAGATTTGATTTCCTTCGATAAATATATTACGATAAATCAAATAAACCAACTTACAATTCCAAGTTACTATTCTTAACAGTTGATTGGTAGAGATCATCAGATTATTAAGAATGCTTGACGATAATGACCTCCTTGTATGTTTAAGATCGTATTTTAAGGTGTACAACAATTTTATTTCACTCGTCCAAAATGGTCTGTTTCTTTATTATCCTAATACATTTGGTTCCACGATGTAAGATTTTACTCCTCGATTGTTCGAGACCGTTACACAGATTATTCATGTAAAACATATCACACGGGAATTATTCGCTATTTTGCATGTTATGTTGAAATATCATATAGGAGTGTTCTAGAATATTCTCCAATATTTATGACTCGAGAACTATATTTAGTCTTGATGTTTTTATTTCCAAAATTATTAGTTAATTTGTTACACATTCAAGAGACCACTTGCGAAATATTTAAACAGGACATACTAAAATTAACCGATAATTGTATAAGTCTTAAAATCCCTTGAAATATAAGGATAAATTTGAAAATATTATGTCATTAATGCACAAATGTCCAAATTTAAAATCTCAAAATATTGAAAATAATAATTGAAATGTCAATGTAATACAAGTTAAAAACTGTTTGATGTAAATAAGCAATGATATAAGACTCAAAACAGCAAGATACGGTAACGATTAACTTATGTCACTTAAACTGCAATTGAAAGAATTATATACAATTAGTAAGACAATAAAATAGAAAAAGAAATAATGACATCAAGACTAAAAACAATTCTTTAAGTCATAAATATTGGAGAATATTCTAGAACATTCCATTATTTGAATAGTCGGGTATGGAATTATTAAGCCAATTTTTTTCAGAATATTAAAAGGTTTTAAACATACTGACATACGGTACGGTAACGGTAGTAGTTACGGTACGGTACCGTACTGCCGTAACTGACTGACTCTGATGACCGCATGCAGGCATGGTCGTATTGCAGTATTGTCAGTACCGGTAACGGTACCGGTATCATTGTCAAATGTCAGCCAGGCCGTACCGCCATAATACTGTAATACATGTAATAATATAACAAAACTTCACTTTCTTGAAGAAATACCGGTACGGTACCAGGACGGTACGGGTAGACTATTCCATCTCGCAATTGAGACTTGCGTACCGGTACCGGTATTGCTAACAAACGCATGTCGCACTCAAGCCTGCGTGGGCCAAAACGTCAGTGAGCCACTGATAATGATATGTCAGTATGTGCCAGTACCGGTACCGGTACCGGTACCTATTTAACTTGAATCAATATGCGGATAATGATGCTGAATGAGGACAAGCACCTCATTCGAGGCCATCGTAGTTTCAGTGCAGTAACGTTACCGGTAACTATATCAAATTAGCATGTTTACTAGTCTAGCGAACAAAGCCTAAACAAACAGACAAATGAACAACCAAACTTTTTTTTTTTTTTTGCCAAATAGAATTCCAGTGCCAATATGAAATTCAATTATTTATAAAATTTTTGTCCAAATGAAAGTGAATTAATATTATTTATGTGTATTTCCAATTTTGGTTACAGTAATTGATATCGGAATACAATCGCATGGTTTGAATTCCGTTTAAATGAAGAAAAGTCATTTTACAATTTAAATATACAATACCCATACATTTACATTCGCATATTCAATATCAGCAATTCATTGTTTGTAGTTCCAATTGATTTAGTTGATTGTTGTCCCAATTGTCATCATCGTGAATGTTATTAAATTTATTTTATATTAGCATGGAAAAGCAAAATTTATAAATATTAGACAGCAAATTTGAACACCTATCATGCTAATAGGATTTTCCTATTTCCTGTCCAAGTTATTATTCAACTCTAACATAAAAAATTATCCATCAGACACCCAAATAAACATATCATATAGAAAATACAACAATTTATGCTATGTAAACCAAATATTTCTCAATCATTATAGATTTATGAGTAGGTTATCCACTATTCCTTCATTGAGAAGATCTTGTCTATCAACATCAGACATTAATTTAATAACGCCCAGAATCTTACATTTTAAAATAGCACGTATATCACATTGCATCTGATATATATTGTCATATTTTACTTTATTCCTATATTCCCATATGGCTGACTTTCCACAATGGGTTATTAACAGTTTAGCATCACTTTGAAAATTATTAGAAATAATTTTCTCCCTATTCCATTCTATGTTACTCCATTCCAAAAGTCGATTACCCACTCACAATTACAAAATAAGTGCATACATGTTTCCTCATATCTATTACACAATACACATAATCCATTTTCATTGTTAAACCAATGTTTCAATTTATCACCCGTTGGTAACCCATTATGAGAAATTTTCCAGCTCAAGATTTTATACTTGTTAGGTATTTTGCATTTCCAAATATTCATCCAATTAATTGGTATATTCAAATTATATTTTTGTGCTACATGAATGTCATGTCGTGTAGCAATTTCTCTAATTTTCATACTTTTTAGTAAGTTACTTATTTTTTTTGTAGTTAATTCTTCAGAACCAACATATCTATAAATTTCAGGTCTATTTTCCTCTATATTATGGTTATTTGCTAAGATCTCTTTCCAATTCAAAGGTAATCTGTTCCAAACTTGTTGACTTTCGTTGGAAAATTTATTTAAATAATATTGTCTTCTTCGGCTATCCCTAATTTGAGAAATGGAGTATATCCTACTTGCCAATGTATAAGGAGTATTATTTAAAACATCTGCCACCGAAATGACCTTTGCTTGGATCCATTTAGTTGAGAAATGAAAATTTTGATCAGGAATTAAAGGATTATACCACAATATTTCATTTTTAACCTCATTTGCATATAATGGATGACTTCTTTCTAGTTGAATATCTTTGAATGAGTTAATTATAGAAGTATAGAAAGTTGGGATTGCTGTTATTTTTTCAAATCTTACATTTAAATACAAGCATTCTAATTTATCATGAGTCAAGATATCACAATATTTGTTAATGAAATAACTAGCTCTCTGGCTCCATGGCCTATTCTCTTGATTGAGTAATTTAAATATCCATTTGATCTGAATGGCCTTTAATTGACTTCTGAGGTCCATCATATTTAGACCACCAGATGTAAAGCTACCAGATACAATTTGTCTACCCACTAACTGGGGTTTATTGTGCCAAATGAATTTCCAAATGATGGATTCTAATTTTTTAATAAATGTTTCAGGCATAATTTCATAGTTAGCAATGTGCCACACTTTGGATAACATTAACGCTTTCACTATTAGACATTTTCCTATCATAGTTAAATTCCTACCCTGCCACAAATTTATTACACTTTGTATAGAATTAGTTATTTTTATCCAGTTTTTATCTCGTGATATGATACTATTTCCTATGAATGTTCCTAAAATTTTTAGTTCCTGTGTGATTTGGATACCTTTATATGTGGATCCTATATTCCAATGTTTAGCTGACCCGCACAACATGATATTACACTTAGAAATGTTTATTTTCAACCCTGTAGCTTTTTCAAAAATTTTCATCAAATCCAATACTGCATCTAATGATCTTAAATTTTCTACTGTTACTATGGTGTCGTCAGCAAATCCCTTATATACTTCCCTTGTTCCTGTGCAATTTTTAAAACCTTCAATTCTACTATTACATCTGATATTGCAGGCTAATAGTTCAGCCATTATTAAATATAATAGAGGCGCAAGTGGACAACCTTGTCTAACTCCACGCTCTACATAAAATTCCTTTGACATGAAACCATTTGTTATAATTTTTGCCCTTGTGTTATTAAGAAGAGTATAAACCCATTTTATGAAAAAGTTTCCAAAATTTAGTTTTTTTAATAATTTGAATAACAAAGATCGGTCAACAGTATCATATGCTTTTTCTTGGTCAATAGTAAATATTATTAAAGGTTGATTTTGTTTGTTTGCCCAAAAAATATCGTCCCTAATAGTTAACAAGTTTTCATGAATTACCCTTCCTTCAATAAAGCCAGTTTGATCACTATTAATTATATGGGGTAACACTTTTTTCATTCTTATGGCCAGAATTTTCGCAATTAGTTTATATTCAAAATTTAGTAATGTGATTGGTCTCCAATTTTTCAAATCATTCTTGTCATCTTTTTTATATATTAAAGTAATTAGGCCTAGATTTGTGTTGTGTGACAACATCAACTGTTTATGGTAGCTATTGTATAGCAATAATAAAATTGGGCGCAAATATTTCGAAAACTTTACATAAAATTCACACGTGAGACCATCCAAGCCAGGGGACTTATTCTGTTTCATTAATTTCAAAGCACTGTCTATTTCTTCTCCTGTTAATTTACTATCTAAATCTAGTTTCTGATTATTCGATAATCGTTGGTGAAATTATTTATGAGTGTATCTTGGCAATCTATGTCTAAATTTTCATTTTTTTCATAAAGCTTAGTATAATATTTGACTTGTTCGTTTTGAATTTCAGCACAAGAAAAAACCAAATTACCATCAGATTTTTTTAATGATTTAAAAATTTTTGTTCTACCTCTAGATTTTTCTAGATTCAGAAAATACTTGCTGGATTTTTCCCCTTCTTCTGCCCATTTAATTCTGGCTCTGATCATGGCACCTTTTGCTTTTTGTTTGTAATATTCTTTAATTTCCTGTTCTGTATTTTCTAGAGTTTCTAAAGTTTCCTCATCCTCTATATTATTTTGCATCTCCATATAAGCTTCTCTATATTGACCTAATAATCTGTTTTCGATATAGTTTTCTTGGGAAATTTTCATTCTACTGCAGTGAATTGCCCATACTCTTATTTTTGATTTACAGGAGTCCCAAAAATAACCTTTTTCCGCATCATCTAAATTGGAGAGTTTGAAACACCAAGCCTTCAATATAGATTTAATTCCCTTCTCAAAAATTTCAAAACCAATTAATTGTGTATTGAACTTCCAGTATCCTGGTCCCCTTTTTATATTGTTTAATAATGAAGTTATCAATGCCATTGGATAGTGGTCCGAAAATGTAACTAATTGAGTATCTGTTTTAATAATGCTATTTATTTGATTTGCAGAAAGATACCATTTATCGATGCGGCTCTGAACTATTTGTGAGCCACTACGTTTTTGTTTCCATGTATATGATTTTGCGTTTATGTTTAAATGGCGCCAAATATCTATAAGATTCCATTTCCCTATTAATTCTTCTAATTTCATTGTACTATTATCGACTCTAAAATTTTGCTCTGGATATCTGTCTAATTTATCGAGAACACAATTAAAGTCTCCTCCTAACCAAATTTGATATTGTGCATTAGATAACATATTTACTTGATTTTCTAACTTATCATCAATTAATGTAAAAAAATCTTTACGATCCCTTACTAAATTTGGTGCGTATACATTAATTAAGATGAAAAAAGATTCAGGAAATTGTCCAGTCAAAATAATGTATCTACCGTTATCATCAATTTCTTTAGAGAATAAATCCGAATCCATTTTGTTGGAAAATAAAATTGCTACACCACATGAAACATTTGAATTTACTGACCAAATAGCACTATTTCCCCATTCTTTTGTCCATGCATTTGCCTCTTCATCAGCTCCACAATGTGTTTCCTGTAGGCAAATTATGTCCGATCCATCTTTTTTTAAATAATTGAAAATTTGTGTTCGTTTGGCCGAATTACGAATTCCTTTAACGTTATAGGTCATTATTTTCACTTTCGGTATGAAATGCATCATGTGTATCTATTGTGAAAAAAATTAAAAAAGAAAAACACAAATACTGAATTCAATCTAACCCCTATGGTCCTATTACACACAATTATGTTGAAAAACAATCAATTATGTACTTGTTGGAAATAGAATAAAATATCTAATTTCTCAATAATGTTTAGGTATAATACCCCGTTTTCTATACTTAGCGTTGATCTTTTTTCGAGTGTTTTTTGGTTGTTGGAGGGCTGTCATCGGTTGTCCTCTTTAGTTGTGACTCCTCCAATTTCACATAATTTTTGATATTGTCAATTACCACTTTTGCACCTTTTCCATTAAGATGCGTCAGGTCTTTTAAGTAGTAACTGTCTATTATCTTTTTTTCCTCAAAACATTCAGGTTTTGGAAATGAATATTGCACCGTGTTTAATTGCTTCCTTTTCTAGTTGTACATTTATTCGATTCGCATCCATACTGGTCCAGTTCTTTTCCCACGGATTGGTATTATGCCACATATATAAACACTTTCACTGAATTCTCGTGCTTTACAAATCATTTCTCTTATGTCTGCTCCAATTCCTTGTCAGTTTTTGTTATATTCATTCGTTCCTGCATAAATGATTATTTTTCCAAATTTTCTCTGTTCCATTTCTATTTCTAGGTCATTCGTTTAAAAGTACCACCAGAGTAAGATCTCTTTACAATTTTTTTGTTCTTTATCTTTCTTTCCATATGTGCCATTTGTGAGTCTCCTATAAGTAAGATGTCCTCCTCATTGTCCAAGAGACTGACATTCGCTACAGTATTTTCACTATTTTCATATTGCATAGGTGTTTGTAGCGTCAATTTTCGCTTTAACGGTTTCATTCACTATAACATTATCCTCTGAATTTGAATCATTGTGTCTTTTTGATTCAAGTCCATTTCATTTGTTTTTGAATTTGAATCCTCCTGATTTGGTGCTTCTTGTGAAGTGTTAGAACTAGTTTTTGTGGATTTTGTTTGGTTTTTTTGTTGATTTGTATTTGGTGTCTGTTGTTGCAACTCTTTTGTTATTCAATTATGCAGTGGCTGTGTGATCTCTAGCTGATCTTTCTCGTGCTTTTGATGCATCTTCAGCATTTGTTAATACTTGATTTGTGGATTGTGTTCTTTGAGTTTGCTTTTTTTCAATGCAATCTTTTTCAAGGTGAGGTTTTCCTTTCCCTCCACAGAATCTACATTTTCTTCGTCGAGGGCATGCCTCCACTTCATGAGTGAGTGAGTGGCATATATAACACCAGCTGTTAAATTTTCTAATATTATTCGGCCTTGTTATATAGTAAACTCCAAATTCTTCTCCAGTGCAACTATTAGGTAATTTGATCACAGGAGGAATATCACTATTTAGGATCATTTTACATTTTATGACACCATTTTCGGCACCATCTTCATCACAGCTTCTTTTGATTGATTTAATCTCACCAAATATAGATAGGATTTTATACATTTTGTTTTCTGAAACTTCTTCTGGTACGCAGCTTAGCGTTATTTCAGTGGCATTTGAAAAGACTTCTTCTGGTTTAGTGTTATATTCTTTATCTTGATGTTTATAAAAAATACCATTTTTCATTATGTTATCAAAGTATTCTTTATTTTTCATTTTAATTCGCCAGCAGCTTTTCTTTTCTAGAAAATATATACTGGATATACTTCCAGTGGTTGTTTGCCCATAAATCAATTTTTTAATTTCTTCTCTTCTTAACCATCGGTTATATGGGAACTTGATATTGAATGTATTTACTAGTTCACTAAATTCCTCTTCTCCGTCCTCTTCATTTCCACCATCTTTACTCGCCTCATCGTCATCCTCTCCGCCTGTCATATTACAGGCCTCCTTCTCGTCACTAAATATAGGCTATTATATTCTCTATTCTTAATACAACCAAATACTCCAATGAACCAAACTGATGAACAACTTCGTGTCCAACAAGTTCAGAAGTAACAAACTTGTAGGAAACCAACTGCCGGATTCTGCAAGATTCCGACGTTTCGTCGATCATGACTCCAAATTCTTTCTCATTTTTCGATTGCATTCAGTGCGCGCGTTTTCGGTCTAATATGTCTGCGTGTGAAATTAGCTCAACATTCAAAATATCGTCATTTATTGATTCTACACCCAGGCGTTCACGCCCGAATTATCTTTCGTGTAGTTTTTTTTATTTCCTTCAATCAATCAATGTGTTGTTTGGGGTAAGTGAGCACGTGCTTCACCATGTCCTAAGTTTTCTCAGATTTTGCCTACTTTACTGATTTTCCTGAATTGATTTTTTGTTGAAACGGAAAATTAAAATAAACTTACTTACCATGTAGCAGAAACTGATGCCGAAACAATTTATTATTTGCGATAGATATACAGCAGAGGGACAACTTCGCTTTAAACAACTTTTGAAATAATAAAAAGTTTTAGCTCCAATAAGCTTCTTCTTTTTTAATCCAAAAAAATAATAATGATTAGATCAGGGGTGGGCAACTTTTTTTCGTTTGACACTACTGACATTTGAAGCTACTTTCAAAGAAAAACATGCTCATTCATAAACTTTTTACAAGTATTTAGACTACTACTTATAAAGTATATATATATTACTTAAAATGACTGTTGTATTCGTTAAATAGGTTAAAACAAGAAAAACAGACTTACGGCGTAGGTACCGCCTTCCTTATATCTCGAATAAACATTGCTCTTAAATTCTAATAACTTCGGCGTTAGTACTAACTTGCCAATAATGCGATGCGAGTGGAAAGCGGAGCAAAAATGTTTGGTTGTTAGGCGGAAGTGTGTCAAAAAGTTGTTGCTCCTTCTCATTTTGCAAAAATCTGTGTGTTTCAAATATGTAAACCAGGCTTTGCATGAACGGATTCTTCAATTTTGCTTTACAATCACTGTGACATTCTAGCCGCAAGCTTCAGGATTTTTCTGTCTCAATGGACCTGGTATTTAGGTTATATTTGTACTCCAAAACGTACTAATTATTTCATCCCACTTTACCTACTCAAGGAATACTTGGCGTGCAACTGCTTATCGCAATGGGCTAAAACGTAACAATTAGTGACGGATTTTAGATTATAGCAACTCGAAGATAAGTTTCCAATTCTCATCTGTAAGCTGATACCTAAAGTTCTCCTTGTTCAGGGACATTTTTTATTGTCCTGCGCGCAGCAGTACGCGATGCCGAAATAGAGATTATTTTATGACATGATTTTCAATCGTGTTATGCCTATACACACATAACCCCTGTAAAAATATGCAACAAATCATTTCCAAGGTAGGCTCGTTTGTGCTCAACGGTTGCTTGTAATTGCAGATATATTTGTCAGGGATACAGGGGAAAGTGTTACAGCATGAAACTTATTCAACACATGGTATATTGAGTTCAAAATCCAGATTAATTCCAAATTCTTTTCGTAGAATGTCATACATTTCTTCTACGGAGCATTTCTGAAATCTCTCTAATTTCAATATGTCGGGGTCAATATACTTCTTTTCGTAATACAAATTTTTGACGAAAAACTTTCTTTTTTCTACGCTTTGAAGAACGACGATTGGCGTTGCTTTCAAAAACTCATTTTCGTCTTGAGCAAAGTCATGCCCCACTTTGCAATCTTCGAAGGTGCAAGGAACTTTTCCCACTCCGAATACAATGTTCCAGGGAATGTCTTTGTAGCCCGTTTCATCAATTTTTGCCAAATGTTCCTCGGTTTTGCTGTTAAACCTAGGTTGATCTTTTGTTTAAAGCAGAAAAAAGGAAATAATTGGTAATTTTTTTATTGATAAAATATGGTTCGTCTTATCGGGCATTGGCAACCGGAAGAGGTAGTGAATACCATGTAATGCTTGGATGTATGAAATTGACAAAAATGATTGAAATCTATACCCAGGGGCGTAGCCAGAAGTTTTCAAAGAGGGGGGGGGGGGGTCTGTAAATTTCTATTTGACAAAGTAGATCGAAACAACTGGTGGATCCGGCCGAACGCCGGAAAACGAGTGTTTTCATAAGTCTTGAGGGTTTAGAAAGTGTTTCGAGCTACGAAAAATTACTATGTGTGATACAGAAACAGGCTTTCACTTTTTTTACATTTCCGAGGGAGAGGGGTCCGCCCCCAAAACCACCCCCTGGTTACGCACCCGTCCAAAATGAATTTTACTTCAAAATAGGATTTAGGAATATTTTAATGTCACATAATGCTGTAATTTCAATAATTCCAGCTGACAAATTTATCGTAATTTTCATTCTGATTCAGGCTCTGTGTCAAACGCACCTTCGGTTTTCAAGTATGTTTGTTTTTTCTTCTCTACAATATACATATCTTGATTTTCACCCAAGCGATAAATTCCATTTGGTTGAGATTGTTCAACTCCCATTTTGAAAATAAGCGGGAGAACGAATGATGATCCACCCCACCCGACATCTGTCAAATATTTTTCTTCACTATTCCAAGACACCTAAATATATAGTCTTATAATCTAACGTCAAACGGATATGGAGAGCTAATCCAGTCTATGACCCTATGTGACAATACTCGAACGTACAGTATACAAGAAAATGGTTGTTATAGCTAAGATAATAGTCACTAGTCTATCGCGTAGGTCGTAGAGTACCTTGCTAAATATATCTATATCAGCCTACGATAATGAGATCGCAAAGCTAAAAAGCTATTGTTAAACGACGGAATTAAGTAAAAAAAATATTAACTAATTGGAGAATAACAGCAGTCCGAATTAATTGAAGCAGTTGCTATAGCAACGTTACTGAACACCGAAAATAGATTGCCCTCAGAACAAATGTTAAATTACATCTTGTATTTGGCCTCGGGGATGTAACTTTTGAAAGATACAGTAAATGAGTCTCGTTACTCGAAAGGAAAAATTTTGACTTGCATAGGAAGAAATGATATAGCATATATGACCCCGATTATGAGTATTTCTGTTTCTGACCAGATATAATTTGCACCTATGTAGACTACTTCACGAAGAAAACATGAAACATCCACTCATTTCCAACCAATGAAAGCAAAACGCATAACTGGATAATGAAAAAAAAACATCTTACCAGCAATGCCAGGTGATCACTGACTGATTGAAACTGATTGTCTTTTGAAATGTATGGATATGCCTTAAGCAATTCAACTTTATATCCAAGCAATTTCAGAGCCCACTGCAGAAGCCCATTCAATTCATAACAAAATCCTCCTCTTTTCTTCTCTACAATATTTTGATATATTGTTGGCAAATCCCAGATCTTCCGTTTACCTCCAAACATGTCCAAAGTTTCAAACGGGATATTTGATACAGAGCCCATGCAGATGTCTTTTAACAGCTCTAGCGAAGGTTGACGACTTGAGTTTTTCAAATTTATTCTTCCGAAATACCTTTCTAAATCCATGATTGTGAAGTCTACAATTGTACAAGTTTTTCAATGTCGTCACCGCATGCTAGCACCGCCACCAACAATCATAGCGCTTTCTGTCCTTGTGATCGATCGCGTTTTGTTTACTGAATAAATGTTTACTTAGTGGAAAGGCATTACTGTTACAAGAGAGTGATCTCGTACTATACCCTGATCCACTATTAAGGTCTTATTTTTACAAACCAATAAAAATTGCAGATGTATGCAATATTGGATCGGTAATGACGAATGGTTAGAACATTAAACGCCTTTGACTTTGGCAGTCATTTCCTTCCGATTTGTTTGACGTATAAGTGAGGTCATTATCAATACTTCGCTGTCGTTTCTGTGATACAGCACGGCGTAATAACGTTTTTGACACAAAAGCTGTTATGTAAGATAATTGACATTGTAATAAGAGCGATTGTTTCTGGTTTACTGAACAAATGTTTATTCAGTGGAAAGACATTACTGTTACAAGAGAATGAGCTCATACTATGCCCTGATCCGCAATTACAAGTCTTTTCTCTTGCAAACCAATGAAAATTGCAGGCTTACAATATCGATCGAATACGCCAGATATTCACAGGAATTATAATTCAGGGTGGTCCAAGGTTGTCGGCCTCGCGGGCCCCACTATTGTTTTTTATTGTTTGCGGGTCATTATGGTGCCAAGAATAGGTGAACAGTGCAATAAAAAACAAGCACTTTTATTGTCCAAACACATTGATCGTTATTTGTCATTTATCGAGCAAAAACCACCAAAAAACTCACTAAAACGTGCAAAAATCGTAATATATCTACATTTAGTATAAAACTTCAAGTTCTTCATAACGGTGAAAGTTTCATAAGGAGAAAATGCCGTTTTATATTGTCACCGACACAACTTGCAGACATATTAAGCAAGCATTGTAGTATTTTTCCTCCCATATTCAGTCAAAAATCTGTTCGAATTGGTCAGCTTTTTTTCAAACTCATATTTACAAAATAACTTGCAAAGACCTGCAGAATGCTTGATCACCGAATTTACCAAATTTGAGATACAGGAAGGTAATTACTAAATTTTCTGACTTATATAGGCATCCTTTTTGGAATACTGTTTAGGCTGCTTGCAAAAAAACACCCGGCAGGAATTATATTGTTTGGCCATAACATTAATATTTAGTTATCAGGCATAGCCGACCTAGGCTAATAAATTCCTCATTCTATTTTTAATTTTCTATGAGGACTATTTTGTTAACATATATTCCCGATCAAAAAGATAGGAATCCAGTTAACAATTCAGATTAATTACGCTTGCCAAGCATATTGTTCAACTTCGCCAGTTGCGTCAGCTGGCCATAACACTAATCAATTCAGTGACACTAGTGATGTAAAAATATGTTAAAAGATTTTTCTGGTTATTTTTATGGCAAAACAACACCAAATGCGATTTATGTTTACCCCTCCGCAAATGCGACGCGGGCCACAGATAATAAATCTGCGGGCCACATGTGGCCCGCGGGCCTTGGTTTTGGCTACCCTATACCTTATTACCTTATCATTAACATTACTGCGTTATAACTTATTACAAAATAGTCATTTCTCCGGGCATGGAATTACTCGTTTGCTTTTTACCATAACATTGACTAATACGAAAGATGTCAGCAGCGACGTAACAGTTACATTTCTAGCGCGCCCGAACGCATTTTTCACCCAGGCCGATTTTCAGACATAGTTGTAAAAATGGCTTGTTTCCCGCAATTATCGTGGCTTCATGTCGAGTGCTTTTAATTTTCCACGAATCCGTATTCTTTTAAGTTTGCAACAGCTCGATCAGGATATTCGTGAAAAAACCTAATTCAAAATTTCATTGTCAAAATGTTTGCACTTAAACTATGAATTGCAAAATGGCACACGGTTGAAACAGTCAAAAAATTAAAAGCAAGTTTCTAACGACAGCCTTGTGTAGCCCAGAGGGCATTTAAAATTATTGACTTTTTGGGATGAACTGTTTTCAAAATTGAAGTCCAATTGCTGCAAAAAAATCCTTCACTCCAATAACTTCTGTTTCTTCGTAACATTTGATATTTTGTTAATCACCATTTTTATTTTTGATTCAGGTTCGATCTGAGAAGGTTTTATCTTTTTATATTGCTTAAATTAAGTATTAAAGTGGTAGCGTCGGAAGGTTTTCAACAGATTTCAGACAACGGTTAATCTTTGAAATTTGAAAACCGAATGAAAGCTCAACAAAAAGCATAACTAATTTTTCGTCTTTCAAGACATGACATAACTTTATATATAGCTTATTACCATACTTCGAAAATAATCATCTCTATATTTATAGCTATTTACATAATATATACGATTATTGACAGTGCATGCCGTGCACGATTGCAGAATGGTTTATTGGTATTACGACTAGATATTTAATATAACGCTATTCGAAATGAGGCATTTTTCATTTAATAACAGTTAACTCGAGCTCATACACATATCTACACTGTTAAAAAAATTAGTAAATATACTAATTTTTCTAGTAAATTTTTACTAATTTTTCGTTGAATTTTACTTTCTACAAGAGTATTTTATTGAAATCACGTGACTTGCTTAGCTGAGCCAATCAGGGTGCTTGTTTGTTAATAGTTTACTAATGAATAGTAATTTCACTGATCAGTTAGTAATTAATATAACAGAAAAATAGTAAAAAGATTAGTATACTTGGAAAAAGTAAAAAAATCTAAGATCCTCTAATTTACGAGTAACTATTCTTTCCAATAAACGAATTTATCTACCTACGCATGCGATATAGTCACGAAGCAAATTTAAATACTCCTTTAGAATTTCATCTAAATTTTGCTCTGGGTATTAATTTGAATTAATTTTATTCTAAAATTATTTTGGTTCATCACCCAAAAATTCTGATTGTTTTGCTATTGCATTAGACAAGATAAGATATTGTTTTTATATATTATTTTTCCGGAAGTAAGCGGACCTATTTGTCCAAAAATTCATCCGCAAAAACTCCACGAGGCAGGTTGCGTGCGCAGCATTTTTGATTTCGAGTTTCCTTGCCCATCTCGGCTGGGACGCTAAGCTGTTTGGGAGCTCAGCATCGGTTGCGTGCGTATGAAAACTGAATGCGGTACGTATGTTAAGTATGCAATAGCGTGAGTCTGAGTTTGATGATTGTGTTAGCAACGGTCTGTACGGTAGCTGCGAATTTACCACGGGTAGTGGTCTGAATATTGAGGTACCGGTACTGGTACTTTTTGCAGAGATCAAAGTGTCCTATATTTTAATCCTTCTCTTTCCGGTCATAGGTCATTTAGTACCGGTAGTGTGCCAATTATGACATCACTCAAATGTCACGTGCCTGTAGCCCGCGCTTTTTCTGGTTCAGGAATTAGGACTCGGTAAGCGAGGCTCTTTGTCGTTAGTGGATGTTTATTTTAGGCGGTTGGTTTTTGTAGCTTTTCATGCGTTAATTGAGCATGTTTGTGTTACAGTAGCAGACTTGTAGTTGGTAGACCAAAATATTCTTTAAATACCGTGTACATCAGCATCTAATGGTACCGGTACCGTAGCCTACCTGTATACAGCGACATGCTTACACACTGCGTTAGTTTCGCCGTCTTACCGGTACCGGTATATATCGACGACCAAGAGTAAAAATCTGAATTGGCTATTTCAGTATTTGTTTCGGAATAGATGTAACTTACCGGTAGCCTATGGTGATAGGATACGTTCAAACGTTACAAGTCAGTGGCAACAATAGGTACGGTACCGGTAACAGACAGATGAATTCAACTATACCTACAAAGTCTACAAGGCGGCCATCTTGTTCGGAACGTATTTGGCGATTTCACAATTTACACTGTATTATTTGACTGTTTTTAAGCGTTTTAGCAGGGTTCTTGGTGTTTTTTGACGGGTTTTCACTGTTTTTAAGCGTTTTAGCAGGGTTCTTGGTGTTTTTTGACGGTTTTTCACTGTTTTTAAGGGTTTTAGCAGGGTTCTTGGTGTTTTTTTACGGTTGTTCACTGTTTTTAAGCGTTTTAGCAGGATTCTTGGTGTTTTTTGACGGGTTTTCACTGTTTTTAGGCGTTTTAGCAGGGTTCTTGGTGTTTTTTTGACGGTTTTTCACTGTTTTTAAGCGTTTTAGCAGGGTTCTTGGTGTTTTTTGACGGTTGGTCACTGTTTTTAAGCGTTTAGCAGGGTTCTGGGTGTTTTTTGACGGTTTTTCACTGTTTTTAAGCGTTTTAGCAGGCATTATTATTTAGAACATTGAAATATTCAACCAATAAGAAAATTTCTGAATTTATAAGTTCTTCAAAATCGGAATCAAAGAGTCTGAAAACTGAATTACCAAAATCGACTGGGGTGGTCACGTTGATCGCCTATTATTTCGGAGAAAACCTAAACCAAATATTTAAGTGTTTCCAGGTATGTTCTATGCTTTTTTGTGTAAAGTACTTTTTTTTGAAAGTTTTTGCATCAAGAGTAATGTAACTTCTGCACAACACTGTTCGTATAAAGTTTTGTGAGCCGACTGCAATTAATTGGAAACTAACTGCATGATAGTGGTTAACGGAATTTTTTTGCATATACATTCACTACTTTGCCTATTTTCAGAAAGAAACCACTTTTTCCCAGATATTAAAAGATATTCCAAAATCTCCATTTATTGCTTGCATAGGTAAGTGTTAGAGGTGAGCGATGTAATTGTGAATATCGGGAACAATTTCGAAAAATGATATGATAGCTGTTTTCCTGTGATTAATTCTGCGCAACTTTTTCAAAGGCCATTTTGTGTCGCCATATACTTCTCAGTTGTGATTATTATAAAATAATATCACCAGCTTCTGTCATGCAACCTGCTTTAACTGTTGCGTCACAGTATGCATTGCTTGAAATATGAAATATATTATTTCTGAAAGAACGTAATGCGCATCATAAGCCTCATCAATGTAATAAGTTCTCCCTTCGTTTTATCAGTGTTGCGCTTGCTATCAACGGTGAGTGAAAATAAGAACAAATCCATGTCTGCTATGTTAGATATATAGCCAAAGCCAATTTGGAGATGATCGTACTATTATACAATTAATAATTGTGTAATTGCATATTATCAAAAAAATCACTAATCATCCACCTCTAGTAAGTGTATTTGTTATTAGTTGGCTTTAGAAGTTGAGATAATAAGATTAATCAACCTGTCGAGTGACTTTCACTTTATTCATAAGCCTATAGATTCGAAGCTAAAGTTTACAATCTTGTGTTTCAGGTAACACGGTAGCGACTGCTGAGACTTTTTACGTCATCGCTGAACGAGAAGTGGTGTGTTCCTGTAGATCGTTTTTTGAAGCGGTAGCTTTTCAGTTTGCTTCGTTCTATGTTTTCAACATAGAATATCCAAAGAAGGCCTTGCTGACGTTTGATTTTATTCAGAGGTAAGAAAAAATGTTGCTAGTCTACAGTGTGATAATAATTCTTGCTGTTGGCACAATGTACACGTTGTTGACGAATTACCTGTTTCTTCTGTCATGTAGTGTTATTTGATGACATACAATACAAAAATGGGTTGTGAAAAGGAAATATGTTGACTGGACTTGCACAAACTTCATGGTGTCCATATCCTGGGGACTGGGCCATAAGTGGGGCTGAGAAATAATTTAATTAGTTAAACAGTTTTAGGTGGTTAATAATAGACTGACTGGCGGTACCACACATGTTCCTCCTAATCTAATATGTTTACATCCATATGTGAAAAATGAACTCACAACAATCCTATTTTAGTGAACTTTCAATTTCAAACGATGTCACTGTGCTCTCCATTTTGTAGCAGGAAATTTTTGATATATTTGCAAAAAATCATTACTAATGACAGAAATTAATACAATATTTTTCAATTGCTGCATTTGCAATCGAATGTCAACGAGCGGATGAGCCTATTGCGATTTGCGACAACTGGAGGCTAGGAGGATCTGGTGCTTCTTGGTTTAGCAATTGCATTCCTGGCCCACTGGCAGTTTTTTGTTTATCCCTTGGCAAGGCACGATACATTATAAATACCTGACATTTTTACTATTTTTGTCCAGTGTTTGTGTTTTTACTATTTTGGTGGTGAGATGACAGGACGTTTTCCAAATTTCATATGTGAAACCTATTCGCCATTTAAGTTCGGTCTTTTTTCAGGTTCTTCGGTGACATAAACCCCAGAGGCACTAAGTCGAAAAAAAGTAAAGGCAAAGACGTTCATGCAAAAGTAATCGGCCTTGCAAGAAGAGTGAATCTATCACAGGCGTTATATGTGCCGTTGTTAGAAATTGATGTTTAAGTAAACTTTGGTGGTGTTACTGCAGCTTACATCACTTTTGACCAGGGGTGAAAACTCGATCAAATTTTCACATGCCTTTGATTGAGTTTCTCAAGTTCGAGTTCATTACCCTGGTCAGGGGTTTGAGTTCATGTATTTGATAGAGTTTTTCGAAGTTCGAGTTCGCAGCCCTGCTTTGGCTGATCGATTAATTTGATAAAAAATGATTTAGCTGTGTGTTGGGTGTGAAGTCTGGATAATTTTAAACAAACTCTGCTCCGTAATCTTCTTCAACCACAAAATTTCTGGCTTCCACTCATGACTATCAACTCCCACATTTGCAAATATATGACTCCGTCTTCTGCTCAAGACTCTTTCAAAATATGAATTAAAACTCTTGACTCCCTGATCTTATAAGATTTGACTGCTGCTATGCTAGCTGCTTTAGTGTAACTTTTTGTCCAGTTTTATCAATTTTAACATTTTCGAATTTGCAACTTCTGCAAACTCTGCTCCTAGCTCATGAGCTTTAAAAATTCAGTCAAACTCTATTCATAAGTGTGGATAAACTCCGACTATGATTAACTCTATAGACTCCGCAAGCTTCAAAATTTAGAACTCCCACTCATGCTCCTACCAAAATCCTCAAACTCCCGCTCTTCGACTTCACGCCCCTTGAAATCTTATCTTGAAAATTATCTTGCATAATTAACTTTAGAATTTGTCATCTTTGAAACTCTTGCCATAGCTACAAAATAGGTCAGATTCAGATATTTATTTCCGTCATGCAAGAAATATTGTACAAATAAACAGTAAAAATAAATCGAGAGAAGAAATAACAGACGTACAATAATTCGACTGCAATAGACGAGGAGTCGCGAATAAACTATAAAGTTAACGTGTCAGCGACACCTAAATAGCTGTAAACAGCAGCAGATGAAGTCTAATAAACAGGATTTAAACATATATATTTTTTGAATGAACACAATTTGGAAAATGTAAGTCGAATTGAGGAAGTCAGTTAGGAGAAAATAGTTAAATCGAAGATAATCATGAGAAACGAGAGAAAAACAAGAGCGCGTCAGGAGGGAAAAAAATGCTCAAATCGTCAGCGTCATGCTCGGGTCGGCACCGTCACAGCTGTCGGGCTTCTGATTGACATGACGCTGCCTTGCGGAGATAAATTACGGGGAATTCCCAGCTAGGTTGCATGATATTTCCCAAAATTTTCATTTTGAAACATTATAATTAGAGTAAAGTGCAAAAAATCGTGAAATTCTTACAATAGTCTCGTTATTATGTCACGTTTGCCAGCGTCTCATAGCCTGGTATCCAGAAATTTGATTTCAAAATAAGTTTGTCAACTAAACAACCCAGTCCTAAAACGTTTTCTTGTTTAACTTTATTTGGATCTATTGAGATAAATAAATAGACCTCAAAATGTATAGACCAGATTTCTAACAAGTGCCAATAGAAACTCGATTTTGATCCATTACATACAGAATTCCTATGTCCTACAAAAACTTGTGCCCTCATTTTATTGCATGGATAGCCTTCAACGTCTCCTAATAGGTGTTTAAATTTGACTGTAGACCATATATTTTCTGAAATTTCTTTCGAAACTGTTTTACAAGCCTTAAAGGCGTTCAGTGTGTATTTATGGTTTTATAAAAATATCAATTGTAATAAAATGATTTTCGTTTCCAGAATCTCGTTTTTTTTATTTTAACTGTAATATGTGTGTTTACTGTTGTGTCGTGCTAGTAAATAGCTTTGCTACTCTCGTAGTGGTTCGGTCATCGCGAGTGAGAAATTACCATCATGCTAGTATTGTATGGTACTACTGTCGGGTAAGGTAGCTGCCATCGAGATAGTAATTTTATTTACTATTTTAAGGTAAAAAATATTACTACTGGTGGGTAGGTTTACTGCCGTCAAAAAAGTAGTATTTTTTACAGTTTTATAGTAATTTTTGCTACCATCAATCTATGTAAATTTACTAAAAATACTGTTCATAATACTACTGATAGGGCCTGTAAATTTTTTTACATGGGGCCAGTACTTTTGCTGCCATTTTTTTTTAGTAAATTTGGAAAAAAATTTTTAACAGTGTACATAAAGGTCGTTGCAATATAATAGTCATATAAAAAGTTTTATTACTCCACATCTGAAATAAACGCACAATTGTAAACCAGATGGAGCACATTTGTACATAAGGTACAAATATACAGACGCTCATATAAAATTTCACGATCACCTCTGCGTGGTATAGAGGAGAACTAACAGCAAAATTTTATAAAAAAAATTCGTTATGGGAGGAAGGCGGGAGAAATTTTATTCGTATTTCCCGGGCGCAAAAACAGTGCAAAGAATATCATATCAAAATGTCGAATGATTGTTTTTGATGAGTGTACTCAAAAAATGATCTCATTTCATTGCCAATGCTGAAAGTACCTGGGATTACCTGAATGAAGTATGGACAGGTAAAAACTTAAAGAGCTCTAGCTTAGACAAATGTGCATAACACAATTCTGTAACACCAGCTATTAAAAAATATATGTATTATAATTGAGAAATTTTATTTATTCTTTTTCAACCTTGTATTGTAGTTTATTACTTTTAAGAAATCCAGATTAAAAATGAATTTGCTAGCTATATTATTCATAGTAGCGATTATTTTCATTCTGGCTCATTGCGTCATCAACATTCTAATTCCGTGGTTTAAAGAACACCGAAAAATGTCAGAAGCCGTGAAAGATGTGGGATGCGCAAAAAGGCATTGGTTTTTCGGCCACATTCGTAAACTTACTCCGAATGAAGCAGGTATGCGCCGAATGGTGAAATGGATGAAAAAATTCCCAAAAGTTACTCTGAATTGGTTTGGACCATTTACTTTCGTTCTTTCAACGTACCACCCTGATATCATAAAACCAGTATTGGGCAGTGACACTCCTAAAGATAATGTATCTTATCGTTTTATGAGGCCTTGGATTGGTGATGGATTATTAACAAGTTATGGCGACAAGTGGAAACGAAATCGTCGTCTGCTCACCCCGGCATTTCATTTTGATATTTTGAAACGGTATCTTGTGTGTTTTAACGATTCTGTTGCCGAGCTTATTAAAAAATGGTCAACTTCAAGTGAAAATTGTGTGAGTGTAGAATTGTTCACCGATATCAGTGCAATGACGTTAGACAATTTGCTACAATGTATTCTATCCAAAAAATCTGGATGTCAAAGCGGAAAAAGCATGGAATATCTTAACGCTATAAAATGCATAACAGAGGGCGTTGTTGGCCGACTTCGAAACCCATTATACCATTTCGATTTAATTTTCTACTTATCGCCAGCGGGGAAAAAGTTTAAAGAAGCTTGCAAAACTGTTCATTCTTTTTCGAGTGCTGCAATAAATGAAAGAAAATCTTCTTTGAAGCATGGGAACGAAAGAGATTCAACCGACGATACTACGAAGTTGGATTTTTTAGATATTATGCTGCTAGCAAAAGATGATAATGGAATAGGTATGTCACACCAAGAAATATGTGATGAAGTTGATACCTTCGTATTTGAAGGGCATGATACAGTGTCAAGTGGAATATGTTGGATAATTTATAATTTGGCAACTAATCCAGAACATCAAGAAATTTGTAGGAATGAGGTATTTGAAGTACTTGGTGAACAACAAAGAGTTAAGTATGAAAACTTGTTTAAATTCAAGTACCTCACGATGTGTATTAAAGAAAGCATGAGACTTCATCCACCAGTACCGTCGGTTGGTAGAAAAATGAACAAACCATTTTTCTTTTCTAATGGATTTGGACCTGACCAATACAACACGAATTCGTCTGAGAGTTCGGGACCGGAATCTTCTAAGATTATTCACACTAACACACTCATCGGGGTCTCCATTTACAGACTACATCGCAATCCTTGCATTTGGAGCAATCCAGAGGTTTTTGATCCTGAGAGATTCACTCCAGAAAATAGATCTAAGCGATCTTCTCATGCATATGTGCCGTTTTCCGCAGGATCACGAAATTGCATTGGACAAAATTTTGCAATGAATGAAATGAAAGTTACTCTTGCATTAGCACTTCAAAGATTTCGTTTCTCCCTGGATGAAACCTACCCAAAACCAGCTGTCCAGCCACAGCTTGTCTTGCGATCAACCACGGGTATCCATGTAAAGCTAGAAAAGTTGGAATAATCTAGAAGCGACAAATGGACTACTTGATATAACATGGCTTAGTAAGATGATAACGATAAGATGCTTTAGGCTTATGACTAATCGCTACATCAACTCTGTACATTTCAAATCTTTCAATCGTGTAAGATGTATATTGAAGATATTTTGATCATACCCGTGAAAAATTACCTCATTCCAATGAAAAGATGATAATTTTCCTGTTTATATAATTGTTGAATAAATAATTGTTTATGTACCCACAGCTGATTTTATTCGTGTTCGACAAAATAAATCAAATATGTAAGGTAGGTTTTTACAAATAATATCCAAGGCTCACCAAATATTTCAGACTGAAATAACTAATTACTGAGGTAGATACTTGAGGGTCCGAATATTCAGTCTTGGGAAGAGACAAGGCCTTCGCTTCACATACGCGAGTTATACAAATAGGAAGAAGTTTTTTAAATCATATTAGGTCACACGCACAGTAAAGAGAAGGAATAACATTTTGTCGCATTGTAATCTGAACACTACCATCCGCCCATCTTCGAATCAAGAATATCGGCTACATCGTTCCGATTTACAGTGCTATTCCCCCATTAGTCATAATGATATTTTAACATACTTCTTCGCACATGCAATCTAGGATAGAACATTTATCACGGGGAGATAAAAATCACTAATGTGAATTAATCATATGGCAAATCGTCATCACTCGGTCGGCTTTCAGTCTATGCCAAGTACGGTTAACCAGTAATTATTATCGATTGCGAAAGCTTGTTCATTTGAGCATATTATAATGACAGAAGTTCAATTCATATACTACCGGTAGCCTACAAATTTTGCCAGAAAGGTATTTTTGCCATTATTTTCTGAGCAGCATTTAATGATTTATTTTAATCATAATAAAAATGATAGTTAGATCTTTGATTATTGCTGATGAGATCATCATCAGTTGATGTTGTTGTGTTGTGTTGTGTTGTACTTGTGACAAATGAATATGTAAAAAAAAGAATACAACAAGAAATCTCTGTTCAGAAGATGAAATTTTCTAAAGAAGAATATAGGTTGATGTTTATCAAAGTTAACTTATATGACCATTTTCAATTTCGCGTAATTAAACTAAAGAAAAAACTCATATATATATATATATATATATATATTGCAAGACCAGACGACAGACGATTTTAACTAGATCAATGGTTTCACACCTCATCGCCTATTTATTTTCAGTTTGACAATTAGTTTATGACTCACAATGAAATCTTGGAACGATGTTCATTGAATACACAATTTTATTGCAGTAATATGCTTATCCGATATGTGGCAATAGCAATCGAATTACATAGATAGTTTACTACGATTTTGTCATAGAAATCCTTTTAATCATAACATTAGTTATTTGCACAAGAGAGCACAATGCACAATGCGTCACGCTAATAACCGAATTGCGTAAGTCATTTTTGGCGATTTTGAGTTTTTTATAAAATAGGTATTTATGTAATGCTGCGCACCTGTCTGTTAACTCAGATTTTATTTTAAGAATTTCGAAACCCATAAAAATGGAGATTTAGTATGACATGCACATTTGTACAATTGTTTCGTCATAATGAATTATCATTGTTACCGCAGGACTATTGTGACGTCACAAAGGCAAAATAACCTCGGCGAAGTATTTTCGAGTTTTTGCATCTCAGATTCTAACTTAGCGCGTATTAATTTAAATTTATACTACAGCATAGGAAGGCGTGCACTTGTGTTATTCACTGTCCGAGTCCAATTCACCTTGGTTGGCTTTTATATTGGGTGCATTGCTGTTTTATTCTTTATATTTAATCTTAGTCTTATTTCGGTGGGTGTGCAGAACGTGTTATATTATTGAAATATATATTTTTAAACATAAAAAATAATGTAATTGAAACTGATTAGCTATTTTTGGGATTAGACATTGTAGATACTAAAAATTACATTTGTTTTTGGAATGTTTAGTTTTCAGGACTGGTTCATATACTAAAGTTGCAAAATTGCGTATGTCCCCAAGTCATAGACACATTTCTGCCTAGGTCACAGTGTGTCATTATGACGTCACTTAACTGCGTCATACAAATTAACTTGAATCCGGCTAGGATCAAAAAAATGAACCATGGCAAATTATTGACTCTCAATGGCATAACAATATCATTAGAAAGTTTTTTACGTTTTTCTCAAAACTGCTGAAAATGACTTACGCAATTCGGTTATTAGCGTGACGAATGCTCAAATACGAGCACATGGAAACGAAGACCAAAATGAATATAGCTTCGTTACACTTGATGATATTAGTTGCTTATAGATGGTTATAGGATTGTTGCTAGGGGACTACAGGTTAGTTAGTGTATTGATATATATTAAATGAGGATATATGCTGATGATTAATTTTTGATGACGTCATCACGCACACAAAAAAACGAATCCATTTAAGCACACAGAAATTTATTAAAGTAAGGAAACAAATGTGAAACAAATACAATCTCTAACCAATGACAATTTCAGAGAAATTGTTCTGATTTTCTTCACAACATGAAGGAAAAGAATAAAATAAATACAAAATACTCTACAAGAATCCCATGAATAGATGGATGGATTAACGCTTCATAGTAGCAATACACAGTTCGTGACAGGTTAATTTCTTTTTCTTCAACGGACCAGAAAAACGCCAGCAAAACTGAAAGTAGTCAGCTAGTTAGTCCATCCTATGCAATCGGCTCGGATATCAAGATGAAAACACATTAATTAAGTAATCAATAAAACTCAATCACAATATTTTTTGGCATATTTATATGCGTCACTGACGTTAAACATGCGTATGTGTGGCTATTATTTCAGTAAACAATAAGCCCATAGCAGCGAAGAGATTTGTTGTTCACAAGTATGGATGTGGAAAAGTATTTCGGAAGGCTAAATTTGAGAAACCGAGCACGTCAACCTTCACTAGAGCTATTGAAAGATATATGCATGGATTCTGTGTCAAACATTCCGTATGAAAACTTGGATATGTTCGGAGGTGAACGAAAAATCTGGGATTTGCCAACAATATATCAAAATATTGTAGAGAAGAGACGAGGAGGATTTTGGTTTGAATTGAATGGGCTTTTGCAGTGGGCTTTGAAATTTCTTGGATATAAAGTCGAATTGCTTATGGGATATATGTACGATTCAAAAAATAATCTATTACAAACTGTCAGTGATCGTCTGGTATTAATGGTAAGAACGAGAAACAATACGTTCTGTTTATTTGTAAAACCTCACATTACGTTCATCTTGTGAAGAACGAAAATCTAAATTTTATTATACTGGCTCAGCAATAAACTGTCGTTTATGTTCTTCCTCGCAAAATATCTATGATATTTCAATACGACTATACTTGATACTAGTAGTTGGCGATTTCATCTTTTAAACCTACGCGCGATAATTTAATTACATCTGTTTTTAATTCCCACAATAGTTTATGTAGCTTGCTTAATCAGTTAATCTATCGTAAATTGGACGTTAGCCAAACACAAATTTCCTACTTTGGGGAGTTGTTCTGTGGCCGCTCAATAGTCACCTCATATACTCTATTTTTGGACACGAAATGTACATATGGATCGTTTTGTTATTATGTTGGGGTTCTTCTTAATCATTCTTTTTTCTTGTTCTTGGAAAAAAATCGATTTTCACGTAAACTACCAGACCAATCTGGAATTTTTAGTTAAAGATTGTATTCTTCGCTAGAGGGGCATTGCTTTTATGTATTTCAAAATTTCTGTGGGCTCTTTCTTTATTTTTGCGTGCGGTGACGTGAGCAAAATTACGCATCTTGTTCCGGTCCCTTGCTCGCAGTCAGACAAGGTCGTGAAGTCTACTTTGTTAGATTGCATACCCGGGCTTTTTGGGTTTCGTGTTCATATATTTGAGCATCGCTGTCTTTTGTTTCATTACAAGTGACCAACATAACGATTTCTAGAAATCTGATTATTGTTGGTAATTTTTAAAAGATTTTTTTAAATCCTATATTTTTTAAATGCTTTCCTTTTACCTTGTATATACTTTAAAGATAAGTGGGTGGTAAAACAGCGCCCTAGTGACCTGACATGCATCTACCCGTTCTGAGCCGAATGCCAGGGCTCCGATCAAATCAGGCATCGGGCCCTCGATAAGCTCTCACAGACGTGGTTCCACCGCGAATGATATTAATATTGTACTTTAGGTTTCTTGGGACACTGAGGAAAAATATCTGACAGATGTTGGGTGGGGTGGAAAATCATTTGTTCTCCCGTTGAATTTAAAAGTGGGAATTGAACAATATCAACCAAACGGAATTTATCGCCTGAGTGAGAATCAAGATATGTATATTGTGGAAAAGAAGAAACAAACATGTTTGGAAAGTAAAGGTGAGTTCAGTTCACAGTCTAAATCGAATTCCGATTAGTGTGAGGGATCATTGGACAATTTTGTTCGTAAAATGAAACTCTACATTTGAAAGTATCACGATGTTAACATTCGTATATATCATTTTTAATCGTGCGTTTTTCATGTTTGCGTATCATTTTCGAAATGGTCGTAAATATTTATCAGTTTACGGATATCTTACAATTGATAAACAATGTATAGGTTGACTTTTTTCTGTTGTGTAGATGAACAACCTTACGTCAACAGCAAAGCCAAAAAAGATTGCGTAAAACTTGATGAAATTCGCCTCAAATATATTCCGTGGAACATCCAATTGGGTGTGGGAAAAGCTCCGTGTACCTTTGAAGACTGTAAAGTTGGGCACGACTATGCTCAAGATGAAGATGAATTCTTGATATCAAATCCAATCGTGAGCTGTCAAAACGTGGAGAGAAGAAAGTTTTTCGTGAAAAATTTATATTACGAAAAAGAAATATATCGACCCGTAACACTGAAATTGGAGAGATTTCAGAAGTATTCCGTGGAAGACATGTACGATATTCTAAAAAAAGAATTTGGAATTATTCTGAATTTTAAACTCAGTATACCATTTATTGAATAGGTTGTACTTTGGGAAGTACTTTGTGTTACTGATTTATTTTAAATATTAAATTACATTTACATAACAATTTTTTGCAGTTCATTATTATTTGAATTCAAACAAAAATATTTAAGACTGAAACTCAAAGACTTACTGAGCCTTGGCCAAAAAGCTGTTTGATGCAATAATAGCTACCGTGATCAAACATGCCATGAACCACCACGCAGTTAATTTTTTGTAGATAAAACAGCACATCATCCAGGTTGACAAATATATAACATTTTAACATGAATCAAGATGTTTAAAAAAATATATTTTTGTGCTGTTGTGCAACAACTCGCTCCTGTAACATTCCACCACGTTCTCCCATAAATATATACCGTCTAAATAAGACGGTGTTTTTACTGAAAAATAAAAAAAATAATGCAATATTTAATGTAATTCAATTATAAGTCACTTTTTAACTGGCTTATACCAATTACTGATGGATGTTCAAAGGTCGCATTGGAGCTCTTCAAGTGTCGCAAGTTGTTTCTCATTTGTGGGCTAATTGCATATCATTAGAAGTATCACAGCGTAAAATTTGGCAGCATCTATTTTGCTTAAGTTAGGCCAGGCCACAATTACAAAACTCACTGAAGGCGAATAAGCGCACGTTTCTCATTTTTAAGGTCATATCTGGTAAAATAATTGCTATTTAAAAATGTATATTTTCATCTTGTGAAGAAGAAAAATTCTAAATTTTGTGATACTGGCTCAGCAATAAACTTTGGCATTTATGTTCTTCTTCATAAAATATCTATGACATTCCAATACGACTACACTTGATACTACTAGTGGTTGACAATTTCTTTTTTTTAACAGACACGTAATAATTTAATTACATCTGTTTTTAATTCCCACAATAGTTTTTGTAGCTTGCTCAATCGGTTAATCTATCGTAAATTGGACGTTAGCCCAAAACAAATTTCCCCCTTTGGGGAGTTGTTCGGTGGCCGCCCAATAGTCACCTCATAATACTATTTTTGGACACAAAATATACATATGGATCGTTTTGTCATTATGTTGTTGCTCTTCTTAATCATTCATTTTTCTTGTTCTTGGAAAAAAACGATATTCACATAAACTTCCAGACCTATTGCTTTCATGTAATTTTTAGTTGAAGATTGTATTCTTCGCTAGAAGGATAATTGCTTTCATGTATTTCGAAATTTCTGTGGCCTCTTTTTACATTTTTTTTTGCGTACGATAATGTCAGCAAAATTACGAACCTTGTGGCGGTTCCGCGTTCGCAGTCAGTCAAGATCGTGAATGTTAGATTGTATTTTTTAAACGCGTTCCTTTCCCCCTGTATATACTTTAAAGACGAGTGGGTAAAACAGCGCCCCAGTAACCTGACAAGCATCTGCCCGTTTTTAGCCGAATGCCAGGGCTTCGATCAAATCAGGCATCGGCTCCTGGATAAGCTCCCAAAGACGCGAGTCATATTAAACACTGTAATTAAGGTTTCTTGGAACACTGAAGAAAAATATCTGACAGATGTAGGGTGGAGTGGATCATCATTTGTTCTTCCGTTAGTTTTAAAAGTAGGAATTGAACAATCTCAACCAAAACGGAATTTATCGCCTGAGTGAGATGTATATTGTGGAGAAGAAGAAAACAAACATGTTTGAAAAGTGAATGTTAGCTCAGTTCACAGTCTAAATCGAATTTCAGATTAGTGCGAGGGATCTTCGGACAATTTTGTTTGTGAAATCTAACTCTACATTTAAAAGTATCACGAAGTTAACATTCGTATGAACGAATATACTCGTATATCATTTTTAATCGTGAGTTTTTAATGTTGGCGTATCATTTAAAATGGTCGTAAATATTTAGCAGTTAGCACCGGCCGGAGAAGAGAGCAATTTGAATTTCTCCTGAAAAATAACGCAATATTTGATGTAATTCAATTAATTAATCACTTTTTATCTGGTTTATAACAATTACTTTTGAATGTTCGAGGGTCGCATTGGAGCCGCATGTTTGACATTCTCATTTTGCTACCTAAATTTTTTCCTGCGTGGAATGGGTTTTAAATGACCAAATAAGGAAAATTACCGGTAGAAGTTCCCTTTTTCATAGTAAAATTGCTATATTGCGTAGAATGCAACACTTACAACGTGGACAAAATATTATATTATCTAACTCATTATTTTAACAATACAATGTACGATACATAAGCTAATACACAAATTTAATCGCACTTGAAAATAAGTTTGAAATACCTTTCGACTTTTAGCATCAGCTCTTAATTTTCCACTATGATCAGCAATATCCTTTTTACATGAATGATATTATTTGCTAGTATAAAATTGAGACTATTTTTACCAAGGTTGCATTTGTAAAAATTTTGCACATAATAATGCCATGTTAGTCATGCATTTACGATTTCTCAAAATTGCCGTGAAAATTCACAGAAATAAATTAAAAGGTCCTTCCTGTTTGCCCTTTCGCGAAAGCCGGTTTTAACAATTATATTTTTCCCCGGAATGGTCGCCAATGTAAGTAGTCTAGTAAGTAAATAAGTTTATTTCAAATTTTCCTTACCACAATAACAAAGAAGCAATACAGGACAAAACAAACAAATATGCGGAAAATCAGGAAAGTAAGCAAAATCTAATGACGTGGTGATTCACGTGTCCACTTACCCCATACAGCAAACGACACATTGAAGTAATTAAAAATATACACGGAATATAATTCGGGTGTAAATACTTGGGTGTGGATTTTGAACATAGGCTGCAATTTCTACCATATATATCATATACAAGAAAATAACGAGAACTAGTTACTTTTTTGTATGGAAATTGGAAAAATAGAAAAATTAGACAGAGAATCAGAAAACAACTAAAGTGGGTGTTTTGTTATTTTTCTTTTCTGTATCTATGTATGAATATTAAATCTAAATAAATTTCGACATTTAAATTCTTTCATATAATATTCAACAAATCTGGTGTTGCATAGAAAATGTCACATCATGATTGATCTAGGTATGAGATAGTCCATATGTTCATACAATAATAAATCATAATCGTCATCAGCATCTATTTTGCAGGCGTTGCATCAATAGGCGAACCGAAGTGTCTAAATAAACGTGAATCGGTCAAAAGACGGTTATGCCACGTTGATGGCTGGCATGTATATGCATTAATGACGTGTCTATTCTTTCAGTAATCAATAAGCATTATAACAGCAAAAAGTTGTTCACAAGTATGGATGTGGAAAAGTATTTCGAAAGGTTAAATTTGAGAAACCCAGCTCGCCAACCTTCACTAAAGTTGTTAAAAGATATATGCATGGGTTCTGCGTCAAACATTCCGTATGAAAACTTGGATATGTTCGGAGGTAAACGAAAAATCTGGGATTTGCCAACAATATATCAAAATATTGTAGAGAAGAAACGAGGAGGATTTTGTTATGAATTGAATGGGCTTTTACAGTGGGCTCTGAAATTACTTGGATATAAAGTCGAATTGCTTATGGGATATATGTACGATTCAAAAAATAATCTATTCCAAACTGTCAGTGATCACCTGGTATTGATGGTAAGAACGGAAAACAGTACGTTTCGTTTATTTGTAAATCTCACATTGCATGCGTTCATCTTGTCAAGAACAAAAATAGGTATTTTGTAATACAGGTTCAAGCTTTTTCTATGTCATTTCAATACGACTACACTTGATAGTAGTAGTTAGCAATTTCATCTTTTCAACCGACGCGTAATGATTTAATTACATCTGTTTCTAATTCCCATAATAATTTTTGTAGCTTGCTTAATCAGTTAATCTATAATAAATTGGATGTTAGCCAAAGACAAATTTCCTACTTCGCGGAGATTGCGGAGTTATTCCGTGGCCGCTTTATATTCACGTCATACGCTCTATTTTTGGACACGAAATGTAAATATATATGGATCGTTTTGTTATTATGTCGTTGTTCTTCTTAATCATGCTTTCTTTTTCACATAAACCATCAGACCAATTGATTTGGAATTAATTAGTGGTTAAAAATTGTATTTTTTCGCTAGAAGGATATTGCTTTTATTTAATCCAAAAAATTCTGTGGGCTCTATGAGATTCATTTTTTTGCGTGCATTGACGTCAGCAAAATTACGCACCTTGTGGCGGTTCCGCGTTCGCGGTCACGCAAGGTCGTGAAGTCTACTTTGTTAGATTGCATACCAGTAGGGTTACCATTTTTTTTACTTCAAAGCGGGACGCCTCCAAAGACACGACCCCTTAGCTGTGACCCTGTAACTTTACAGTTTCCGATTTTACTATATAGGCCTACATTTAAAGCCATCCCGGCTGTCTTCATTGACCCATATTGTCATCGAAAGCATATTCTCTGTCTGAATATCGGGTTCAGTTCAAAAATAGAAAGGAATAGACGCTAACGATACAAAATGATCCGAATTAGATTTTTATGTACAGCAAAAGGAATAAAAAATAATGAAGTAGTCTGCCGTTTTCAAGCATTGACATTTAGCCTACTTATTCGCCAAACATGCCTTTTTCTGTGATAACACCTTCAAAAAGACGAAATAGTCTGCCGTTTTCAAGCATTGAGATTTACTTATTCGCCCAAGCATGCTTTTCTGTAGATAACACCTTCAAAAAGACGGTTGTTTCAATGTTACATTCACTGAACGTCCGAACAGGAAACAATTAGAATTGATTTTACATGTGATACGTTCGCTAACAATGTTAGCGAGTAACAACGAAACAAAATAACGCATTCACCTTCAGTAAGTACGCTAGCGTTGCGCTACACAGCAACAACAGTAACGATAACATGTTCGTGTTTTATGCTGGATGGCTGAATGCCAAAGCGGGACTTTTGGCTGACTTGTCGGGACGGCGGGACAAGACGCTTAAAAGCGGGACTGTTACCGCCTAAAGCGGGCGTATGGTAAGCTTACATACCAGGTTTTTTTGTTTTGGCTTTCGTGTCCATATATTTGAGCATCGCTTGTAATTATTTTTTTTTTTTTCAACTGAAAGTGATCAAACATCACGTTTTCTAGAAATCTGAATTATTGGTGGTAATTTCGATAGATATTTTTTAAATGCGTTCCTTCCTCCCCTGTTTATACTTTAAAGAAAAGTGGGTAAAACAGCGCCCCAGTAACCTGACGCTTTTATTCGTTTTAAAGACGAATGCCGGGGCTCTGATCAAATCAAGGCATCGGGTTCAGGATAAGCTCCCAAAGTCGTGGTTCAACCACGAATCATATCAACACTGTAATTTAGGTTTCTTGGGACACTGAAGACAATACCTGACAGATGTTGGGTGGGGTGGATCATCATTTTGTTCTTCCGTTGAATTTAAAAGTAGGAATTGAACAATCTCAACCAAATGGAATTTATCGCTGAGTGAGAATCAAGATATGTATATTGTGGAGAAGAAGAGACAAACCTATTTTGAAAAGTGAATGTGAGTTCAGTTCACAGTCTAAATCGAAATTCGGATCGGTGCTAGGATTTTTAGAATAATATTGTTTGTAAAATGAAATTATACAGTTCAAGGTATCATGAAATTAACATTCGTATGAACGCATATCATTTTTTAAAATGGTCGGAAATATTTAGCAGTTTACGAATATCTTACAATTGATAAACAATGTATAGGTGGACTTTTTCTGTTGTGTAGATGATCAACTTTACTTCAACAGTAAAGCCGAAAAAGATTGCGTAAAACTTGATGAAATTCGCTTCAAGATATTCCGTGGAACATCCTATTTGGTGTGGAGAAAGCTCCGTGTACCTTTGAAGATTGTAAAGTCGGGCACGACTATGCTCAAGATGAAGAAAAATTCATGATATCGAAACCAATCGTGATCCGTCAAAACAGGGAGAGAAGAAAATTTTTTGTGAAAAATTTATATTACGAAAAGAAATATATCGACCCGTAACACTGAAATTAGAGAGATTTCAGAAGTGCTTCCATGGAAGAAATGTACGACATTCTGAAAAAAGAATTTGGAATTATTTTGAATTTTAAACTCAGTATACCATTTATTGAATGAGTTGTACTTTGGGGAGTACTTTGTGTTATTGATTTGTTTTAAATATTAAATTACATTTACATAACAATTTCTTGCAGTTCATTATTATTTGAATTCACAGAAACATATTTAAGACTGAAACTCAAAGACTAACTGAGCCCTTGGCCAAACAGCTGTTGATGCAATAATAGCTACCATGATCAAACATGCCAAGAACCACTACGATATTAATTTTTTGTAGAATAAACCAGCACATCCTCCTGGCTGCTGAAGATATAAACATTTTAACTTAAATCAAGATGTTTAAAAAAATCCATTTTTGTGCTGTTGTGCAACAACTCGCCTCTGTAACATTTCACCACGTTCTCCTTCCCATAAATACATAAGGACTAAATAAGACTGTGTTTTTACAAAAAAATAAAAATAATAAAATGCGATATTTGATGTAAGTCAATTATCAATCACTTTTAACTGGTTTATTAAAATTACTGATGGATGTTCGAGGGTCACATTGGAGCTCTTCAAGTGGCGCAAGTTATTGCTCATTAGTAGGCCAATTGCATATTATTGGAAGTATCACAGCTCAAAATTTGGCAGCATCTCCAGGCCACAATTTTAAAATCGCCGATGACAAATAAGCGCATGTTTTTTATTTTTTAAGGTCATTTTTGGTAAAATAAATGTTATTTCATAAATGAATATTTTGTATTAGTAATTTAAGTTTTCGACCATAAAAGCATTACAATGCGTTTAGTATTTGAAACTATACTCTCGTCGTGAGGTTTCACCAAATTTCTTTTTTCAAATTGGTGCTGCAAGAAAAAGGTGGGAACCACCGCAGTAGACTATCAGTACCGCAGTCTTCGCGAATGTGCCTGACCACCAGAAAGCAACAAACGCAATTTTTGATGACGTCATCGCACACAATAACGAATCTCTTGGAGCCCACAGACATTTATGAAAGTGAGAAAATAAATGCGAAAATACAATTTTTAACCACTAAAAAATTCAAGGCAACTATAGTTATTGAGAAGCAATTTTCCCAACATTAAGAAAAAGAATAAAAGAAACAAAAATACTGACAAGATGAACAACAACAACACAATAACAAAACGTTCAATAGGTAGGTTTACCATATATCTGGTACAAAAAACCGGGACAGTGCGGATCGGACTAACTTTGGTTCGATTCTGAGGCTAAGTAATATCTGAATCTTCTATCATATCTTTGCGAGTAGATACCGGGCATTAAATTAGCTATAAATTAATTTGTACGCGCAGTCGCCAAACATCATTTATAAAAGCAGTCAATTATTTGAAAATTTCAATAATCGACATAAGAGAGACACCTGCGGTTGCCACACTGCAATAGTTGTACTCATAATGACAATATAGCAAAATGATTTCTGCTCTGTTACTTGAACAGAGTAAGTTTGAAAAAATTATAAATTTTGACAACAAGACTTTCTACTCGAACGGGCAAAGTATCCACGGAATGATGTTGAATTTAGTTTTGAGGTAAATGAGCCGCAAATCCTATGCGAGTCTCGTAAAGGCTCGTTTCAGTTTTATTTTTGAGTTTGAAAAAAACATTATTGCCCCCGTGTCTTTCTACGCGTCCATTTGGAATTCGATAATTTATCCGACAGGTCAGTTAACGTTGTGCGTCAAATTATCGCAATTAACATAATTATAATACCTTTTCACACAACAAAACAGCAGTTCTCTCCCTCTGTTAACTAGTGAATCAGAGATAAATTGGATGCTTCCGTTAAGAAAATAACTTTGTAATAATATTATATGAAAAAATTGTTTTTGACTGCCACGCTTTGAACAAGCAGCTAAGCTCTCCACATCTGTTTTGTTTTGCATTCTAAGCTGGCTCTTTATTTTGTCCTATAGCATGCAAAGCATAAGATTCTTCCTCATATGGCTGCTCATATTCTGATATCTGCATGTGCCATGTTTTTTGTTGGGTTTCTGATATTCCACATGCATGATCTTTTATTTCTATTCGAGTGGTGTGTTTCTTTGTGAGGGTTGTAGAAGGTATAATTTAACTCCTGTACCTATTACTGTAATTAGGCGACCAGTCGAGATATATTGGATTCTCCCCTTCATTTTGATTTGCTGTGGTACTCAATGATTTTGTCTTGTGTGTATACAAATTTTATCTAGGTTAAGGTTCTACTGTGAAGTTAACGTGAAGGCCAACATACGAATGATTAGTGTGGTTTGAGAGATCTTGCCATGGTTTGCGAAGATTATTTACCCTGTGTCCCAACCAGAATTCAAATCAGGTCTTTCAACTTGCGTTTTAAAGATAAATAACTAATGATCAATATTTAATCAAAAATATTATTTTCTTCTCAACAAAGTGTAGGGTAGTGAGTGTTATTTCCTAATATGTAACCCTTGAATATTCTAACTCGAAAATTTATTTTCTGTTTTTCAGGTCGTTTGTGATGACCAATTTAATGGCTAGCTTATTGAATATAAAGAGTGTCTACAATCTACATCATCAAATTGGCAGTCTGATGTCTCATCTATGATAAATTTGAATTGACAACCAATTGCGTTACATTAAGTGAATGAAGAAATGATCCTGGTGAAATAACAATCCTAATTCCTTTGTCCTTGCAGAAGTCAATATCTAAGATTGAAAAAAACCTTACTTATACCCTTGGTAATCAACATATTCCTATTCCCCGTTGTCCTACCTTAATTAATTATAATAACTTATGTCACTTGTACCTTTAAATACTTATTACAATCTGGACTATAATCTGGCGATAATAGGCTCTAGTTTGGGGAATGAAGTGGTCTACTAGCCCACCTCTTCATGGACCCCAATTCTGGCAACTTTGGTTGGGCATTTTTGGCAATTGACTCCAACTATAATCAGCTTGGCACAGCTTGGTATGTTAGTCGTTGGCTTGGCAATATATTTTTCATAAAAGTTTATCTCTACTGTTCACTCCCATTTATAAAATCTATCAATTCGGCAGTGGCAAACGTTATAAATTTATTAATATGGTATGGCAAGTAATTTTTATTTTATTTTTGAACTACCCGTATGTAATTTATAACTTCTTAATTTATAACTTCTGGTTGCGTGTGTGAAATATTTTCAATATTTTAGGTGAGTGAACACGTACCACTTCTTCTTGGCAAAACCTGCCATCGTGTATACATTCTGTACGTTTTAAACCTTATCTAAGGTTTTGTTTGCTCTCCTGATTTCTTAATCAGTTTTTATTTATTTTTTCTACCAATCATTTTATTGTTTTGCTGATTATTGAGACCCGAAATAAACTTATACTTATACACGTGAAAGTATTTCCCTCCGCCTCTTGGAGTAGGCTACTTCGACTGTATGTAAGTTTGCGAAAATGTAATTTTGTATGAAATAGCTTCCACAAGAATGAATCTGCGTAGAACCTTACCTAGGATAGGATAGGATTTACATATTTATCCCGGGGGAGAGGAAAGCCGATAAGACGGCTTATCCATATGGCGAACCACGGCCTCTCGTCCGGTTCCGGTACCGTACCATTCCAAGTCGGGTACCGGTATGGGATTAGTTATATTGTTTTGTTTTCGGAAGCATGGACTTGATGGTGGCGGAAGCCGTAACCGACCAGCGGTTACGTGAACCACCCAATACACACTAACCCTTTATGTTATAAATGCCCCGTATACCGGTATAAGCGTTAGCCATATTTCTCATATCAAATAATAGAGAGAGAGAGAGAGAATTTTTATTGTTTCGTCAAACCAGAAAACACATACAATATATATATGATAGCAAAATGAGAAAAATTAGATTTCGGTAGATGACAGGGTGGTAACGGCTACGACCATTAACAGTCCCATCTGAGTCGGTTACCAGCCTCAAAGCAAGCACTGAATAAATAATTAATAACACAGGTTCTGTAATATTACTCTCAGGATATACATATGGAAAAAAAAACTATATACACTATGGAAAAAAAAATGATATCTAATTAGAGATGAGAAAAATTTCTAATCGGGATTAGGACTACCGGTACTGTAGCATACCGGTATAGCCTTTGGTCGTTCGAGGAGCAGCGCATTGCGCACAGTAAGGTCGCATTAGGCCGGCCGCACACAGCATCAATATTTTTCTGCAAAAAATATTTTCTACGCAATATTTCTCACGAAAATATTTATTGGCGCAATATCAAGAAAAAATATTTCTTCGCTAGCGCACACTGAGTGTTCTTGTTTGTTCAATAATTATCCGCGCGCCGCGCCACTTCGTTATGTCAAGCAAAATTCATTTACAAGGTATTGACAAGCGACTCTACTTATATGGAAATATGTATGAAGTGTGTTTCCAAAATGAAGTAATGGTACCGGATACCGTACGGTACCCCCACGAGATATATGCAGTCTCTGCGTACGGCGCGCCTGTTCACAGTACCGCACAGAATGCCGGTAAGTGCATGTACAACCGTACCGGTCTGTCGGTACGTACCTGTAGTAATAGATACCGTACGGTACCACAGAGCATGTTGCAAGGTTACCGTACTTTAGGGATCTGATGTTTTCATTCTGATTAACTGATGCGTTACTGGGTAACGGTATCTGAGATATGCCTATACGAACTTTAGAAAGTCTGAAAGTTAGCAATTTCCACATTAAGCCAAGAATAATTTCAAAATTGCACTGTACCGTAGCGGTACCGGTACCGTACCCAACTGTGTTTTCTGGTCAGACTCATGTACATACTTGTAGGTAGCGGCACCGGAAATTTAGACAAGTGTCTGTGCATTATACTCCTAACTGTTTTCTCTTTTCAAATATATGTAGGCTACAGCAGATTGTAATATTTATATAGGCCTATGTGTCACTGTCAGTATGGATGATGACGAAGAAGATATCGATGTCATTTTATTATTTTGGCTTTCAAAGAAAAAGGAAAGTCAAAGGAGTCGCCGTATCTGGACTCATCCGATTAACAAAAAGCGAAGTGTTTACGGTTCTTATCACCACGTATTCCATGAATTGAGCAATGATCGTCTGCGGTTCTGCAGTTATTCAAGAATGTCTTTAGACTGCTTCAACATACTGGTTTCAAAAATAACTCCATTCGTGAAAAAACGACGAGACACAAACTCCAGGAAATATATCAGAGTTGAAGAAAGATTGGTTGTCACTTTAAGGTGGTTGTCTACACATTGTTGTTTGATGCGGTCTGGTCTTATAAGCTTCTAAACCTATTTTCATAGATTATGACCTCATGGGTTTGGCGGTATAGGCTGGTAACCAGACGAGAAATCGTGGTTCGCCATATGATTAAGCCGTATTATCGGGTTTCCTCCCCCGGGATAAATATGTAAATCCTATTCTATCTATGTTGAAAATCATTTTTTGTTTTCTATATTATTGCTGATACATTTTGGCAAGGAATAAGCTGGCAGGCATTTTCTAATGAATAGTATTTTACCCACTTTTTGACTGGATTGCATCCAGGCTTGTACATATAAAATAAATTTCTCATTTTTATTTCAGGTACCTTGCCACTGGATTGAGTTTTAGGCAAATGACCTTCGATTTCAGAATGGGAGAGACGACCATTGGAAAGATTGTTGAGGAAATATGCGAGGCTATTTTAAAAGTCTTAAAAGCGAATACATGCCCACACCAAAACAGAATGACTGGCTTGAAATTGCCAATAATTTTCACAAATTGTGGAATGTGCCTAATACATTAGGTGCAATAGATGGAAAACATATAAGAGTGAGAAAGCCTCATGGGAGTGGATCATCATTTTTTAATTATAAAGGTTATCATTCGTTGGTTCTCATGGCTTGCGCCGATGCCGAAGGGATCTTTACTACTATCGATGTTGGTGATTATGGAAGAAATAGTGATGGAGGAGTATTCAAACAATCCAGTTTGGGAAAAGCATTGTATACTGGCCAACTTGCACTCCCATCTGATTCTCCATTGCCATCATCTGAAACTGAACAAACTTTTCCCTACTTTTTCATTGCAGATGAGGCATTCCAGTTATCCAGAAGGATAATGAAACCTTACCCACAACGAGGGCTTACTTCTGACAAAAGAATATATAATTATCGCATGTCACGTGGGCGGCGCATTATTGAATGTGCATTTGGAATGATGTGCGCAAAGTGGGGAGTATTGAATACTGCTATGAAGTGCATAGACATGAACAAAGCTGTGTCAATTGTTTGTGCAACATGTATACTGCACAACTTTGTCAGAATTTTAGAAGGAAAGCCAATGGAAAAGTTTGTTGAATTTATTTCCAAAAAAAGTTCAGATATTCCCTCTCAACAATTGCTAGGTAGTATGCCAGAAAATGGAAATCGCCCATCAAATGAAGCGATAAGAATACGCGACAACATTTGTGAATATTTTATGGGAGTGTTCCGTGGCAGACACAATCTGCTTCGGGGCATATGGGAGACCAAAGATAAGCTAGAACTACTATAGGTACACTTCTGACACCAACAAACTGATCAAAATGCTTCTTTGCAGTCGAATGCTATAATACTGAGGCTGATATCAATGTGTTAATGCATACCAACATTATACTCTGAGATGACCAAACTCAAATAATTTACCAATTCCCAATACATTTGCAGGAAAATATCTTCTATAGGCTGAACAGAACAAGCGTATATACGTTGGACTGATTTTATATTTAGGAGGCTGGGGTAAAGACTGCTTTGAATGGTTTTTACAACTGGCAGAACATGAGCTTGCATCCGTCCAAACACACTTGGTTTAATTTGTTCAATTTTACAAAAGCGTCAGAAACCACTACCTATATGCATTTACTTCGACAAAATAAATGAAAACAGTATCTCTCATTTTGATGTTTATTTATATTGATAGTTTTTACCAAAAGCCAGATTGAAATAAGAATAGTTCGTAATCCAGCAATGTTAATTTGGCATGATCTAATCACAGTCAACCTGCAGTATAGTTATACAATCATTGTCGCTATCTTCCACATTTTCTGTAATTAACTCTAAGATCCTCTTTTTAAATTTCAACTTTCTCTTTTTATCAAAGCTCTTCATATCTGGCAAAATAGACATCAGAAAATTAAAATCGGGGTCATTCCTTTCCAATCCTCTCTCCTCTCTTGCTTTTAGGTAACTTATTATTGCTTTATCAATATTTGATGCTTTGCTCTCAACCTGAACCCTTTTGACCAGCCTTCTTTTCTCTCTAGCATCACCCTCTTGTACAATATCACTTGCACTCAATGAACTTCCTTCAAAGCTTTGGTCTGACGATTCATTCTCTGCGGTTTCATAATCGGGACATTCAATAACTTCTAAATCTAAATTCCCTCTCTGTGCCCTCGATTTTAAATGAGGCATAACAAATCCCATATATTCATGCAAGTAATAGGGTTTCTTTGCTGTCGTGCCTGATCCTGATGGTGGTTGGTCACGCAGATTTTTCATCAGAGCTGTCCTGAGCTTCTTCCATGTCTCCTTGCAGTTATCCACTGAAATAATTATCATCTAATAATAAATTGAAAACTTTTGATAAGCCGATGAAAAGAAAAAGAAAATAAATTTTATCCTCAACTAAAGGTGGTATGGTATTGATAGAGTCGTATGCTAAGGGGTATTTGATATGAATTTGCAGTTGGACACAGACCGAGAAAAAGTCAACGTTTGAAGAAATTTGATAAGTGGAAAAGAACTAAATACATACATTTTTAGGAGAAAAAGAAACAGGTGCGTAGATAGTTTGTCAACAAATGGGTTGAGAATTGACAGCTAGTCAAATGGAAGTGAAAACTTAGGAAAGCCTGGTAGGATATGCCACATCTTTGTACAGAGAAAATATTTTACTGATGTCTTCTTTACTATGTGCAATACTAACCGGTTTCATTCACTTCTTCTGCTACTGTTTTCCAAATTAACATCTGCACATTTCTGTCACTGTATGCCGGGTTACACACATCGTAAAGCTCAGAGTGTTGCTCAATAGCTTGCAACAGAAGGATGTTTTTATTTGCATCATGTGACCGTTTCATTTTAAGATAACAGATATGATTCACTGAAAATTATAACCATCAATTCAATTCGTATACCAGAAACTTATACATTCTAAATTATATATACTGAACTGTACGTATAGAAGCTAATAAGAAAAATTTTTAGGGGCGAATTTTTGACTTATTAATCAACTAATAATGTCACAACAACCAAACACTGTGTGTAACTTTTTATGTGTCATAATCCGGCTGTATTTGAATTTCAGTATGGTACCAGTACCGGTACTGTACCCAATGATATGGTACCGGTATGTCAGTATGTGTGACACCGGTACCAAAACACTGAAACATTGTTTGGACTTTCAGAATCAGTTGTTCCCCAAAATAGCCAAATCAGCCGTATACCGTACTGATAAACATGCACCATTACCTACCGGTACCGGTATGTTTTCATCATCTTGTCACCCAACAATTAGAATAGGATTTACATATTTATACCGAGGAATCGAAAATTAAAATGAAATACGGCACGGTACCGGTACTGTACTGGTTCCCGGGATAGAAACTACCTAGCCTCAGTTTATGTACCGGTACCGTATTTTCCACTATGTCCAACTGCCCTGATTGCTATTACCGGTCTAACTTCACCATGCGAACCACAAAGCAATGTCACAAAACTAAATACCGTAACTGTTTATTCTAAACTAACTCTTCACAGCCGTCAACAAGATAACGCAAACAGCTGAAAACGCAGCTATGGCGAGTTTCCCCGCAAGGCAATTATCGCGCGCAAGCAATAAAAATAGAACATGATCTATTGCTCGAAAAAAATAGAACAGCAATAAATTCACTCAAAATATTGCCTAAATTCACGAAACAATAAAGTCTCACGTGTGTGCGGGTTTTCAATAAACAATGGGAGTTCTAAAAAATATATTGCGTCGCAATAAAAATATTGTCGCTGTGTGCGGCCGGCCTTAGGAATGTCCCGTTATCAACAATTAGGCCTCTTTATCAACAGCGCACTTCAGCCAGTCAGCATTATGGATATTGCGGGGTCGCATTACTGCATTGCAGCAGCGCTTTACGCACGAAATCTGTGATGACAAGTTGGACGGGACTTGTTGATACTGTGATAGAAGCAGCAGTGAGTGGACTTAAGCAGTGAGTCGAATTGACTTGGTACCTGGTACTGAAATTTGCTGGGACAATAAATAAAATATCCAATCACAGCAATAGAGCCTGGCACATTATTAATAAGTTTGTACCCGGTATACGGTACGGTACTTATGAAAAGTTTTTTTTTGTTTAATCAGGAGATTGAGTTATCGTATTCAGTCTTACATCAAACTATAATGCTAAATGAAAAATTTGAAACTTTACAGAATTATATTGGGCATGGTCTAGCTCACTAGTCTATCTAAAATAAGTATGGCTCTTTTATATGTTGTTCGCTCGTGAGACGACAATTCTTGCCAAATGCGCAAGTTGTGCTGGCAATTTTGACGAAGTCACGGACCAGATACTGAAAAAGATTCCAGACAAGGATACAAAAATGACATATTCGCAAGGAAATTATTTATTTCATTATGTAAGAGAAAATGGAATTGTATATTACGCCATAACAGAAGATGAATTTGAGCGCTCGAAGGCGTTCCAATTTTTGGGAGAAATAAAAAGAAAGTTTCAGAGAAACTATGGAGATCTTGCTTTGACAGCTTTACCATATGCGATGGATAATGAATTTTCTCGAGAACTGTGGTCTCATATGCAAAAGTATTCCAAACCTGTCGTGGAATCCCCCGAGATTTCAAAAGTAAAACAAGTCAACGATCAGCTTGATGAATTAAAGGGTATAATGGTGAAAAATATTGATAGCATAACAGAACGCGGAGAAAATCTCAATCTACTTGTGGATAAAACAGAAGATCTTAGCCAATCATCTGTCACTTTCAAAAAACAAAGCACTAACCTAGCTAGGAAGCTATTTTGGAAAAATGTTAAAATAACAATCGTCCTGATTGTTGTTGCAATAATAGTCATATATTTTTTGGTTTCTGCGGGTTGTGGAGGACTAAGTTGGCCAAAGTGCGTGGGGAAATCTAATAATGGTTCAAGAATTGATTGAATTTATTATTTGATGATTCGTGTAGTGAGTTTGTCATATAGTTTGCCAAAGTTTGGTATTAGTGATTTGGGTTATTTTTTTCATGCATTTTGAAGTCAAATTTTTGTTATTTGATAATGGTTCTAGTTTTGTGTTGTGCATTAAGCTGAAAATAGTGGTTATAAACTGAACCTATGAATTGGTGAATTCTCTAAGTTTGTTCAATACCTCTGCTAGAGCGGACTTTTTCATTTATAGTTTTTGAGTGATACAAAAGTGCCGTCAAACTATTAAAAGGCAGATTTGGAGTATGAGTTTTACTTAACAAATACGGTTATTCTTCAATGATTTTCACCAATGAGTCATTTCCTGACTTCGTTAATGTACAAGCATATATTGGGAAACACTTGTCAATTTGGTTCTGTTAAATACTGGATATTCGTTAGTCGTACATGTTATTTTTTTTGATGAGTTTCATTCACTTGCCTTGAGTAGCTCTTATTGTATTATATTTTTTCATCAACCTGAATTGTCATTATGGTTTCATGTTGGACGAATAAATAAATCATGCTAGAAACTATGGCTGATTAGTTATTCCCCATTTACCATACCTAGTCTAATATTTACTGTTAATTCATTGCATTGGTCTGTTCAATCTGTTTCAATGTATTTGAAGAACCCTTGCACGCAACTATATCTTCACAAAAATTGATATTGTGTTTCATGTGTAAAGTAAGTGGTGCAACGATAATAAGACTCTTGGCACAATGCATGACAGAAAGTTTATTTTAAAAGTTCAGGAAATGATAATCCTTCATATTTTTGATAAGTTTGTTTTGTTGTATTTTAGGGTATGATAGTTTTTAGTTGTGTCCTTTTGTTATGTCTCATTTTCACTCCATTAGCTGTATATTTTTCTGTCCAGTGGTCATATGATAAATAAATATAACTTGACAACCCTTTTTAAATCGAATTTCCACGAATGGACATATTCTACTAACATGAATGACTATTCAAAACTGTGTAAAATTACATATATCCCCAATTTTGATGATTCTGGGATTTCGGAAATATATTCATTTGTGAATTTCATATACTCTAAATTGTTTGGACTCCTCTGAATTGCTCTCATGCGCTTGAAACATAGCATTGTTTATCTCACTTGACTGTTTTATAAATGAATATGTCTTCAGTTATGCCAGGGGGGCCAACCTGTCTTTGACTGAGATTGACTTAATTTTTCACAATATCTTGCGATTGACTGATGGAAATAAAGTCACACACAAAAATGAAAGTACTAAATTTAGAACTGAACATCAATAAGGATGTTCCGCTTCAAATCCCTGAACACCAGACACTAGAGCTGCTTGTGGATATAGCCATCCTAATTATCCCCTGCTTAGACTGGAACCCTGTTCACCCCCAGATTCTTAAAAAAGCCCGTGCGGGATTGCTCTGGTATGGTGGGCTCAGTTTTGACAGATACCACACAAGAACCTGCTGCTTAATAAGAATGTTCATGTTTAAATGAGTGATGCTTGGATATTGGTTAAACACATATTCCTTGCAGGTATGTTGGTAAGCAGCAATCGACAACTCAAGACGTGGCGATTGTCGTGTTGGTCACCCCTGAGTTATGCCATAGAAGTTTTTTGAAAGCTGTGCGACTGTGCTAAAATTCTTCTTTTTAAATCTATAAGTTCAATTATTATGACAAGTGTTATGACAAAGTTTTCGTAATACTCTTTATTTGTGCCTTAGTTATCTTGGGTTTTATTAGATATGGTATAAATGTATATGATTTGCACCAAAATTCATACGAGTGCTTATTTGAATGAGACAGGTAATCTAAATGCTCAAAAAAAGTTTACTGAGAGGCATCAGACTCTGATATAAATTAGATTTTATTTTGTTGAAGTTGTTAAAATTTTTAAATTCTCAAATCGCAAGTTCAATCTTTTTTCGTTAACTGTTCACTGCAAATTAATCATCTTTCTTTAGTGTCATGAACAATCAGTGTTGACTTCAATTCGTTAAAAATTCATGATATACAAGGAATTTTTTTTTGTGGAAATTCTCTGCTGTAAATTAAAACTAAATTCTTCAAGGCTGCTTATTTAATACAGGGATGTATAAATTCCAAAATCTGTTGCCCATTTTCAATATCTCAAATCGAGGGGTATTTTTTATCAGTACTATAATATAGAAATAATGAAGTTACATTGTGTACTATCATTGCAAATATCATAAACATACTTATATATAATGTTGCTTTTTTATATAGCACTTCAATAAAAGTAGAATAAATCAAAATGGATTCTGAAGATTTTCAATTAGCAGAAGAATATTTTGCATTTGCTATCGAATTGGCAAAAAAGGTTGGCCCAATGATCCGGGATGCTTTTTACTCGGAAAAAGAAATATTGACAAAATCTTGCACAACAGATCTTGTGACGGAGACTGCATCAAAATGTGGAAAAAACAATTTTAGAAGCAATAAAGAATTTCCTTACCCTAAACCATTTGATTTCATAGGCGAGAGTCTGTGCGCGGCGACTAAAATTGTAATTTAACGGACACTCCTACATGGATTGTAGATCCTATTGACGGAACAACTAATTTCGTTCATCGATTTTCCGTATGTTGCTGATGTATTGGGTCGTCTGGAAAAAGAAAGTCTTTTTGGTGTAGTTTATAACCCGATTTTGAATGAGATGTTTACAGCATTCAAAGGTAAAGGAGCTAATTTGAACGATAAAAAATTAAAAGTTTCAGAAAGAACAGGATTTGGGGAAAAGTATGATAATGACTGATGTGGTTCGAGTCAGATCCAAAAGCACTTAGATAAAAATCTTAAAAACATGCAATCTGTTATCAGTGCCCCTGTACATGCTATTCATAGCCTTGAAGTGCAGCTTGCAATATTTGCATGGTTGCCCAAGGGGAGCAGAGGCATATTATGAATTTGGCATTCATTGTTGGGAATTATTGTGCTGCCGGAATCATTGTGGAAGAAGCCGGTGGTGTAGTCATTGACACTCAAGGTGGTGAATTGGATCTTATGAGACGAAGAATAATAGCGGCAAACAATATGTCAGTGGCAAAAAGTTTGTCAAATGTGATTGTGGAACAAATGGAATTACCTAGAGATTAATGTCAGAGCGGTTAAGCCTGATGAAAATTTTGGCGGACCACCTTCATACAAAAGAACTAAGCTTATGAAATAAAAGTATACGCGTTAGGAAATTCATGTTGACATTATACTAAAAAATGAAAGTTATGCTATTTAATGCGAGATCTGTATTTGTTGGCTGGCCATCTGTTCCCATATTGAAGATATGGTCGACACCGACACACGTAACGTGTTTCTTACATCCAGCCTACCTCGATTTTGTAGTTATCAATATCGAAAAACCAGGCCTCACAATAATAAGATGTTGGAAAAGGTAACAATGGCTGTAAGCCTTCTGTCTCTAGTCTGGGTATTGATTGATGTTTGACTTTGTTGGTGTTTATTTGCCATAACGAATTGTTTTAACCCGATGTGCTTACTTCATGATTATCCTGATTCTGAAGTATAGAATTACCACTGACCGGTTATCTACGAGCCAGTAGTGGAGCAGTCACGTTCTCAGCGAGAATCATTTTGTTCGAGATCTTATTCGGACTGATGTGAGACTTTCAAATGCAGGCATAGAGGAAACAATTGACCCAGCATTATTGCGACCTGATGACATGGGAATAGGTTGTGAAGTCAGACATACTGCTGAAATGCATTGTGTTTGTCCGGTTTGCTGTTGGGGGCTGTTTTTTAGTCGTTTCAGTGTAAAACATTTTAATACTGGAAAAAATTAAATTGAGCACTTCACTTGAAAACCGAATTCTGTTAAACATTCTATATTGCTCATCCCTAACTGCTCAGCTCTGTAGTAGCCTATACACAGATTTTTCTATACTGTTTCATTTTCAAAACTTTGAATTTTATTGTTTTATACTGAAATAAAAGTTTTGCTTAGAATGAATTGTTGAATTTTGCTACAAAAATTGTTAATCGATAAACTATAGTGTAATTTGCGTACTAAATATATGCAAAGCTTTTTTGTAATTTGAAATTGTAGGGTATATTATATTTTTTGCTCTATTCAGGTAATATATTATTAAATCACAGTTCAATTTTTTATGAATGAAAAAAGCTGCTTTTATTATTTTAATTGTATTAAAACAATTGTATTCAAGATGCTTAATTGATCTGTTATGCACCAACATCTGTTTTTTGATCTTCCCAGTTCTGTTTATTGGTTATCTTTTTGAAGTCATGAATAGAATATGGAATAATTTTTGAGAAAAAAATTAGCAATATATTATTTGTATGTAGTAGATGGTTGAATCTCAGATATATCAGTGCTTTAATGTAGGACTAATTTACTATAGACACAGACTCCAGGCTACGGGTTTTGAAAATTTCAGCTTTGAACTCGAAGAAAATCAAATTTTGAAAACCAAACACTTTGCATATGCAAGCTTTCTGTAAAAGGCCGATAAAATTTATACTCTTCAAGTTTATCTGGAAAATTATGATTTCTATCATCATCAAAAGTCTGAAATCCCAACGATAGGAAAATCAGAATTTTGATTTCAGCTCTGGGAAAATATGACTCCAACTTCACATCCCTAGTAGTGGTATACATTGTAGAATATTTGTATATTATTTGTTTGTAATTCTGCTGACTAAGATTCATTTCATTCGATTATTCGTCATTGTTCAATAATGTTAAAAAATTATAATTCTGCTATATCTGCTGCGCAGTGAGTCAAATGGAATTTTTCAAATCAGAAATCTATGTAAGAATATTTAGTATATGACCCTGGACTGGGTTAAAGTTGGTTGGGTATTTTAATCAATTTGGGATCTGATAGTTGCTTTCAGACTTTCTTATGACTGTGATGGCAGTTAAAGCATAGACTTGTTATGTTATGGCGCATCACAGTCCACACATCGCAGTTTCAGATCCCATGCCCCCACCTTACCCAGGGTAAAAATGGGTAGGCAAAAGCGAACCGGAAAGATTCTGGTCATACGAAATATAGTAACTGCCCATGTATCAGTGCCGCTCAAAGTTAAATCCTAGATGCTTTTGAACAAAATCCTGATAAGCTACAAAGTTTGTGTGCTTGCAATAATATTTCATCATTTTCATGCAAGAGTCTTTCGGCCACTCTTCTTTATTTCATTTATGCTCTTGGCGTTAGGAATAATTGTATAAAATTATATCCATGACGCTTTGATTACTCAGTAACCTATTTACTCACTTTATATTTTGTATTATTCAACTAGATTACTATAATAATGAATGACGGACACGGGAATCCTCAGCAAAATAGATCATACTCAACATTCCCTGGTAATCTGATGACATCTGATTCACATTCATTGCATGGACAAGAATGTGATCCCCCGTTAATGCAGACAACAGCGTCATGGGTTCCTGGACAATCTGCTTTTGGTATGTTGACAAATTTTTATTCATTCTCAGAAAAGAGTTGAAAGCTAAAGTGGAGCTTTTAACTTGTTGGTGTCACGATTAAATATCTGGTTAACCAGAATGATACTGATCTCTCAAATATACTTGCGTGTCTGTACTGAGCTCTCCTCAAAGGAAAGGTGTGAAATGCTGCATATAAGGAAAACAATGTCTTTTGTTTCATTAGTAAAAAGCATCATTTTTATTATTTTCAGATGAAATGGACGCTGACCACACTGGGGGTGATTTTTCAATTTCAACATCATCAGTATATTGTCAATCGATGTCTCTATTACAGTCGCCTCCTGCGACACAACGTAGAAGCGAAGGATTCTCTGCAAAAAGTCCAGTGTTCCCCCACACCGAGATTCAGACCCCACCAGTTCATGTTGATGCTGATACAACAGGAACATTTCATTCTCTAACTCCTTTGACAGATATGCAACAGCTTACAGACTTGCAACCTGTTACTCCTTCAAGAATAAACGATTCTCCTCGAAAGCTTTGTGGTAAATTCAGAAATTTTTACATAAGTCTTCTATTTTTGAATATCACGATATTCTAGCAAAAAAATCAAGGATTCAATCTTGAGAATAGTTTTTATACTCAATATTTTAAATTCCCAATTTTAAGTGTAATTTAGTAAACTCACATTAGACAAACTGTCATTTTTAGCAATTGAATTCTAACAGTGAGGCTAAAAATTTTGTTACTGTTGAGATCCTAATTTGAATTTATTGTAAATACACTTAAAAACTTATCCAATCTACATTATTTTTTAACAATCAATTATACAATTGAGGTGTTGAACCATTCAATGAATTTATTATATTCCTCATTACTTATCGATCTTTATCGATGAGTATGTTGATTGGTATTATGTCTGTCTGTCCTGTATGTTTTGTTCTGTGTAGATGCACGAAGCAAGGTGAATCTGCTTCCAATTTGCATGCTGCATTGCATATCTCGGACCAGAACTCCTATTGATTTTGGATAAATTATGTCGTATAATTAGCTAGTTATTGATTAATCAGGGATGGGACACAAGGTGTCACTATGGAGTAAGAGCGCTGTTTGGGGAATCCCCCTAACTTTCAAACTTGAACATGCTTGTTAGTTAGGTAACTTGAAAGTTTTTTATGAGTTAATTAAAGACTGTTAGGACTGTTTTATTATTATAGACTGTAGATACATGAGTTGAATTAAATTATCTTCTGTTCAGAGGATATATTTTTGTTTAATTAAGCAGGTTGATTTAATCTTATCATCTTATCTTTTATCATTGACAGGCATTCAGATAAAGCAGAAGAATGGTGATAAAAATACTCATGTCGACCAACCTCCTCATAGTAACGCCAGCTCGCCAGTAACTGAGATCCATTCGTTTAAGTCTCCACCACTCCGTTTCGTCTGGTTGCTCCCGATGGTACAGAATTTCGACCAGTATATCGAAAAAGGGAAACGGTCGAATCTCAATCACTTATCCATTGGATATGTTGGCATCATTTAGACAAGGTAATCGACTTTTTTAAATTTTGAATTCTGATTTAAAATATTCCGTTCTTTTGAGAAATAGTAGCCTTTTACTTATTACTAGATAACAATGGCTGCTTGTTGTATAAATTTTGGGTGTTATATAAAAAGAAAATTATATTAAATTTTGCAAATGTTTTTCTTAATATGTCATATTTACTTCAGATAAATCAGTTTTTTGTTTCGAGAAATATTATCACTTTGTCTAACTTGGTCCAGGAAATACTGAAGTCATAAATATCATTTTAGACTGTGATGCATTATTTTCAGATCCTACATTATTGTCGAGTTCATCTGCAGCCTCAATGGACTGCTTCTCGCAGGTATTTACTTTTCACTAGTTTCTTGAAGTGTTGCGGACACTTGAGTCATTGACTCAACTCAAGTCACCAAAATCAAATATTTTTAATGAATAGCGGATGATTTTAACCTATATTCAAGTTGAGAGCGCTAGGGGTTCGATACTCTCTTCGAAAATTCCCTTTTTTCTTTTCGAGCTTCTGTATAAAATTTAGACTTGAACTATTTGTGAGTTGGAAAAATTTTGACTTGAACTCCAGTAAGTTGGAAAATACAACTCTAATTAAAACATGTCGGACTCTGACCCCATAGCCCTTTTGGAAATTTGCATTGCCTGTATGCACATCAATGCAGCAAACCTACCTAAGTTTATATTATAGGTCGTGTATTGATATACTATTTGTTAGACTTTGTGTACTTTAACAAAGTCTTTATTTGTTCTGCTGTTATCTGACCCTTGTAGTAATTGTTCTATTATTTTGCAGTTTTTGATGCATCCTGTGTTACCGAAAGTACCAGATAGTTCTCCAGTATCAGAAAATTCACAGTCAAAACCGGTTCTTTCGACCGTTTCTGAATCACCGGTAAGCAGTTGTTGAAGTCAAAAAAAAACGTTTTTTTGTTAAATGAATTTTGAAATTTGTCGATTGGTAGATTTTGAGTCATATCCATTTTCTGTTGTTTATCTTATCTAATGAATGTGATTTTACTTGTGATTTGGTACTGCATTGACTTGACTCGACTTCCAACTTGAGATTCTGATGACTCATGCCATTTTGCCTTTCAATTTTTTTTTTTTGTTACTCACTGCGCCGGGTTTAAATCTTATTCCCATCACCTCAATCAAGGTGTTATAAATTAAGTAGCCAATGCCGAATTAGAGAGATTCGGGTTCTTCCAATATAAAGTAGCTACTTACTCAAAAGCTCAGTGATTCCTTGTTTGAAGTAATAGCTATATAAATACATTGTATAATAAATCATCATGCACAATTCTATGTTAATCATACTTTAGTTTGAATTTTAGATGAAAATACTTATAGTTACAGTTGAAACAGTTTTTATGGTTGAAAGATATCATAAAATATACGAACTTTCTGATTCTAAATTTGATTGGATTCTACTCAAAAAATACATCAAAACAAAAATCATACACTCATTTCAAACAGTTCTTTTTTAGTATTTATTTCACTTTACCATAATAAGTGTATTGATCACATTCAGACCGCCAGCACTCAACCTGAAAAGAAATTGGAAACAAACGTAGGTCTCGAAACGGGAGAAACTTTAGATAAAGATGAAAATGAAGAGGATATAGAAGAAAGACAAAGCGTACAAAATATAACAAAAGCTTTAAATATAGAATGCGATGTATATAGAGCCAATAAAAAAAGAAGAGGAATGAAAAGTGATGTGAGTTTAACTGTTATTACAATGTCATTCAAAAGTGGAAATAAAGCCATTTGGTCAAAATATTACTCACTGGATATGGTCCTTGTTTTACAGGCACATAATAAGTTACCTAAAGAAGTTCAAGGTTTAATGGGAGAAGCCAATCTATGCTTTGCCAGAGGAAAATATGACGATGCATTGAAAATGTGCATGGAAATTATCAGAATTGGTATGTAGAACTACTTGTTTTCTATCAGATTATTTTTTGTAGTAAATTGGCTAGTTCAGCATAATGGCCTAGCTCAGGGGTGTGCAACGTTTTTTGTCGGGGGGGGGGGGGGGGGGCTATATAACGAACTTCATACATCCAGTAGGGCCACACAAAAAATTTAGTTTTTCCATGTGTAGAATGAATTAAAAACTTCTGACAATGCAAAATTTCATTTATACATTACAGTAACATTTTAGTGGACACTCGAAATTTAAAGTTTTTACATAGTTTGGTAACATCAGATTGACAGAAGTTGTAGCAACCCCTAGCTGACTGGGCAACTGTTCATCAGTCAGCTGACAAGGGAAGAGAGAGAGACAGAATAAGGCTATATAAAGGCAACAGGCAAAACGGCGAAATATCTAAGGCAGTGACAAGAGCAAAAAAAACATTGTGTATTTTACCCATGTGAGCGCCTTTTTAAACATAAACTGTCTGATTAGAATTTTATGCGAGTGTTGACAAAGGCCACACTAAATGGCTTTTTGCTTTGAACAAGGCTCTATACAATCAGTCACTGAGATCTAATGATACGTGAGGAGCTACTATTATTTGGAAGGACCAGAATCCTTTCCATCATTATTGCATACCTAACTTAATACACCCTGAGTGAGATGGATGCATAGGATTTGAAGTGAAGATGTGTAATCTGTGATGCAAGCAAAATTAAGTGTAACACTTGATTCAGAATTCGGTGTAAATTTTTTTGACTTCACATCTCTTCTGATTAAATGTTACTGGATAGTATTTTAGCATTTCATATATTGGTCATGTTTTTTTTTAGCTCCCTGGTGCCCAGATCCATTTGAAACATTGGCGATGATTTATGAAGAACGTGGTGAAAATATCAAGGGATTGCAATATTCATTACTTGCAGCTTATCTTCAAACTGGTGATGTTGATCTATGGTTGAGATTAGCGGAAAACTGTGAGGATGCAGGACTTCTAATGCAAGCTGCCCATTGTTATAACAAGGGTAAATAATTGAATATGTAGTTACGAAAAAGAAGGGTCTTTTACTAATAATAACTAAATACTAGTAACTAAACCTTTTTAAATCTAAGTCTCCTAGGGCAACAATGGTGATGCATTGCCATAGGCATTTTTTTTTGTGTACGATGCCGTTTGAAAACAAAATTTTTGAGATTCGAATGAACTAAAGAAATCCAAAATATCAGTGCATCTGGATGGTAGTGACTTTAATACGTTTAAAAGCCCCTATGAAAAATAAAATTCTCATTATCAATTCAAATGTATTTCTTTCTTTTCAAACTCTTTTGAAACCATAATAAGATTTGAGTAGCATTATAAACATTTTTCAGTAATTCATATATGAATACAAATATATATGCATGCAAATCTGTTTTTCCGTACCTGAATTCAGTGCTATCTTATGACTGAACTATGAATTTTATATGTAAAGTTATCTGGTTAAATGTTATGATAAATCATAATAACTTGAAGTCAGCCAGGTACCCAACGTTGGGTCCATTTTAAGATTATCGATCACTGTATTCTTATTTCTCTATTGTATGGTTTTTTTCACTTTCCAGCATTGAAGCTAAAACCTGATGACTATAAATTGTACTGGGCGGCTGCAGTATCCCAACAACAACTTGGTAACGTACATCAAGCACTTGTCCTATTCAAATCTGTTGTTCGTCTTATACCTGAAACTGAAGTTGCGCAGCGTATGGCATTGGCAAGAGATATTGCCAGGTAACTGTGGTTTTCTTATCCAGCTTCTGTGTTTTTATTTGACTGTGAATCAGATTTATAAAAGGAAGAAAGAATTCGACCAGATAAGACCTAAATAAAATCAGAATTTTTCTGAGTTTTTGTGGTGTACTTATATACTCCCGAAGTATATGAACAAAGATGGCAAACACCGGAACATAGTATGTGTACCAGGTTAAAGTTAAGCCATATTTTAAGGTATATTTTAAATACTACGGGAGTCACTTGCCTAGTCCCTGAACTCGTAATAGAACTAAAATAAGGGAAATTGGAATAAAATTATGGCCTAACCCTAACCTGGTACACATACTACATTCCGGTGTCCATAATTTAAGGTACAAATACTACGGAAGTCACTTGGCTAGTCTCTGAACTCGAAATAGAACTAAAATAAGGAAAATTGGAATAAAATTATGGCCTAACCCTAACCTGGTACACATACTACGTTCTGGTGTCAGCCATCTTGGTTCACATACTTCGGGAGTACCAAAATTTGTAGTTAGACAACAACCACATCTCCAAACTCCAATATTAATGAAAAAATATACCCTATTCCGACTCCTCAGTTCTGAATATTCAGAAAAATTTAAACCCCTTACTGAATGCCCATAATAAAACATGTTACTGCAGATTTCAGAACATTCCACCTCAATTCAATGTTGAAGTTATTGTTTCATTTTTCTTTTTACAGAGCGTGTCATGCCAATGAAGAAACAGCGTTAGCATTAGAAGTGATGGATGAAGTTGCTTCTAAACATCCAGATCATGTCAAATATGAAGATGTCAATGTAATGTGTGAATTAGCGATTACTTCTAAGCAATACAGAAAAGTATTTGACGTGAGTGAAAGAATTTGATTTTAATCAAAAAAAATTTGGTGGTCATAATTAGGCTTTAACCCAAAAGGGCCAAACTTAAAGTCTTATTTAGAAAATGAGCAAAAAGTAAATGTTTGGTTTCTAAACTTTTTTTAAACTTTTGATTGAAATGATTTCCCCCAATATTGCTCCAAACTATAATTAGATATCAATTTATTATTGAATAGCACCCATTTTTTGTGATATTTTTAAATAAATATTCACCCTAATAAATTACTCCTACAAATGGCCTAGACCAGTGACCGCATGGTTCAACCTATCAATGAGCTGTCTTATTGCCTTTCCGCAATTTCAAATCTTCGTTCTAATACCAAGATTTCCTCTTTCAACTTAGGTAATGGTTAAACATTGTCAAATAGAAGTTCAATATGAGTCAGAAATGGATACAGATGAAATAACGGAAGAAGTTGAAAATAATATTGGTATGAAATTTCACTCTTATCTCCTCTTCAGCGATTGATTGTTTTGTTCAACAGTAGCCCAGGTGCTACATGTTACCTCAATCTTGTGCATTGTCCTACACTAGAATTTCTCAAATTGGGCCCTTTTGGGTGTCGTAAATGGTTAGAAGCTGGAGTCACTAAAATATCTCGTAGCTCCCATTATGGTAAGCTTGGCTCTGGTTCTAAAGCAAATAATATTCTCATAAATCTCAATTTTTATTTTTCAAGATTTTGAAATATTTTATTTTTATTAACAGATTTTACACTAGCACATGTCAAAATTCCAGAGCATTTACCAATTGATCTAAAATGTAAATGTGTGTTGGCAGCGATTCCAATGAAATGTTTTAACGTCGTTGAAGATATATTTCATGAAATATGTGGAATGGACGCATCAGAATATGGTAAAGACTAGTGTATTGAGTTATTTTTCGCTAAAATGGAAGGTTTTTCCAATTTTTTCTCTTCTTTATTTTGCTCTGTGAAGCTAGTAATAGGCTGGCCCAAAATGGCAAACAATCCTAGCTGTTGAATAAGACGATCTCAGAAAATCAGGACAAAAAATGGGTCCAGAAATTGGCTTCCGAAAATAAATAACTGGCTAACTAATCCCATACCCGACCTGGACTGGTAACCGGACGAGATACCGTGGTTCGCCATATGGATAAGTCGTTTTATCGGCTTTCCTCTCCCCCTGGATAAATATGTGAATCCTATCCTGTGTCTCACACTTGTACTGTATACCATTTGTACCTAGCTATGTCCTGGTCTTTAATACCTTATTTCAAGTTTTATACTTATCCTAGACCAGGACATAGGTATAAAACTTAGGATAGAGTAATAAAATAAACCTAAGTAGGATTCATGCTCTTTTCCGAGCTGGGGTTGTAATGGTGATAATGGGTCGCAGCATTTTAGAGTAACCTGTATTTTTGTATGAATTATATCTAACCCTCTTGCAATACTGTTAAAACTCTTATTCCTTTGAATGGTAATTTGCATCATGTAAGCTTTTCATTAGCGGACAGGAACCCAATGTTTTAAAATTAAGTAAATTGTATTATACGTTGGACTTACACTTTAGTGCAGGATTTCTCCCTAGAGGGACTTCGCCTTTTTCTTTAATGCCCACTGAATAAGTGTTTAGCTTTTTTTTTATTAGACCAGGAATGGTGACAAGACAATAGATTTTTCCACGCTTTATCAAAATCTTTGTACTGTATATGATGCTCTTAATATTAGCTCTGATTTTTCCTTTATCAGGCGATTTACAATTCGACATTGCTGAATTATTAATGGATGAATGTCTGTATGTTGAAGCAATTTTTGTTCTTGATATCCTCGTAACTTCTAGCGATTATTCTCTCGCTGCTGTTTGGTTAAAAAAGGGGGAATGTCATAGAGAGCTTGGTCAAGATATTGCAGAAATGAATTGCTTTAAACAGGTGGTTAAGAAAGCACCAGGACATACGAAAGCTTATTTAGCTTTATGTAAAGTTTTGAGAAAACTGGGGAAATGCAGAGAAGCAATTGATGTAAGTTTTTTCCTATTTTTGGTCAAATTTACCACCATCTTTGGTAAAAATCTTGTTTATTTCAAAAAAAATGTGGAATTCTGGGATGTCCACAATCAATATTCAAGTCGTTTTTGACTGTTAAAAACACTTGGTAAAGTCAATGCTTTTTGAGTTTTAGTAATAATTTTCGACTTATTTTATCGCTAATGATAGTCAAAGCAATTCCGGGGATTTCACATTTTCGACTCCTGACTCGGGGGAGTTGGATAACTGGACTTCCCTTCCGGTGAAAACATGCCAAACTCGGACACCAAAGCCCAAGTGGAATGTCATTAAATCCATTCCATTCATTTAGAATGATTAACTTATAAGTTATTTCCTCAGTTATTGTAAACTTGTAACCGATTGAGGGGCCATGGTATGCTACCTTGAATGATTTATCCTTCCTGTCTTTGAATTATAAATAATTTCAATATCAGATTTATAAAAGGAAGGAAGAATTCACTTTTTTCTGCATCATATTTTATTTATAAGTCTTTGCTTTGCACAGGATGGTACTATAGTTTGGAAATACCAGAATATTTTGATTGCCGCATTGTCTACCCAATTTATTACACACTGTATCGTGGGTTCGAACCTAAAATTTGAATCTGCGGGGCATCGTGGTCAAGTCTGGAAATTCAGATATCAGTGATGCAGTTGAATTTTTAAATAATTTCAAATTTTTTTCCAAGGTTGTGCGAGATGCGGAAACATATGAATTGGACAATGATGAGCAAATGTTGTTGAATTTCGAAAAATTTCACATTTATCATGAATGGTCTGCTGTGTCAAAGAAAAGAGGGTAAGAACTGAGGAGTGTACTAACGCACCTATCCATAATAAATTGATTCAAAGACCAACAAACGTATTGATATTGCCTTTTGGTGAACTTTATGTTAAGTTTGTTAAAAGCATATTAATATGCCTTTTCCTTAGAACAATACATCATTTTTTTATATCAATCCAACCTTTCCTACATATTTTAACAGCCATGAAATACTTTGCAAGGCAGCAGATACAGCTCTTCTTATGATTGCTAATAAGTTGGAAGCAGCTTTTGCCCCTTCTAAGGTTAGTATATTGTTTAGTGTTATTTGTATTACCGTCACTTTGACCCAAAATATTATGCGTTTATTTAATAATGCTTCCTGTTATTTTATTAATCATAACTAAAGCAAATATTGTGGTATGTGACTCATTTCGCGTGATGTGTGATTATTAACACAAGAAACAAGCAATATAATATGCAATTAACAAAATCTATTTAAACCCCCCAAAAAGCTGGGAACAAAATGACAGTATTCATCAGACGTATGGAGTGGAGTCAACTCCCAAGTCTGGGTTGTCTCAGAATCTGGGTTGTAAAACATTTTGACTCGTAATCCAGCTTCGGGGAAAATCAAATGTAGATAACGAAAATTTTGGTATAGGCAAACTATTTTCATGGAAGGTTAAGAATGTTTGGGAAACTTGATGCTTTTTGTAAAGAAAATTGACTATTTTTATCACTAGTTGAAAGCCTGAAATTTGGAATCTGAAGGATTCTAAAAAAGATAACTTCGATGAATAAATGCCAAACTCTGACTCCCACTTGACAGTGACAGTTGACACACCAATTATTTGTATAATATTCGAAATAGGAAATAGAATTGTAGATTATCAACCTTGAATATCGATCTTTTCTAATCTAAATTTTTAATCTAACCAAATCTAATTTGTTTAGACGATGCTAATCAAGAAACCTCGACAGAGTCACAAAAAATTCAAAGGTAATTCCTTGTCACTTATCGATCTTGATCGGTAAGTATGTTGATAGGTATTGGTCTGTTTGTTTGTCTGTTAGATACACGCAATATCTTACGAAAGCGAGGTTAAATCTGCTCCAAATTTTGCGTGTGCATTCATCATATCTCGGACCAGAGACGTATTGATTTTAAATGAATTATGTCGTATAATTAGCAAGTTATCAATTATTTAGTTATGAAGAGATCTAGATTTTTGCAAAGCGAGAGAACGTGTATGACCTAGATCAGATGTTCCCAAACCGCGATTTAAAATGGCCTGCGGAGCTCAGATGAAATAGTGTTCAACAAATTTTGTTTGCGTTCTAATGTGTTACGTGATTATCACAGTTTAAGCATGTGTTTGTTGTAACAATTTAATTAATTATACGCACAGGTATTAGGATTATATAGGGGAGTAATTTCGTTATCAACCACATAAGAAAGCTTAGAGATATTAAAACACAAACGAAAACTAGACTCCGTAAACAGACATTCTTTGGAAACAGTGATGGATCCACTGAACCACAGCTAAAGCGTCGCGCTCTTTCGGGCGCTACACTCCGGCTGCGAACATCCCTCCTATTCTGATTTTGGTTCAGCAAATGAATAAACTGCAGCCTATACGAAATTGCAATTCTAATTTTGGCCCTCAGCTAATAATGTCTGGGAACACCTGACCTAGATTCTTGAGGCGAGAGCGCACATGTGCTGAGTGTGTGTGCGATGCACAAGTTTCCATCGAGAAATTGAGTCAGAGCGAAGGATACACACCGCTGGATCGATAAATCGACAGTCCCTGATCGCTATCTCGTTATTATATTGTTAGGCAAGAGATGATCCTAATGAATGTGGTTACATACCCAAATTGAGTTATTCTACCAACTCTAGTCTAGATTATCAATTGAAATCCTATTTTCAAGGTGACGTACGAGTAACTCGTCGCGTTGGAAAGAATTTTTATAAACATAAAGATAAAAGGACGTTGGCTGCCAGGGGGAATGCTGCTGTCATTAGTATTGAAGATTGGTGGGAATTCTTCTTGGTAAGTACTTCAAGTTAGCTTTATTGGAAATTATTTTTATATCATGCATCTCACAAAACTGTTTATGGAGAAAAAATCATCTTTTTTTTTATTCAAAATGCCCATTTGTACTTTGGCTCCTAGCAAGGCTTTGTACTGAGCAAGCCTACTCATTTTAATACACCCTGAGTGCAGTGGTGAGTGAGCATGGTATTTGTTGCAACAGTCAGTTTGAAAATTACTTTTAATAATAAATTAAACATATTTTATTATTTCCTTTTCAATTAATTCCAAATTACTAGGCCTAATCATAATTTGAATGTTTGTTCCAGCTCACATGTGAAATTCTACTAAAAACTGAGAGATATTTGGATGCTATTACTATTGTTGATGGAGCATTATCTTATGGATATTGGTATTGCAATACAGAAAAGAGATTGAAACTCGAAAGGCTGGCTTGTTCTTTCTGTATGATAAGTGGAAATTATTCACTGGCGTACTCTTTTATGAGGTTTGTTTTACTCATTTTTACTTTGAAATTTGCATTTTTATTCCAAAAGAGGGAATTCGTATTGCAACATAAGAATGTTTCAGTGTCCATTATGGGAGTAAGGATAAAATGCTGGTACCAAAATATTCGAAATAGGTAAATTTTGATTGGAATATCGAGCCCCGTAATACTCGGAGAAAACTTGGAAAAAAAATGAAAATAGTAGCCTTCTAGTGGCTTCAATCTCAAATTACATGAATTGAAAATTTGCAATCAATTGGTGAGAGAGCAGAGTTGGCTTACCCTAGCGGGTCAGAACCTTCCTTTGAAATATAAAGAAAAGTCTGTATCAGCAATTTTTGTAGCTTGAAACGTTTTTTAGGCACTCAAGGCGCTTGAAAAAACACTTTCCCTGTCTTCGGTCGGACCCACTGGCAGCCTAATTGACAATTAGAGATTTCAGAAACCCACCTTTGAAAATTCCTCGCTACGGTCCTGAACAGAGTATCACTGACTACCCATACTAACAAAAGTGGAATTCTTCCTCATGCATAAAACTTTCATTTAGGTGTTGGGTCTGCTCAAATTTTTTTACGTTTACATTTTTTGTGCAGGCCATGGTTATTAAATCGAGCTTCGAGTAATGTTCTGTGGAATTTGTTCAATCAAATCACTGTTAGATCTGAAGATCAAAGACATCACAGATTTTGTTTACGATTTTTAGTAAAGGTCTGTACATTTTCCTAGAAATATTAGTCTATGCTGGTAGTGTTTTTCTAAAAATCTAGGTTTCATAAAATTTTAGACTGTTACTCAAAGAAGTTTTTAAAAAATTTAGGCAATTGAATTTTTGCTGAAGTCAAATATTTTACAAGTGTTACAGTATATATTGTGCTACAATCTAGACTTATCCATATTTTTTATGACATAATTATCTGTATTTTGCTTTAAACGAGGCTCTACCCAGCACTTTAGGTAAGAACTACTTAATTTAAGAACTAATTTGTGATGCCATTATAGTTAAGTCTGACGCTCTAACCACTTGGCCGTGCTCACAAATATGGTTCTTTAGTAGGCTATATTTTTTTTGAATAAACATTTTTGGTAGTTTTTTTTATTAACTCAATCCTTTTCTGTTATTTGGTAGAATGTATCACAATTCACAACAATTTTTTTCTTTTTTGGAACACCCATTTTTCAGTAAAATGGGGGTCCTTGATCTATATCCTTTTCCAAATGATTATTCTATAACAAGTTCTAGTATTATGATAGTCATATTGTAATTCAATCCATATCTTTTATTTATATTGACTACGTTATATAAGGAATCAGTGTATACCATGAAGAATTATACAAGTAATACCATGCTATGATGTATTGAAGAATTGATCCTCTCTTAGCCTCATGTGAATTGATCTGTATTGATTTTTACTCTTGCTTCTATATTATTTCATTACAGGAACCTGATAGTATTGCACTGGCTGTATTAAATGGACATAATTCACTGGCGACTGGGACGTATAAACATTCTCTCGGAGAATACATTCGGGCACATAGAAGGGTGAGCATAGAGTTAAGATAGTAGTATTTTATGGCATTTTTGTATGTTTCATAGCAGAGTATAAAATTTATTTGACTCGAAGAATTGCCACAAGTTTACCGGTACTCGGGTGTTACTAATAGAAAGTCACTGAGATAGAATTGTAGAGGATAGGCAATGGATGGCTTGATCAGTTAGCGATGAGATTTTAATGAACGATTTTTTATACCTTCACAGTTTGACGCAAGGCTTCGTACAAGCCTTTACTTTATTTACTATTTTTTAAGAACAAAAATTTTTCCAATGTTATGTCTATTAAAGTATGACTTGAATCAGTTGAAGCCAATATGTAAAAAGTATATCAATTTATTTACAGCCAGTTTTAATATTTCAGATACCAAGTGAACCAATGTTTATGCTCCTCATCGGAATAATTTATACTCACATTTCTGCTCAACGATTCACCACTCATAAAAACTCACTCGTAGTTCAAGCACTCGCTTTCTTGAATAAATATGCACAGGTATGTCTACCGACTCTTGTGTTAAAAGATTTCGCTTGAAGCACGGCTGTGGAGTCCGACTATGGATCGTAAAAAATTCGACTCCAGAAATAAACTGGGGGAAGAGCAAATATGGTATAACAAAAACGTTGGCGCATGCAAACCTCCTTTAAAAGGCTGTTAGGAAAGCTTAGTAAATTTGAATCTTTTTGCGTATATGAGGAAAATTTTCAACGCCCAATGAAAACATACCAAACTCTATATCCACAGTCCTGGCACAAAGCAAGGTTGGGTATTCTAGAATTATATTTCTTAATTTATTCAAACACAAATTATTTTGATACAATCAATGTTTCCCCAAGTATCTAGATTTTTCCGTAATGATGGTTAATCAGCTATAACCTAACAACCTAACAGTTATGTAACAATTGAAATTTCGGAAAATTCTTTAAACTACACTTTTTACTTGGATAGACTAGGCTAAAATTTGCTTTCTAATGGCAAGTTGTTGAATATTTTGAATCAAAATGGTGGTTATGTAAGCACTCGCTCACAAAAATAAGCATAAATCATTCAATAACCGTAAAGTATAGGATTTATTCTTTTGAGGTTGAAAATCAGGTTAAAAAAACTAGTTATATTCCCTCTCAATTTTTGAAATAATTCCATTTCATATTTTATCCAAACAAAATAAATTACTGGGTACGCTTAAAATTTTTCTGTCAAAAATATTCGGTAATCAAGCATGTTAGATCTCTGTAATATATCTGGCCACATGTAATTCCTCACTTGACTGATTAATTATCTTTTTAGCATCGTAAATGCAGTCAAGAAATCTATTATAACTTGGCTCGCACATTTCACGAACTTGGATTAAGACATTTTGCAGTTCACTGGTATAGGAAAGCACTGGAAACTCCGCCCCCAACTGGTACAGGGCTCGATAATTCAATTATCGACCTCAAATGTGAAATCGGATATAACCTTGCTATTTTATACAGGTATGTCGTTTGATTTTTGGATGTGAAGCGTAGATATGAATCGTTCCGCTAAATTGTTGTTCTTGTTAGGTTGTTGTTGCTAGAAAATTATTTTTAAGAAATACTGGGCCAAGCGATTTTTGATTTCCAGTACTCAAGATGGAAGTAGTTGCAATTTTTTTTTTTTTTTCATTTTGCCTTGGTCATTATTTCACGCTAAATTTTTGTTTTAATTTTAAGGGGACTGCTTTTTATTACTTCTAACTTGAATGCCTCCGCGATGCTTGTCCACTTGTTTCAGTAAACCTGATGCTCTCAATATTTACCATAATACCAGTACTGATGGAAGGCCTTTGTATCCATTTATTTAGACATTGCTTTCTTGGTATATGGTTATTTTTGCAAAATTTATCCATTTTTCTGATAAACCCAATGATTATTTTGCATTTGAATATGGACGTAATCGAAATCACATTTATTTCAATTTTTTGTTGAAAAATGTTTATGTTCTTTTATTATTAACAGAAAGTCTGGCAACCAAGCTCTTGCAATGCAGATATTATCAAAATATTGTATAATATGAAAGGTTAGTATTATACAACCTTTCATATTTATCAAAAGTTTAGAGGTTGCCCATAACCATACTCGGAGATAAGTACTTTTGAGTGAGTTTGCACAATTTTGTTTGTAGCAAATTTTCTTGGAAAAAGTCATTAGAATCCAATATTCTTGGCTGTGGCGATAAGTTTATTTTAGGTGTCAACTGAAAGTAATTCAAAAATAAAAGTTTTTTTTTTTTTTGTGTGACAATCTCTTCAAACTGCAATATATTTGTTAATTTACTTCTTTTTATATATACAGTGTCAAATCATTGGAAAGAAGATTGGATATCCAGCACTGCAGCACAATATGAACTCATAATAAATCTGACATGAATGCTTGAGTCATTTCAGGATGATAATTACAATGCATTGACACAATACCTCATAGTGTTAATGGATATTTATAGGCGTGATCAAATTTCTTGTGGTCGGTAGTCTCTGTTGTAATTGTTTATTGTCAGCTTTGAGATAGGTGAATTTTGCTAGAAGTCCTTTGATATTTAAGAAAAAATTTGATTTGTATTTTGAAGAACTGCATCAGGGCTCTTGAAGTCAGAGTTTAGCATTTTGAGTTTGAGCCAGAGTTCTAGTTTCAAACTCTCGAGAGACGGAATCTGAATTTTAAATTCCTTGCAGTCTAAGTCAGAATTACAGACTCAATGGCGATAAAATAAGTTGACAATCTAAATCCAAAGTTTTCTCTGTAAAATTTATTTTCTCAGTGCTGAAGTCAAAATCTTTTGTAACCCAAGGTTGGAGTCTAAATTTTTTTCAACTCGGAGTCCAAGTCGATTGTTAATTTTCTGCCAACTCCAATCCTCTGATTTATATTGTTTGTTCAATGACATTAGTCTTTGCTGGTTTTATTCAATCTAAATTAGTGATTGTCAATTTGCTATCGTTAATAAAAAAATGCAGGACAAATATCATTTGAGTTTGATATTGCATATTTTGTTAATTGAAAACAAAAAAGGTGTGAAAAGTAACAAGAATCCAGTTTAATATATATAGTCAAGTTGAAACTGAATTCACTCATTGAAATGAATATGAACACAAATTTCCCCTTGCAAAATTCGAAGTTATCTTGCCTTTATATTGTATGTGCTTGCACATTTAGAACAGACAAGCACAGGGCAGCCTCTCTGGACTCTGTTTATTAATATAATGTATTGTTTTGCTCAATCGAAAATAATCTAGCAAAATTTTTTTTGTTAACTTTACATTCAGGTTATCCAAAATGATGTTTTTTAGGTTTTGAACATTTTTGGTTAAATTAGCCACCAACATAAAAAAAATCATATGTTTTTTAATTTTTGGAATGTGTTTAATATGTCGCTTCAAATTCACAATTCATTGTATAACAATAATACTGAATAAGTAAACAATTTTCGATAAGCTACATCGAATGCAAACAATATTTCTTTCCCCCAAACAGCAAACTTTTTCCCCAATTGGTGAATGCTGCCAAATTCAATTTACAGTGCAATTCACAATTGTGTTAGCCTAGATCTAATTGTATCATGTGGACTTATTTGAGTGTATAAAACCTCTATACTATTTTTTTCTGTTCGTTGAACTATATATTTGTCAATACTTTGAAAAGCCATAATTCAGCTAAAACACTGCCACTGTGTGCCCTTAAAATTCTTTATTCTGGTGGATTCAAAGGATATGTTCTGATCAATATTTGCTATTACCTTTTTCTATTTCATTCCATTTTCAGGTTTTAGCATTAATATTGTAGAATTATGTATTAAATAGATTTTAATAGACACAATATATCATGTAAAAAATTCTTACTGGTGCATTTTTGAAAATATCCTCAAACCAACCATGGCTGAAACACATACAGGGAAAAATGTACCGTTGGGAAGTTTTATGAGTGCTATAATTGGTCTTGTATTTGGATTGACCAGCTTGTTCGGTTCTATATTCTTACATGGGCCGATGATACCGCTCATGTTTTTATGGCCATGGTTATACAGACGACTTACAGAGATTGCAGCTTCCATGTGGCAAGCCCTACTAGTGGTGAGTTTGTTTGTTTTTTTGAAAATATATTACCATTATAATAACACTACTTGACGTTGAGCAGCTCGTAACCCGTTTGTGTCCAATACTGCCTGCTTGTCGAGGTCAGCAGCAAAATTGATTATGTTCGATTTTTAGAATAATTTCATCTGAAAGTTTGTCATCTTGAGCATTAGACATCTGACGATCAGACAGCAAATAAACTTAAAATTTTTCTTCTTGCACTCAAAAAATCGAGAATAGAAATCTCCAACATTCTGTATTGCCAAAATTAATTTCGAATTTACAATTATTTTTTTTTCAATTTTCTGTTCAATATGATCCATTTTCAGAATATATTCGACATCTCATATTCTGAAATATTATTTCATGCCCATGTTTTCATCTGTGTGTAAATCGTCATTTGAAATAAATATACTCCAAGCTTGTTTGAACTTCGCCAAACTACTATCTATCGTGTTTTTCAATTAGATGTTACACAATTGTATTTACTATATATTTATACACTACTGTCTTTTTCCGTATAATGCCCAGATAAAGTTTTTCTGCATAGAAATTTAACCCTTTCCATGCGATTTTTATTTTTTATTAAATAATCGTATTTGCTACGCCGATTTTGTGCATTTGTACCCCCACAACTAATCGATCGACTAACGAAAAACGAATGATCCTCTGCTGCCCACTGACGGCTCGTTGGAAAGCTTATTTAAAAAGTTTTTTTAAAAATGGTGGTCTGAGTCACAAACCGGATAGAAAAAGGGCATTTTTTTTTCTTGGGAGTTGAAACTTGAAACCGTAATAAAAAATAAAAATATTCGCTAAATCCTTTACTGTAACCGCTTCGTGGTTGGCAAAAAACAGCATAATATTGCTGTAGCAATTTCGTGATCTAACCCAAAATACTTTGGTAGATGGAAGGGATAATATGTCTTTTATTACCACCCAAAAAACACCGAAATTTGCATAAATTTCAAAAACACTCCCTCGTTCCGCCGCAAATAAAATTCCCGTCGTAAACGAAAGCGAGATTTACCGTCGCTTATGTTAATCTCGAAAAAGACTTCTTATCAATAAACTAAAACCCTTTAAAAACTAGACCAACAGTTTGCGACCGATTGCTAAATAAAACAGTGGAGTACATCAACGTACCCGCCGCAATCTAGCGACTTTTGTCGTTGGTACGTATACGTGCCCACCGCACGGAAAGGGTTAAAAACGTGGCGAATTGCATCGTTTTGCTAAGACGTGTGTTCTATATATCCTCATGAATAAGAATTCATTGGTAATTAATATCATATATTTCTTTTTTCATATGCATCATCTACAAAGGCTACATTAGGTAAGTCTTATTATGTTCATTTTAATATACCCGTACTAAAAATCAATTTGAAATCGATAGGATTTGTAACTTGAAAGTTTTACAGTAAATTACATCATTGTTTTGCAGTATAATATCAAATTGTGGGATAGAGGTATACAGGTTTAAGTTGCAATGAATTTAGTCGGAGTCGATATTCGGAATTTTGAACAAAAATTTATTTTACAGAAACTAAAGATAAATTAATTTGACTAAGCGTTACTAACAGTCTATTAAAGAAGACTAACATGTCTCAAATTTTTTACTTTCGTAATTTGATTTCTTCGTTAATATGAGTCGGAATTGAACATTTTCCTGACTTCACAGCCCTGATAAACAGGAACGATTCATTTTATAACTACAGATAGTCATAAATTACTACTGTCTCTTTATATATATTTGCTGGTATATGGGGGAAATAAAGTAAGAAAGCTTGTTACTCGGTACTCGGTAGTGACAATTTAATATCACAATTATAATAATTTGTCCACACTGAAAAATTTTGCATGAATTCTGATATAAATGAAATACTATTTCCACCAGTGTAAGAGAGAGTATTAGAGTAATACCTATCATTTTTTATGATTGCTGTTGACTTATTATTGAGATCGAAAAAATCGCGTTTCTCTGTGACTAATAGACCAATTAATTTAAAATTGTCAGTACATAAAGGCAGAAAAAGCTTTTCTGTACTTTTTATACTTAACTGGCATATTATCAGACACATTTTATTCATTTCAGAAAAAATCTTCAGAGTCAAACTTGTTATTACTGGCGACACGATACGACGTCATGAAAAAACGTTACTTATTATGAACCATCGAACTCGGCTTGATTGGATGTTTTTCTTTTGTTGTGTATTTCATTGTAGAGTTCTCAATCGTCATAAAATTACTTTAAAATCTATCCTCAAATGGATTCCTGGTGCAGGTATGTTCAGTGATTGAATGCAACATTTAAAGACCGAATTTTCTTTTGTAGCGAACTCACAAACAACAAGTCCCCACAGATTCGTAACTTGCGATGACAACATAATGAGTCCGACTTTTTACCCTGTCTAACCCCACACATGGGACTGACTTAAAAATTTGCCTATTGCACCTATGAATAAATTCTTGTTATAGCTTTCTTTTTGTATTTTTCAGGATGGGGGATGCAAACCTGTGGATATATTTTTCTTGAAAGAAACTGGGAAACTGATAAAAAATACATTACCAATATGCTCAATCATTTTGTTGCACTTAAAGCATATCCTAATTATTTATTTTTTCCTGAAGGTAACTTGATTTTTCAAAAATTTGTCACTGCTATTTGAGCCGAGTTGCTGCTGCTACAAGTCATGAAATGAAAAAATAGGAATTACCTCGACAGTTGACACAGTCTATAGAAAGTTTTGTTTGCGTTAAACCAACTTCATTTTGAAAATGAACCTAATCATGTATTAACAACATTTGCCTTGGCATTCACACAGCTTATGCTGAGATATTACAGCCGCAAGTTAGTAAATTTTCGATTTTTCCAATGAAACATTAATTAATATGATTAATAATAGTTACTGCAATTTATTTTTGCTATTTCACAGTCTCTCTCAAAATTACCTTGGTCAAGTCTGGTATGAGTCTATTTTTCTCGGGTCGTTTGTCTGAAATGTCCCCACCAGTGAAACGTATAACAAGTAGGCTACTTTTCTGTTTCTATTCCAGGTACAGATTTAACTGAGTTTACGAAAGCAAGAAGTAATAAATTTGCAACACAACATAATTTAAAGCAGTACGAATATGTTCTACATCCTAGGACTACAGGATTTATACATATGATCAGCACTCTCCGAGAAGGTAGGAAGAATGCATGTAACAAGAGATGTAATGCTTTGTTTGTAGGATCTTAATTAAGAGTCAGGATCATAATCAAAGTGATCTACGCTGGTGTTGGTTAAAAGTCGCTAGACTACGAATCCAGTCATGTCCTGGGTCATGCGAGTTGATCACTTAGTTAAGTCTTACTGGACTCTATTGGTTGAATTCGAGTCGAGTCACTTCAGAGTCCTTGATGAATGGACACTCGAGTCCAAACTAATCAAATCAATGACTTGAGCTCCCCAAACAATGACATTAGTAATTTTGTAATCACATTAGTATTTTTGTAAAGTAATGCCGAATGCATTGAACTTACGTTTGGACCCGATTATTGTCTCTAAAATTAATATTGGTGAAGCTTGTGGAAATGAATTCCATACAGGACTACTCGCATTGAAATGCTTGTATGAATGAAGCCTGTTATATTGGGCAAAGTCAATTTACATTTCATTATTGTGTAAAAATTTTAAAGCCTAAAGCCAATTTTGGTACAACCATTTTCAACACATCCAGCACAATTTGCTCATGCCTTGCTTAAGATATTGAGCATGAGTTGGACTTGTCAGGTCTCTGATGCAGGACAAAATGTTAACCTCTTGGCCAGGACCATAGAATTCTATTCGATAATAAATTGGTATATTCATCATATAGATGATTTCCCGCTCTCACTCAATGATTGTGATGTCTCAAAAAATCCTAAATCACACCCCTGTTTGAAGCAATAATCCTCGATTCTGAGCTGACCAAATATTTACACTCTCTTATTTACAGCTCTTTTCTCAATCGAAAAATAGGCGGACAGTTCGAAATTTCGTCTCCCAACTTTTTACTCTGGTCAATTTAAAATATGGCTTTGGCAAATTTTGGCCTGATTTTGTTTTGCTAACGGCTGTCCCTAGTTTTTATTTAAAAAACTTCCTAAATTTTCCAATTCTAGATATAATTATTATTTGTCGTAATTACAAAATTTCCTCAACATACATTAAAATTCATATAAACTGTTTCATTTTAGCTTAACAAATCTATATGTTTCTATACAGTTTGCGAAATTCAAGCAGTTCATGATGTCACTGTTGCTTATCCCAAAACACTCTCGCAAGGAGAATCTGATTTAATATCAGGCAATGTACCAGAGGAAGTCCATTTCCATATCAAGAGACATGATATTGAAGAGGTTTGATATTATTTTCATGTTTTATATGTAATTACCCTATTGGAAAAGTTGCTAAAGTAGACCTATCTATGAACAAAGTAACAGACGGCCACTACCAAGAGCTACTAATAATATATACATACATGGTAGTCTATTACTTGTGGGCATTTTCCAATAACTGCAGATTTTAGTATCAAATCAAATATTTTTTTTTAATTGGATCTTGAATATTTGGAGATATTCAATTGTAGGACCTCCTGAAGTATGAGCACCAAGATGGCGCACAACCTGAACTCAGGTTGCGTACCAGGTTAGAGTTCAGGTTGTGCGACATCCTACTTCAGGAGTACGCAATTGGACGTGACTTTTATATTGTATTGGGCCCTCTAGAGACATAAATTACTGAAAATATGGAATCAATCACTCAGACAGTTCGCTGAGTGTTCACATACAATAAGAGGCATAATTCATCCATAACTCACTAGAACATATGTCGGAATAATATTGTAAAAATATAGTTCCAATAAAAATTTACTGTGACCTTTCGGCTTTGATAGACAAAATAAAACTAGGTGGCTATTCGATTTGAAATGCCCAGTTCTATTTATGTGGCAGCATGATGTATTCCAAAACCACTCAATTCAAGTTTTTTTATTTGAATATGTAAAAAAGTTTTGTTTATTCTGATATCCATTATGAAATGTTTATTGTATTTTTAGCTTCCAAAAGATGAGGAGGGTTTATCAGAATGGTGTAAACAAAGATGGAGAGAGAAAGAAGAAATGTTACGAGCATATTACAATGATGAATGCGATACAGGTCAAATACAAACTATCACTGCAAACAGACGTTTTCCAAATGACAAAGTTCCACCATTGTCTGAGCGAGGACTACTGATGTGGTTTACAATTGTTGGTAAGATGGAGAAATTTGTGTCAAATTATTTGATGACTGTAGTGATCTGTATATGCTTTCCATCGTACTGCTTTGCCCCACGGGGGTGATTATTTAAAAGTGAAGGCATTGCTGGAATTGGGATGTTAAGGTTGTCCATTTTACCTTCTGGTTATTTTGTGGGTTTGATGGCCTAGCGGTTAAAGTGCGAGACTCGACTATGTTGGCATTTCAGATTACACATCTCTGGTTCAAATCCCATACTCTCTACCTCACCCAAGGTGTAATAAATTAGGGGGGCAATGCTGAACCAGGAATCATCTCAAATTTGAGTCGGAATCTCAGGTTTTACTTGTTATAATCGAAGAAAATAAGTTCACTGAGCCTTTCTAACAGTCTGTAAATTCGATTTCCCTGAGGGTTCAGAGTTGAAGTCTGTTCCGAAATTGACATTGACCTGGAATTGGAGTCAAATTATGAACGTTGAAATATCTACGGGTCAAAATTTTTCTCAACTTCAGACTCCTTTTTTTTTTGATAATAAATAATTCATTGAGACAGCATGCATAATTCCAAACTATTTTAAAAATATAAATAGGACACCTTGATCTCAGTAAAGTTGTCACACAAAAATAAAAAATATAGAGTACAATTTAGTTAGGTTTGACGTCATCCAAACACATTGACAACTTTTTGATTCGCTAATCTTTTTTTTAGGTTGGTTGGTTTTTCTCATCGCCAGCATCACATTCATCATAGTGTCACCAATAGCACGATGGTTTTCATGTGTGATGATATTGTTTTACGTACTGCAAGGTCGATTGTTTGGCGGGATGGAAAAGCTAGAAATGTTTGTGTATGAAGTTCTGCAGGAATGGAAAAATTCTGGCCAGAAACCTACAAAGCCCAGCTTACATTCAAACACAAAACATGTTAAGAAGCAATAGCATTTGTTTTTATTTATAACTCTGCAATTATTAATATAAAATTATGTATTCACTGTTTAAAATGGGGAACAATAATACTTGATCATTCTTAACTGGTCGGATTTTTCCAATCTTCAATAGACCTTAGTCATTTAACACATTTTGTAGGGAAAACGAGAACGTGGCATAATATGTGTATGTGATCATTCAATATAGACCAATGGGCTGATTATTGTTCAGTTTTTTTCGGAAAAGTCTTTCGTGTTCAGCTTATATGTGAGACCCTTTGTCATTCCTGCGAACTAGGGTTGGTAAGCTGGTTAGAAATCACAATGGCTTTGTCTTCTGAGCTGGGCTCTGGAGTGGCTGCATAGCCATTGAAGTTTTCTTGCATGACCACTACCAGAGACATCAGGTCGAATGCAGTTTGGCAGAGGGGTTTCAAATTTTTAATTTAGCCTAAAATTTTTAATTGATATTAAAAATTGAATTACAAAAAATGGCGCTCCCGAAGTATGTGCACCAAGATGGCGCACAACACCTCTGGAGTTCCCAGAAAATTAACCAAAAAGAATACATTTTATATGAAATATTAAAAAAAACAAATGTGAAAAAATAGTTCGGAACTGAAAGCAATAAAATTTCTGGTTTCAGCTCCATCCATCATGCTAAGCTTGGCTCTAAATTCTCAGCGTTGCTACAAACGCAATTTGTCTTTGTTTTTACTATCTTCAATTGATAATATTTTTGGCATTCTGAATGCTTTAAATTTCAATTGCTTCTTACTGTATTTAGTATATTATAACTCAAAATGTTACATGTAATGAATTGCCTGACTAATTTTTGTAGCCTTTATAGATGTTCACAGGACGATTATTATGCCAGGTTTCTCAAACAGCTTGGCAGTACTCCTACTCCACAGGAACTCAAATTTTAATATAAAAAACATCGACTTTCAGGACCGTTTGGTCGACTAAATTATTTGAGTCTATGTAGAAAATTTTGGCTTTGAATATCACCATGAAAAGTCTAAAATTATGACTTCGAAAAATTCAAGATTTGAACTCTGACCCCACATTCTAGGCAGGGCTTCATTTCAAGTCATCCAGTTGACGCTCGAAGTCATTCACCAGTTATGTTTAGCCTCAAAGAACTTCAAATTGAATCAGAGCTTTTCTGTACATGTACTTTCGGGTCCTGTTTGCAGTAGAATGATCTATCTGAGCATGTTATGGGGTATAAAACATATTTATGTTTCCTTTATCAGATTTGCAATTCCCAAAATATCCTTTTTAATATATGACCATTTTATGTTTACGATTTCATTATGGTTATGTCAGAGTGTGTAGTGGTTATTGGTGTGAATTAGGAAATATATCCTACAGCCCTACAATATAAATCTACATGATTGTGCCTAAATACAAAATTGTAAATGCATAAAATTTGTTTCATATGTTTGTTATGGGTTTATTCACTTTTGTATCAAATTTTAGAAAACGTATTATGCATGTCCTGAAGAACCATATCAAAATAAACATTTGATTGTCACCTGAAAGAGTAAAGAGTGCTTCACATATAATGCTGAAATTTATTAGATTGAAACAACAAAATTATTCTTTTCTTTGTAGACAAAATATATATACAATTAAATTATTCAGATTTCATAACGATCTATTAGCAATAATAAGATTTTGTATTCTTTTCTGTGCCATAATTGGCCATGTATAATGTGTACATTTCAGTCATATGTGGCATATATTCGTAGTGGATTTTAGTGATTCGAATGTTTTATGTGACATAAATATTTGTTGGTATTTTGTTTTATTTGATCTTATCAATGCCCCCTGTTACAATCGTACTCTTCATTTAAAAAAGGTGAAATACCTATATTAGAAACCACCTGTGTTAAATAAGAGAACTGATATTATGTAAAAATATTTTTTGTGTATATTCCAAAACAAATTGATGTTTTTAAAACTCTGTGCTACTTTTCTGTCGTTGAAGACTTTGAAATCAAATCATGCCAGCATTTCACCTAACCACCACAATTTTTTTTATGAGTGTCCTGTTGTATAAACTAATTCTGTAACTTCAAATTGTGTTTGACTTTCATTTGTTTTGTGCAATATTAATCATGTTTGTTACTAATGCAGCTTTCGAGTTCAAAAACATGTTTGCGGCACTTTTGTAGTCTGTCTCGATTTTCGACCTCTCATTCATCTTGTTCAATATGTAAAGTTCCTGTCGGTAATTGTTTTGGTACTTTCTGTAACTTGCTATTCTCCTTTGTCAGTTCCAGTTTCTCATGAATTATTCTAGTTCTGGGAACGTGGTCCCTGAGCATGTAAGCCTAGTTATTTTTCCTTTGACTGAATAATGTACCAGTACTCATCCTTTCAGTCAGTACTTACATACTATTGTTTTTAAATAATTATATATAATTTGCTTTTTAAATTGCCCTTTTTATTTTGAAATGTGCAGTCATTCTCAAGTCTTGATGTTAACATATTTTTGCTATTCTTAGTTGACGACTAATTCTAAATACATTGGAAATAGCAGTTCCTTGAGTTATAGGTAGTATACTTCATTCTCTCCATTCTACCAATTATGCTTCCCCAGTTTGGTATCACAACTCACTTTTTTGAGCACAGCGTACCTACCAGACAAAAAAGAATTCAAGCCCATTTTTTTCCAAGAGCTTCCGTTATGTCGACTTCACACATCATACCTGTTTTCCCAATCGTAATGACATGAACTGCCTTTCGCCAATCGGTACCCTATTCACTAACGTACAATCTTTCACAAATGATTAAAGCTCTTGGCATTTGTTTCTGAGTGAGTGCGCATCGCCTCGCTTTAAACAAACTTGAAAAAAAATTACTGCTTTAGCTTGATAGTATAATTTCGACCCCAAAAATCTTCCTATTTGCGAAAATCGTTTAGCTTCAATTGTAAGTTTCTATTTCAACCTAATGAAAGTAGTATATAGGGACTCTGGTACCATTACCACCAAAATAATAAAATCAACAAATCCACACTTGTGCATATTTGATACCTATTGTTGGAAATTGGAAAAAGAGTTACTTCCTTCTATTTTGTTCACTTTTGATTGGTCTTTCATAATATCAAACACAATAAATGTACGATTCACGAAACTTGGAATTCTATAATATTTGTGTCTGTGCGTCTGTCTGACAGGCAGGCTAGTATATATGAACGAGTATCGTTTTCGTTACTTTGAGAACGTCGGATCATGGAATGGGAGTTTGTATTTATAGTAAAATTTATGATACTCCCGAAGTGCGTGTACTAGGTTAGGGTCGGGCCATAATTTTAGTCCTATTTTCCTTATTTTAGTTCTGTTACGAGTTCGGGGACTGTCTGTGTCAGCCAAGTTAATACAACCCTACCCATAGCTTTCAGTCCTTTTACACAACTTGATGTAAAGCAGGCGAACAGAATTAGTTGAATCCATATTGGTACTTACACTTCTGGAGCGCCAAATTTATACCTATGATATAATAATGTCTAATGAACATCTATTCAAGATGCTGCAAAAAGATTTTTGTTATCGCGACTAGAGAAAGCGGTCATAGTTCGCTTCAAGTCTTGACCAAGAATTTTGGATGATCGACAATTGTAACATGGAAGCGCTTGCCTGAAGAATCTGTAACGTGAGGCCAGCGACGTGGAATGCAGTTACTGTTTTGTAGGTAATCGCGCTGGATTCGGTCGTGCCCAAAGTTTATAGTTACTTTGGTCGTACCATGGGAGAAGCCTTGCACTCGCATAGCGCAGTGGTTCCCAACCTTTGCACCTGGCGAACCGGTAAAATTTAATAAAATGTACTCGCGGATCGGCAAAATGTTGAAATGAGTGGAACGGGAAATAATAACCTATATAATTCAGTGGCGGCGCGTGGTCATTTTGACAACCGGGGCAAGCTACTGCGGGACCAAGTCACCCCCATCTACGGGGACAGGATGAGCGCTGTAAGTTCTCCCATCATTTTATGAGTATAAAAACCATTCCATCGGTAACAACCAATCGGCAAAAGCGACAAGTTTTAACGATAAGAAAGTGTCTTTAAAACCGGTCCAAGTCAAGGGATTAATAAATATAGACATAGTTTATTTTGAAACCTCTTTCAAAAGGAAAGGCAATATTTACCCAGATAAATACAATGACATATTAACAGAAACTTCGGGAAATCAGACAAAACCTAAAATAAGGTTTAAATCGTTACTATGAAGAAAGGAAAGTTAATGCAAAGATAAGGACATGCGTCGCTCACTCATAGATATATATGCTGCTAGACTTCTACTGCTTGAACATATATGCAACACGCCGCGGTTTCTTGGAAGCAAAATGCTCAATAACGCGCTGATTAAAGTCATGCATCCCAGAAATAACGTCTCTGTGAATGGATAAAACAGCCAAGGAATTTAATCTATCTTGCTTCATTGTGTTTCTGAGATACGTTTTGATACGCTTCAGCGTGCTGAATGTTCGCTCTGCGTTGGCGGAAGAAATAGGCGTCGTCAAAATGATGTCCAGAAATTTTGCAGACGCCGCAAAGGTAGTTACTAGAGTGTTATCTATGAGGAACCCATAGAGCGCGCAAGTTGATGTGATGTTCAAAAAGGTTTGATTGGTGTATATACATCGCAATTCATTTTCCAATTTACCCACGTTTATCATGGGGTAAAATTTGGAGACAGTAGCCAACAAATGGATGGGAAATTGACGTGCAAATTTTGAAAAATTTTTGGGGTTCATCAAAGAGAACGCGGCAAGGTGTTCAGTGCGCAGACAATCGCCTATTTGATTCACCAGAATGTCACAGCATTCCTTTGCAGACAAAATCAAACGCTGCATTGTTTGCCCGCGGCGTAAAGAAGCACTCCATGTGTCGTCGTATTTTATTGTTTCCCGGATACGAGATACAGCATCGCAGAAGTCTGAAATACACGACTGCACAGACGCTCCATCCATTAGCCTTGACTGCAATGCGCCGTATAATACATCCACGTGATAGAATATTGTGGAGAAAAAAGCGGGAAAAAGTGAAAACTCACCATCTTCTAGCAGACGCTTTAGACCTGCCGCCTCCCTCACAGAGCGTTCGTCCCAAACCGGAGAGCTCTGAATGCCATTGAAACACTCAAAGAGCTCAGACCTAATTTCGGACACGCCCTGCACCACGCGTGATTGGAAGTTCCAACGTGTTGGTGCACAAGCTGGGAGACGGCGGCTACATATCTGGCGAAGGAGGTCAGAGCGCTTCGGCGAAACGGAAAAAAATGAAGAAAACCCCGAAACATTTGCAAAAAATATACGGACGAGAGGGGTATCAAGACACATATTTTTAATAACGAGGTTAAATTGGTGTGCATTACAATGTAAAAAATGCGCATGAGGAAAATCTTCTTTTATATAAACTTCAACACCATGTTTCGACCCACTCATGACTGCCGCGCCGTCATAAGTTTGAGCTATCAATTTTGACTTCGCGTTGTAAGGCTGTAACACTTCTTTCAGTACAGCCGATATCCCGCAAGCCGTGCGATCAACGATTGGTACAAAGCTGTGAAATCTCTCGGTAGGTTTACCATCTTTCACAAACCGAAAAATCACAGCCAGTTGGGAAACGCACGTGATGTCAGTTGTCTCGTCAGACTGAATCGAAAGGAACTGGCAATTCTCAATTTCCAGAGCCAAATGTTGTAAATAAGTTTTATACATTGAGTCGAGCAAATTATTTTGGATATCCTTAGATGTCCCTTTCGAAACAGTTGCGGCATCAAGATGATCTCTCAATACTGTATCTAGGGATGCGATGTATGCCACCATATCCAAAAATACCCCTTTATTAGAAGAGCCAGCCCGTTCATCGTGCCCACGGAGGGACAGCTCGTGACAACCAATGAACTTCAAAACATCTATCAATCGACCGAGAACATGGCGGTTTTTCTCGACGTTTTGGTTGTGCCGACGAATAGAAACCGCGCGTCCTTCATCCAACTGTGCTGCAATATTAACATTTCCGAATGTTCGGTATTTTACTGCATTGTCCAGTTGCTCCATAGAAGATTGATGATCCCTGGCACGCTCGGAAAGATGTTTAAGATCTCTAAAACCAAATTTACACCAACGTGAGTCACGGGCGGTAGCAAAAAGTAGGCAATAAAAACAAAAAAGTGCATTTTTGTCCTCGCTGTAACACAACCATTCGTGTTTTTTATACCAAGTTTCTGCGCAGAATGTACGCCGACGCTTTCCTCCGTCATGGGATTGTTCCAGTGAACAATTTTTTGGTTGATAAGGCCCAAGACGTTGTACCTCTAATTTTTGTTCCAGCGGCAGCTGCGAAAACGGAGTGCGAAGTAGTGCATCAACCTTATTCATTATGAGGTCTAAGGCTAAGAAATGCGAAGCCGGAAAGAAGTGAGGAGCTCAAAAGGAATGTGGAAAATCGAAAGCAAATGGACTAAAGGTCTCTAACTGATTCAAATAGCGAAACAAGCGACAAAAACAAAGGCGAGGAAACTATCAACTCTTCAAGCAACCAACGAACGAGAAGAAATGCGTCAATATGTCAACACGTTGTTGTAAGAAACGTCGGCATTGTGTCGTCATAATTTCGGGGCTAGCCCCGATCGGCCCCGATGATTTAGTAAAAGAAACAGAAAACAAACGAGACAAACGCGGCGAGTGGAAGATAAAAGAGAGAATACGATATACAATGAGCAACCGGGGCAAAATCGGCGTCGCCCCGTCGACGTTCGGCGAAGGCTTAGCGAGCGAAAAATGAACCATGTCGGGAGAATATGGCTAGTGTAGACAGTCTGTGCAACCGATATTGAGGTATTTTTCGAATATTTTTTATTATACCGAAAAAACAACCGGGGCATTGCCCCGGTTGGCCCTATTGACGCGCCGCCACTGCAGTATATATATTAGAGTAATATAATGCAATATCTGGCACTATGCTTCTATATTTAAAAACAAGGCACACTTAAAAACATTTCACAAGCAAATCAAATGATGTGCCGGTGAAAAATTGAAATGTGGGGAACATAAAATAATACGACATATATGCGTAATAAAATGCAGTACTGAGCACCCACTGTGCGTGAAAAGGCACACAGAAAATATCCCACATGAAAAACATGTAACTGCCAAATCATGTACAAACACAATTAACTCTAGTTAGAATGCGGCTGCTACTACTTTTCCAATATATATATAATTGAAAACGAGGCTTCAACGAAGTTTCTGCAACACGTCGCTCTGCAGCGGCGTCCAGTCGATTTCTTTGCTTCATTTTAATTAAAGCTTGGGTTTTGCGATGAAGAACCGATACAATTTGAAAATGGTGCCATGCTACAGTGGTCTTGTGTGGATGTGATAGGACTACATTTTTATGCGTTTCCCCATTTCAAAAGCTACATATTTTGTGTTGTTATTCATTAAAATGAGTGCAGACTGAGATGATGTAGCCAGCGTATAATATAAAAATATTAAAAATCTTAGACTTATCCGTGGATGAGGTGTTTTTTTTTTATCTTCAGGGGAATCATTATGGATGCGTATGTTTATAAGAAAATATATTCAAACCTTAGAAAAATATTTTTTCAAATATTTGGACATGCTCGTATAGTTATCGGTTCTAATGATCTATCTAATTGCCCTTTAGACCGGTCAAAGAGTTGGCGGCACAAGTTGCAACCCCTTGGGCGATAACCTATAATCGCGATTAAATTGTTATTCGCAGTTAAATTGACGAGTCATTTTGATGAGTCTCCGGTAACGGTTACCGCATCAGTTTGAAGCAAAACCGTGTTTCGTGGTGATTTCCGATTAACAGGACATTAATTGTGTTTAGTTTGATTAGGTATAGCGTTAATAATCTAAAGTTCGGATTATGTCGCTCAATATTCAGCCAAAGACCAAGTCAACTTGACATTCAGATCTGCAGTTATTAAAGTAAAATAAAGAGAATTCGTTCATTCGAGTTTAATTTAGCTAGTGAGTTAGGAAAATTATTATGAAAGCGTTAGTTCGTCCAAACAGAAACAGTTCGCCAGATGCGTAAAGGCAAATATAAAGAACATTACATTCAGTACAGTCCCCTTTCAGGGCCAGAGGATCAGAAACCTATTTTTAGGCATTATTTCCTCAAAGCAGATTGAAGGAGTTTTGCTAAACTGCTTGCAAATCCTACTAAATGGTGGTTTCAAAGCTATCGAAATATTGCTGTCATTTGTATCTTCATAAATCTGCGAATATAGATTTTCTGTCCCGACAGATATTAATATGGACTATTTAAGTCTTTTCAATCGCATCACAGGCAGAATTCCAAGTATTTTGTTGGAATATCTCTACCGTGTGAGCGTTAATTTATTCGAGGTAATGGAGGTTTGACTTTAGATAGTGAAGCGCTTATGGTCGCACCAGAGAATACTGTCTGTTGCTCAAAATATTTTCCAATAAACTTAACACGAACCAAGCCATATGTTCGCTTGTCATGATAGGTGCAGGCTAAGTCAAAATTGTTTTTCTCCAACGGTGTAAGCTTACACTTATGCGAGTTTGGAACGTAAGTGGACGCTTGGTACGAAATCTCTGGAGAATAAGGACGCACTGCACAGCAGGGCTGCCACTTTTGCTTGACTAAAAACATCTAGATTGAAAAGAAAAAACATCTAGAAAATACATCTAGATATGAAGTCATTGAATTTGATGAAAATTAACGAAACAAGAGCATACAAAGTTTATTATCTTACATAATACAGTATTATTAGATGTCGGAGAAGCTAACTTCACAACCTAGAATTCAATTCCCACCTGCAGAACTTACAAAGGCCTTGTTCTTATCATCTGAAGGGGCAATCCATTCCTTAAAGGTTCCTTATTACAATCTTTTCTAAATTTTTGCTGGTATTGTTTAAACTTTAAATTTTGAAAGATTGATGTTTAAAGAGAGACAAATTCACTAGAACTTATAGACTTAAATAACTTTATAATTTTAAAATCTTGGAGTAAGCAACTTGAACAACAAAAGTTATTCTCACCCCTTGGCAGCTTGGCAACAATACAATATTAAGCACTGACTCATCGGACCAACATCGTCCTTTCTATTTTAACGTTAATTAAAACGTCGCGGTAGCATTCTTAGCAAGATTGCAGAAACAAAACAAAAAAACAGTATATTATGGTTTTTGCTAATTTAACTAAAGCTAATTATACTAGCCCTTAGATTTGAGTCATGTATATAAAAAAAATAGTTCATGATAGTTCAGGTATTAAAATTGATCAATTGAAATATAGCCTATACGGTATACCGCGCTTTTTTAGGATCGATCAAACACGGTTCTCGTAATGTAACCGTACTCAACTTATAGACCATTGGTTTTCGAACAATATCAAGCTATTCATTTAGTGACAATGCTAACTTATAGATTTTCAAAGCAATATGTGATCTGAGCGTGAGAGTCCAGAAGAATCGTAAGAATTTATTATTGCATGAAGGCTTTGAATTTGAACGTGATTAAAATATTCATTTCGGCTAACATAATATATATATATATGCTTTCAAACCAGGTTTATTTAACGTTTATATCTGGGCACCAATTTAAATCAAAAAAGGTATCATGGGCGAAGAGGTAAATCTAAGTGTAATGTGAGTACACATTTCTTATTATTATAAATTATATATATATAATGAAATGTAAGCGTTTCAAAATACGAAATACCTCTTTTTTAGATATGGTAAAAATGCTTTAAAACATATTCGTACTTTCCCCCTTTCGCTAGTAATCTTCTTGTAAAATATCCACGCACTCGCCAATTCACCCGTCATCGTGTTTTTTACATATATTCGTGTAATATGAAGGGTTTAAAGCAGGGGAGGGCAATGTTTTTGAACCACGGGCCTACAATTTTGCCTACCGAGACTGCCGAGCCAGGTAAGTCTGACATGACAAGTTACCTCTTATGAACAATATTTGGACCTCCAGAAGTATGCGCACCAAGATGGCGCACAACCTCAATATAGTATGTATGTACCGGTTATGATTCAGGTGGTGTGACATCTTGGTGCGCATACTTCTGGAGCACCCCATATTTACAGTGTTTTAAACAAAGGTGGAAAACAATATGCATCGTGCCAATACTAAATTTAAACGCAAAATCAATAAAATACTTGAGCTATTTTACCTTAAAACATTAAAATTTGGTTTTTTAGTTCAGTTGTGGAAGGAACAGGCGGGCCAGATTGAGTTACCCAACCGGCCGTGCTTTGCCCATGTATGGTTTAGTCTGATTATTTGAGAGTATCTTATTGCGGGTTTCCATTTGTATTCTCTGTTATACAAGGCGATATTACCCTTGTAATACATTTATTTCTCATTTCCCCAATTTCCTTCTTGTGTGCTTGTGTCATGTATATATTAGTATTATTTTGTGCAATGACGGAACTCAAAAGCAATTATCGATTCGGGTATATGCATCTATGCATAGTGGATCAATTCTTAGATTTTCTATTTTCATTATACTTAGTGCTTAATTTCGAATTGGTCTTTTCAGAAGCGGCAATGATGTACATGAAAAACCTCCTCTTAATGGACAGAAAGAGTGGCATGTGGAAAGTACTGCCAACACAGCAAAACTTTCGCCAGTACCAACTGTGCCGTTTTATAGCTTGGTGAGTTGTGTACTTTCGTAAACTTTTTCAAGTCGTCGTATAATGTTTTGGTCCACTTTAGCTATTTCGTAAACTTTTTCAAGTCGTCGAGGTCGTATAATGACTTGGTCACTTTAGCTATTTTGTCAAACTGCAGCCAAAGTTTATCCTCACCTTGTCATAATCATGGTGTGGTATGGGTTCGGCGAATTGGAATAGTAACTGTGACACCACAGTCAGGAAAATAGTTTTCTCAGTGAGGCCCTTTGCAAAAAAATATTTTCTGAATGCGGTCCTTGCAAAAGGCTTTGCCCAGCACTGGTTTGGGACGATCAACCATTGTTTCAACCATTTTCATCTTCGACTAATAACGAACCAAAAGGCCGTAGATTTTGGTATTTTTACCCGGTCTTATGGCTTTTCATTTGTTGAATTATATATCTATATATATATATATGAAAACTGATTCTATTTCTTATTTCCATGTATGCTTTTTCTTCGACAGTTTCGTTTTGCGAATGGATTTGATTACTTTTTGTTGGTGATCGGGAGCCTCGCGTCAGCTATTCATGGAGCTTCTTTGCCTTTGCTATTCATATTTTTTGGAGATTTGACAAACACCTTTACTTCGTTTGGAAAATTTTCTTCGTGCAACTTCAATTATACATTATGCACCGAAGCTTTGTTATTCAACGGTACGGAAAGGTGAGAGTACGATATAATGTTCAAATAGCAGTGTGGTTTTGAATCGTTTCCCTATAATATATTTTTCTACTTTTTTTCAGCGAATTTCAAATTATTGCCGAACAGGCTCGAGATTTGACTGGCAACTCCATTTATTCTGTTTATTGGTTCATATATATTGGATTGGGAGTTTTCATTGTGGGATCTATTCAAGTTACAACGTTTTGCTTTCTCGCTATACGGTGAGTAAATCAGTCACAGTGTAAAAAGACGTGAATGGATAGTTTAAAATACGAAATTTAATTACATGATGTGATCAAATTCAAGTGAAATTTATTCCTGAAATTTTCGCTTTTTCCTAGTTTTAGAGTTAAATGTAGAGAAGGTTGTATGGTCCTAATCGCCATTGAAACGGACCCAACGGTAAAAGGCATATCGGTTTGATTTTAAGACCATCTGTACGAAATGTACTGTACGAAGTGTACTGCTAAACAAGTGCAATGTTCATGTGAATACTTGATCAAATGTCTCTAGAATAAATCCAGTCATGGCGTTTTTAAATCTTTTGAACAGTATATTTTTTCGTTGAACCTAAAAGCATTTTTTATAAGTACACCATTTTTTGATATTTTAGGCAGACAAAACGAATTCGCTTGGCATATGTCAAAAGTATTTTACGGCAGGATATTGGATATCATGATGTTAATTCTTCAGGAGAATTAAACGCGAGACTAGCAGAGTGAGTATCAGTATTATGCAACGTCTTTTATACTCTTGACTTTTTGTTTTCAATATCATTTTCACTTTAGTGACATCCTGAAAATACAAGACGGAATGGGAGAGAAATTGTCTTTATTAATTCAATACATCTGCATGGTTATTTCTTTGGTTATCGTCGCCTTCATATATTCTTGGAAACTAGCGCTTGTGGCTTTATCTTTGACTCCGATGTTGGTGATCTCTACAGCGATGATTTTTGTTGTATGTATATTGTTTGTAAATTTATATACTGTATTATTAAAACATACTTAATTATTTTGATAAATAGTGGAGATGAGTAGGTGGGCATGGCATTCGAACCTGAGACGCTAACATAGTTAGTCCAATGCTTTAACCACTTAAACAATCGTGCTCTCTGCAAAATACACAATAGTTGCTTTGTTTTATTTTGTTTTCTAAGTTTGTTTACTTCAACACGTTGTCAGGGACAATAAATGGGGTTGGGTGGCTAAAGATGGGCTAGGTTTTACACCATCGGTTCACAACCGGGGGTCCACAATGCCAGGCGCAAAACTGATTTTACTTTCACTTTACAAAAAACTCGTTGTTCTTCCTAATTTCATTTCTTGATAAGTTTATTTCACAAGGTGTTTTCACTTTGTTGAGCATGAGTTGTTTGATCATAATGAGATTTGGAATTTACCGATCAAAATAACACTCTAAATACAACTGGAATGATAAACAGGGGGCCAAGTGTGTATAAAGCTTCAGAAAGGGGTCACGAACGACTGTTTTGCACTAAGTTTTGTAAAATTGATCAACACTAATGTGTTTCATAAAGATAAATAAGGGAATCATGACAGCGTCACAAATCAAAATCTTTATATCACATGACCACCGCCTCACCCAGGTAGTAATTGCAACGCCGAGCGCAAAATGTGCCGCCGAGCCGGTCCTCCCAAACTATAGTTACCTCCACGTCGTATACAAGAATTAGCACGTGTTTTATTATTAACATTTGTAGCTTATAAAGAAGTACGCTGGAGAGGAGATTGAAGCTTACGGCTCTGCTGGTTCAATAGCGGAAGAAACTATTTCTGCTATTCGAACCGTTGTTTCATTAGGAATTCAAGACGAACAAAGCAGAAGGTATGGTTGTTTACCTAATTTAAATACATTTTTCGAAATTTAATATATAATATAATATGGCGCGGTGGTGTGGCTCATTGTGCTAAGCGTTAGAAATACGCTCGTCACTGCACCTCTGAATACTTTGCATGGGTTCGCAGGTACGAATCCCATGCACGGATGGGTATGTGCGAGAGGATTGCTAGACTCCTCACCTCCTAAAGGAAAAAGTGCGTGCTTTTTTAGACGGTTAGATGGTTAACGGTTACGATTTATTTTAACCGTTAACTGACATCTCAGGTACAAATCATCTTCATAATGTACAATTCTTTTGAAAATGATTACGTCATCGCAAATTTATCTCCTGTGGCGTTTAATTCAAAAGAATATCGCTAACTCTATTGGTGAAGACCTAATAAATGATTTTTTATATTCTTTTTTTGCAGGTATTCAGTGAATCTGACAAAAGCAAGAGAAATGGGGATAAAAAAGGGAACAGTGCTTGGACTAAACATGGGTTTTACTTATTTAACCACGTTTTCCGTGTATGCAATAACATTTTGGTACGGAGTTCAACTTATAATCGATGAAAACGATCCTCTTGATCCTGGTGACATGATGGTTGTTTTCTTCAACGTTTTACTGGCTGCCTTGGGTTTAGGAGCGGTAAGAATTTATTTTATTCTCTGGTAACTTCTAGCATATACTATAGGAATAGTAATGTCAGAAAGGTTTAGTATTTTTCATCAATGAAGCATCCCAAACGGTCTCATTTTGTTCGAGTTTTCGTACGGAATGCAGCTTTTCAACCCCAAAACCATCGGCTACGTATACAACAGAATTGGCTGAAATGGTGTCCAGCTTAAGTTTCTTTTCGCTATTCAAACTACTTCACGATGGGATAGACCAATCTTCAAATGGGGACACGAAAGCCAAAACGAAGTAGTATCAAATCTTTCACAGTGCCGGTACCTTATGAAAAAGTTCCGACAGCGCTGAGCACGAGATCGCTTAATTGCGTTCGCGGGATCGCCACAGAATGCGCAGTTTTTAATTTTAATGAGCTCATTACACAAAACTTCAATGTGAAAAACGAATCTCATAGACCCCAAAGGAATTTTTGAAATTAATAAAGTAGCTTTCTAGCGACACAGCAATCTTTGACATCTTTGTCAAAGCAGTTGGTCCAGTAGTTAAAAAAAAGGCCACCAACAGAAAAAAATACTAAGGAAAATAATACTAACAACAACATAATAACCATCCATTTCGTGTCCAGTAACAAAAAAATTATACATTACCTTTTTAAACCACCAATAGGCTGGAAGCAACATGGAATACATTTCAACGGCTAAAGTGGCAGGAATGAAATTATTTTCAGTGATTGAACGTGTACCAGTGATAGATATATTTTCAGAGAAGGGCATAAAACCGGAAAACATGGAAGGAAACGTAGTATTTAAAAACGTTGAATTCAGCTATCCATCTCGACCAGAAACTCAGGTAAATGGTGCATATCTACACATTGGCATATGCAAGATTTTAGCCTGAGAAGTCGAAGAGAGTGCTTACGAAGTTCTCAAAAAATTGTCCTGTTTAAACTGCCTCAAAGCAAATAGAAAACTATCAGAAATAGTAGGGCTTTGATCAGTTTAAATAATTTGGTCATTTACGCCGCAGCACCAATACATACATATCGATGAAAACATTCTGTAAGATAATCTGAAAGGTAGACATTTTGGAGAATTGGATTTTACCAACATGTCCAGGCCTCATACCCATCTATCTCACCCAAGGTCTAATAAATTGAGTGGGTAATGCCAAGCAGAAAAATTCTGACCCTTCTATAAATGGTAGATTTTAAGGAACCTGTTGAAGCTTTGTAAAATTGACGATAACAAAACTCAGGTAGCGAGCTCGGCGTTATTTTATTTATCTATAAAATTTGATCTATCCTGCGTACATTCATGTTTTAATTCACCGTTTATTACAATTGAATTATATAGCAAAAATCAACAGTATCTCAATTTTTCAATTTAGAGCAATCATACGTTTAAACGCACATCCCAAAATTTCATTTTTGACCTTTTTTATTGTTTTCTTTTTTATGTCGAAGATATTGAAAGGCGTTAATTTCAAAGCTGACAAAGGACAGACTGTCGCTTTGGTGGGACAAAGTGGTTGTGGTAAAAGCACATCGATCAGCTTAATTCAACGATTTTATGATGTTGCGGTAAGATATTCTACCATTTTCTAATTTTTTAAAGTTTTGAATTATTGACCATGATTTGAGAATGTTAATGGTACAAAACTCGTTTAGTTCTCTTCTATGCAATATAGATTTCTTATTCCGTAGAAAATTGGCCCAAATTATTACTAATACTATATACATTTTTGATATCTAAAACACGCAATAGGGTTGATATCGTTCTATACATATGCATATAAGGCCGACTCATGTACATATACAGCCAACTGATATACATATACAGCCAACTGATATACATATATACATGATTACACCGATATAAATTTATGAGTTGGCCGCAAATGTAGATTTTGGCTGTATATGTATATCAAGTTGCCAACCGCACTCAAACATGTCGTCATGTCGTGCGACGCAAAACTAGCTAAATCATAATTACTTTGTATGCAATACATGTGCAGATTGCTGTATAGTTCGATTTATGGATTATTAGAATTGTGAATGAAGTACAATGGGTCATTACCCGAAGTGTAATTAAATATAAAAAAGCAAAATTTATTTATTTTTACCTGTTCAGGGTGGTGCCGTTATGATTGATGGAAATAACGTAAAAAATCTTAATTTGCGATGGCTTAGAGACCGTATTGGTATTGTAGCACAAGAACCTGTGCTTTTTGATACAACTATTGGAGAAAATATAAGATATGGAAAACAGGATGTAACAGATGAAGAAATTCACAAAGCTGCTAAACTGGCAAACGCGGATAATTTTATCAGTGCTCTTCCTAAGGTATCAACATAAAAATACTCGATCATTTCTTTCATTCATATTCTAGTGCCTAACGTAGTGAGACTTCAAAACTAGGGATGGATAAACTCGAATATTTTTCAACACCAAAATCGAATCGAATACAGATTGATTTCGGTATTGAAATTTGGAGCTGATTTTTGTGGGTTTGTTCACTATATATAGGCTGTTCGTCGCTCTAGGATTTTAATATAAAATTATTCTCATGTTCCCTCTTATAATTTATAGAAATATGAAACACTTGTTGGCGAAAGCGGTAGTCAGTTAAGTGGTGGACAGAAACAGCGAATTGCCATTGCTCGAGCAATTGTTCGAGATCCCAAGATAATGCTACTGGATGAGGCTACTTCAGCCTTGGACACCGAAAGCGAATATATTGTTCAATCTGCGCTGGAAAAAGCATCTGCAGGTAGGCAAATAGGATTTTAATGCCACATAACGGCAATAATTTTACCTAATCGTACGCAAGGTTTTATATGTTTGTAATTTATAAAGCAAAGATCACAGATAGATAGGGGCAAATAACGCACCCAGCAACCCCATGAATATCTATTGTTGCTACACATATGTCAGTATAGAACTGGTCAATAATCAAAAGGCAATTACTGCGAATTTCTGCTGTTGACACTAAAAAAAACGATGTGTAACGTCAAAATTGTTCTGGAAACGCGCAATAACACTGACAAAAGTTATCAATGCAGTATATTTTGCAGAGCAATTGAATAATCGTAATAAAAAAATTATTGATTTTTCCTAAGCGGTGACTATTTGTCAAAAGTAAATTCACTGAATTCATAAATTTTAAATAACAGATAAATTTTTAACATTATTTGTAAAACACACTTCACTAAAGTTTATAATAAAACTTATTATACATTTTGGTTTCCACCGCGGGTTCGGCTTGTCTGGCTGCGTTATTTCAAGAAATATGTAAGTGTATCATGAAATCTTATTCTTTTTCTAGGTAGAACGACGATCGTTATCGCCCATCGCTTGTCTACGATCAAGAATGCGAATAAAATCATTGTATTCCATGATGGACAAATAGTGGAAGAAGGAACTCATGATGAATTACTGGAAAATCACGAAGGAGCATATTCGAATTTAATTAACAGTCAAATGAACAATAAAACGGAGAATTCAGTGGAGTCAAAAAACCAAGGTATAATATGCCGTAAGTTAACAGTAGCCTACTTCGGTTATGTACAATAAAATAAAACATAGGAATTTTTGTAATGTAAGATATATTAGAAGTACACTGCTGATCACAATAGAATCCTGCTTTTGCAATAACCAGTATTGGTTTCTTGCGTCTCCTTCATCTTGAAATATGGCCTATTTATAATTTAATTTATTGCAATTTGTATGTTTGTGTTTGTGCCTATTTTGGGTATGGTGAAAAATAAACTACTGATTACTGATTTGCAAGATTAATTGAACTTCATTGAGTACTAGGTGGTTTTGGGAAGGAATAGGTGTTACTAATATATTATGTGCTACTAAATAAAGGCTAAATACCTACTGTAATCAATGATTACCCTACACCCTCTTGAAATTTCAAACACCTTCAAATAAATGTAAACCGATGAGTTAATAAACTTTGTAGTTACTGTTATTTTTATGAGTGATTTCAGTTTTTTCCATTAACATGTATTATTATGGATGGTTGAGTCAACGACTAAATTCACACAATTTCCATATTGTGACAAAACAATGATAGATAAAGAGTATATTCTTGATACCACTAGTTAGTCAGTCGATCCATATAAATATTACTTTCAGAACGTCTAACGAAATTATCTTCCAAAACGTCAGCCAGAGGACGCTCAAATCGGAATTTCAAACGCCGGGAAACACAGTCTATAAAATCAGGAAACGAATTCAGTGGAAATGAAGTAAAGTATAAATTACTATGTACAGTATTTGAGTACAGAACATAAACCTGTTATAAACAACCATTAAACCTGAACTCCAACTGTAATGGACTCCGCGATAACCGTGGACGTAGAGCATGGCAGTTAGATCTAATATATATATGCCTTCTATTTTCGTCACCCAGAGACCCCAGGGTGAGTATTCAAATTATTCACTATAGACTGAAGCAAAACTTTGTTTAATGTAGATAGCGTTGTTTCTTTACTTTGTTAGTCGTCAATTATTAGCCCTTAGGTTTAGAAAATTTTCAGTCGATATCTGTTGGCATTTCTATCATACATTGAGTATTTATATAGGTACAGGACATTAATTTGGATGGCGTGTTGCATGTAACCCTTTAAAAAAGGCTCGCAAAAAGAAGTTTCCATAGACGATTTGTTAAAGATGAACCGTGCAAAGGATAAACTATAAATTTTGTGTCCGTCAACTAATGCCCCATTCACCGCGACTTTGAACTGCTGGTCGACAACGTGATGATTTCCATCTAATTTAAACTTGAATGTATAATATAGGAAACTGAAGAAGATGTTGACGAGGAGGAAGAAGAAGAACTTCCGGATGCTCCTATAAGTAGAATAATGAAACTTAACAAACCGGAGGCTGTGTACATTGGATGTAAGTTCTCAAGCCTTTATGAAATATAATATTTGATATTAAGTAGGAAGAAAATTATGAATCATCTTCATATGACAAATGGCAACATTTCTCTAGTTTTCAAGTCCGCAACGTGATATACAAATACAGCCAAAATATGCATATACAGCCAACTCATGCATATAGAGCCAACCAATACGCACATATAGCCAAGGCAAAATTCTGCTTTCATGAAGAAGTAGTTGTGTGGTAATCACAGAGCTACATCAATAACTGTAAAATATAAAGGATAAAAACAGCAGACGGCGACAGAAAAATTGAAGAGCAGAGTAATATTCAATGATGTATTCATTTTAGTTGGATGCTTTTTCTCTGCTGTCTCCGGTTCTTTGGATCCCATAAACGCTTTGATCTTCTCCGCTGTTTTGACAATATTTACAGAAGGAAATGTAGAAGAACAAGGTCACTTGTCCGTGCTGTATTCGTGTTTGTTTTTAGCGCTCGGTGCAACTGCGTTTATTTCAAACACGTTGGAGGTAAGTTATTTCGAGTAAACGTAACGATATGTTTTAAACCCAATAACAGAAATACGTTCAATAATTTGTTGAATATTTTAGTCAAATATAAATATTACATTTAAATTCACCACCAGCTGTTACTTATCTTCGTCGCATAACAATTACCGCTTTATTATATTATTAGTATATATATATTAGTATTTATTTACGATTGTACTACACAGGCAATATTCTTCTCCAAATCTGGTACGGAACTAACAATAAGACTTCGAGAAAAAGCATTTCGTTCTGTTCTTCGTCAAGATATCGCTTACTTTGATGATCATAGAAACAACACAGGTGCTGTTTGCATGAAGCTTGCTTCTGATGCATCAAGAGTACAAGGATGTACTGGAACTCATTTTGGACTGCTGGTTAAAAATTTTGCCTGTTTGGGTATGTACTTGTCAAAAAGTTTCTCACAAATGTTACAAATTATTATTTTATTATTGTTTCAATGTTATTCCAAAGGTGTTGCGTTGGGAATTGCATTTGCTTATAGTTGGAAATTAACGTTACTGACAATAGCCTACATACCTCTCATTGTACTTGGGGAATTTCTAAAGATGAAATTGTTGCTTGGAGCATCAGAAAAGGAAAAACAAGCTTTTGAAAACGCAAGTAAGATATTTATTCGCGTACGCTATTTCGTGTTTGTCGTAATTTTCAGTCGTTTAATCAAATGGTCATATTGTTTGCAGACGACATAGCAACAGAAGCTATTAGCCATATTCGTACAGTAGCTTCACTCGCCAACGAAGCCAAAGTTTTTCAAACTTACACAGAAAGACTGAAAGAGCCTTTCAAGTAACTAATCTTTTTTATTTATAATATTTAACGCCTCCGCTCGGAAAAGGACTTTACAAACCTTCACCCACAGTTAGAAAACTACTGTATATATATACTGTCCGCGGTGACCGTATATTTGAACCCATGTTCATTTGAACCCATATGTATATCCGCGGGTTCAATCTATATGCAGGTGTTAAACCCGTGGGTTAGGGTTAGTATGGGTTCAAATATCCGTAAAACAAAACAAATTTCCATAGGTGCAATAGTATGCAGGTGCAATTCCCATGGGTTCAAATGTACGTGGGTTCAAATGCAATGGAACCACTGTCCGCATGTATCCTACTAAAGTTTTTGAATATTTTACGTTTTAAAGTGTTATTTTGCATTAATTTTTGTAATTAACCAGGTGACGAATAACAAATATTAATTGTGGTAAAAAGATGTATTTATTCTTTAAATGAAAATCTTAATTTTTCTGACGATTGGTAACTTTTATTTTGTTTGCATATTTTTATTTTTAATATACTTCTACAGAATTTTAAATTGAATATTTTGTTACAAGGTCTGCAGTTAAGAAAACCGTCTACACTGGTATAGGTTACGCGTTTTCTCAATGTCTCATCTACATGACCTATGCTGGGATTTTTCGCTTAGGTATCGAATTAGTTGAGAGTGGTGAAATACCATTCGAAGATGTATTCAAGTAAGCTCATTAAACCTACATGTCATGATTAACCAAGGTGATTTTAGAAAACAGAGAATTACCTAATATATTCAGTAGTACACTGCACAGCAATTTATATAGTGACTGTTGAATTTATATATTATCTGTTGAAGTATTTAACTTTCTTGGAATCGTTTGTTTTAAAACAATATTTCATTCAGAGTACTTTTTGCTGTTATTTTCGGAGCAAGAGCCGCCGGACAAAACAGTTCTTACGTACCAGACTACGCCGAAGCTAAATTATCAGCGGCAAGAATGTTTAAGCTATTTGACAGCGAACCAACTATTCCAAGTCATAGCGATGAAGGTCATAAGCCTGTAAGAACGTTAATTACTAATTACTATTTTTTTTTATTATTTTCCGATTATCACTCATCGACTTGCAGGTGGTGATAGGCTACGTTCGTCTAGATTGGTAATATGAAATCTAAAACGTAACGTTAGCTCTACTACTATAGGACCGATGTAAGTTATGTACCGATAACTAAAACAATGCGCATTTATGATAATTCAACGGCACTTTTAGCAGTTAATTGGAGTCTGCCATAACGTTTTGTTCCATTTTTTAATGTTCTTAAAGGGTGTATCTGCAACAGGGGTATTATATATGTCAGTTTCATTGATTTAAAAGGGTTAGTAGGAGTATTTGTTATTATTATACACAGGCAGCATACGTTAACCAGACCACCACTCTCTCGTAGTTATCGACGCACTTTGACTGAGTGTGCGAGAGTTACAATAATTATCAAGCAGCTAGCCAATAACTTTCTTGTTATTGATTTTAAATTTGAAACTATTTTCAGCATGCTTGTAAAGGTAACATTGAATTCAAGTCCGTTCATTTCACGTACCCTACTCGGCCAGATTCAACTGTTCTTCAAGGATGTAATTTTTCGGTTTCGACTGGTAAAACACTAGCATTAGTTGGTCATTCCGGATGCGGGAAATCAACATGTATTCAACTTATGGAGAGATTTTATGATGCGACAGACGGAGAAGTGGTACGTTATCGTACTTAAAGAAAACGTTTGTTATTGGCAATTCGCATGTACCGTATTTCCTTATTATGTATTATATAATGTTCTTTTATGGTGGACGCAATCGCGAGTTGAACACAAGTAGATTAAAATTTGAAGACAGTTTAAATTCCCGTAGTTATTAGGGATTGAATATTACGCTACAAGAAAAGGTCATTATAGGCTATTTTAACCAATTCGCAAACGCGGAGACCGCTCAAAAGACATTGCATGGTAATTTGAGATTCCGATGTTGACCCCGACTTATTGGCAGGTTATATGCAAAAACCCATTTTTTCAGGCTTGAAAACAGGCCTCGTCTTATTGACCGGGTAGACTTATTCGCCGGGAAATACGGTATATTTGAGCAATGGTTAAAATGTATCTCTTAAACTAGGCCATTTAGACATTGTTAAGTGGGTTTATCACAGGAAATTGGGTGACTAAATGGTCTAACTCTAGGATGATTTCTGACGCATATCATACCTCTAAAGTGGTGGCCCGCGTGACGTTAATATTAATATAAACTGTAGTACCAACTGTACCAAAGGATAAACGATTTCTTTAAAATATTTTTCTGTAGACAATTGATGGAAATGATATCAAGAAACTTAACGTATCTTGGGCAAGACAACAGATTGGTATTGTATCGCAAGAACCAGTGCTTTTTGATATAAGCATCAAGGACAACATTTTGTAAGTTTATTACTACTAGATTTTAAGGTACTCCCGAAGTATGTGAACCAAGATGTCAGACACTGGGACGTAGTATGTGTACCAGGTTTTTTATTTTAGTTCTATTACGAGTTCGGGGACTAGCCAAGTGACTCCCGTCGTATTTGTACCTAAAATTATGGCCTAACCCCAACCATCTCTAGCCATCTTGCGTATTTCAGATTTTTTTTCTTTCGATTAGAATATTGGTCATACATGTACGGTGTTTCACTGGCGCGATTCATTGTTTCCTGATTTGTGGTGTTATCATCAAATTTTATTCACGGTAAATAACAAATCGGGTTTAATACTAAAACAAACTTAGTAATAATAATTACCAGAATAAATAATAATAATATTATGGATTTCGATTTTTGACCAAGAAGTTTTTTTGTCTTTTTTATGTGGACGCAGATATGGTGACATCACGCGGACACACACAGACGAAGAAATTGCATCCGCTGCTGCTGACGCAAACATTCACGAGTTTATTTCAAGTTTGCCAGAGGTATGCAATAAGAATTATCAGACCTAATATACAAATGGTATCCCTCTACTTGAAATAAAAAAAAAACGGTTCACAAAAAAACTGTTAAAAACAAAGACTTCAAATTTGGGGGAAAAGTTTAAAAAGATATATATATTCAAGGTTCTTGAAGAGTGTTTGAACCATGTATGCGCGGAATTACTAAAAGTGTTGAGGAATATATAGACCGAAATTGTCATGACACTATTTAAAAAATTTTACTAACAGGGTTACGACACCAAACTTGGATTCAAGGGCAGACAGTTATCAGGAGGACAAAAACAGAGAATTGCTATTGCGAGAGCTTTGCTGGGAAAACCAAAATTACTGTTGCTTGATGAAGCAACCTCTGCGTTGGACACAGAAAGCGAAAAGGTAGTGTTTTCCTTTTTATAATTGAATTGATTTTCAATATATATATACATCGGTTTTATTACGCTGCTGGCGTAATAGAGATTCGAGTCACATGAAGCCGTATACACAAATGGCAATTATTACTATTCAGGTGGTACAAGAAGCATTGGACAAAGCAAGACAAGGTCGCACAAGTATTATCATTGCACACAGATTATCAACAGTCATGAACGCTGACATGATAGCAGTGGTTGACAAAGGAAGGGTCGTTGAAACGGGGACACATAATGAGCTTTTACAACACATGGGCGCCTATCATCGGTAAGTAGTTTATATATCCCTATGATATAATTGTAATATATATATATATATAAATTAGAATATTTAATCACGGCTGCAATTAGTAACGGACTCGTGTGGTACATTTCATTCATAAATATATATATATACTTTTGTATTTAAAATTCAACGAAAAAGAATGAAACTATACATAAATACATATTATGTCTTTGATGTAATTGAAGTCAGGGTATACTATCCGAATACAGTGGCATATTGGTAACTAAGTATGGGAAGATTATACATATATAGTTGTATCCATGCAATCTGATTCTAAATGACTATGTTTTCACTTTTACATTTTTCCAGCCTGGTCAACGCACAGCTAATGAGTTAGCAGTAGATTGAACTTTAGAACTGGAAATGTCGACAAAACGTGGGTCCATGACGTCTTCGAAGTTGCTCCCAACAAGCAAAGTCAACAAAGTTATCTAGATTGGATTTTAACCTTAAAAATGTGCTAGTTTTGTTCGAAAATCAAAATTATATATGTTTACTAAACTTAAGGGTCAGAGTTATATGCCACACTATAGCATATAAGGGTAATTATGTACATCGTACGGATGGGAACTCAGATATAATTATTTCAATCAGTGCCAAACGTCTTGAGAATATAAATTTTAATTTGATAATGACTGGGTGGAACATGTTATGTTCTTAAAACTGGTGTAATTTGATTCCTACGAAAGTCTTTGTTCGAATTTTGGGAAAAATTAACTTTGTTCTGATGATTTCAACATGAAATGGGGTAGCCTACATTTGGGGGTTAGTTGCTATAACACTTTCACTCCTATTCGGATCAGACTAATCTAGTCAGACCATGTTTTTGTACACATGGTATAAAATTTAAATACTAGGAGTTCAATAAAATAGAACCGGTGCCAATAATCATTTATATATTCATATTTAATTATGTTATTCTTAAATATATATTGTGACGCAAAAAAATTCTCGCTTTTACGTAGCGTTCCGACCGATAGCCTATAGTGCAGACTTTCTCAGTCGATCAGTTAGTACAGGCAAGGATCGACTAACACACAGAAAATCGGTACATTACTAGAAGATGAAGTTAGCACTTATAACTTAGTGAAACGCTATTCCTGTATTTTGTTTTGGAAAACGTTTTTGTTTATATATCAAACGATCATACATTACGTTCATTTCAACTAAACAACTTAAATATCCTTATATTACGTGGTTAAATTAAAAATTTCCAACGAAATTGTTGGGTCTTGAAATTTCTCCATTTTACTATTTGGCCTCACCTAAAAAAAAACGACCACCAACCACCTGATAGGCGGGAAATTATGAGCCACTTTTCTTTGTACTTCATCTCCTAGCAAATGATGGAAAGCATTAACTGCATGCAATTCGGTGTTGACGTGACTGGAATCACAGATCACTTGGATAGTCTCTAGAATTTGGCACAAGCAACCCCCAAAAGCATTGCGATGTATGACTCCATTCTAACGAGACTCCATACGAGCGAATCCTCAAAAGTATGGGGTAGTTCATCTTCGTGTTCAGCCTAAATTTGGTTTTGTACGATGAAATATACGCCTGTACTCTAAATCGCAGGAGTGTGTGTCTCTTTTACTTATTTTTTCTAGGATCAGTAGGACAGTAGAACCAACTACTGAAAAAACGAACAATTCAACGGCCAAGATTGGCCAAAGCGTGTCGTCATAAAATAAATGATATCCTGAAACTATAGAGCAGTGGTTCTCAAACTTTTTTAGTCCCAGAGCCGCATTTCAAACCTCAAAGTTATGAAGAGCCGCACAAAAACAACGCATGGTAAAATAGCAACAAACCTTGAGCGCGTATTTAAAATACCAAGTCATCGTAACAACTAGGGCTGGGCAAAATATTCGACTAATAAAATATTCGAATGGCATTTTACTATTCGAATATCCGGTACCACGTGACCTGCGCCGCTCTGCTCGGACACCGAACTCGCGCGTCTCCAACTCAATCGTGAATTGTGCGACATTTCCCAACGGTGCTAGCTATCAGAAAAAAAACGACAAATTTGAAGTCGTTGTTTTTGCGTTATGTGCTTATCTTTGCACTTAACGTATCGTTTCAATTCCATATTTTGCAAAAAACTTACCGACCGTCCCGTAAATTTAGAAACGTCAAACCAGATTTTTGGGTATTTAAAATAAATTTTCCAGATTTTAAACTCCGCATGCTTGGTGACAGCCATTTCTTGCATTACCGAACATAAAGTTGATTAAAACTAAATGTTAAAATCATAAAATGACTTTTCGGCGTTTCGTGGTGAAAAAGGCGATTTTAGGTCGTTAGAAAACTCTACTTAGAAAACACTAGTTATATAAATAGCGTGGATTTAAAAATGACCAAAAGTTTTTTCAAAAGCTGGTATGAGTTACTTGTATGAAAAACACTCATTAAGTTGTAACCAGATAAGAATTGTCATGTCCTATTCCCTTTATAGCACTTTGTATTAGCTCTTTAGTGATCCCTTCCATTCTTGACCAAGTAATGTTTCGAATATGTAAAAATTTTACTCGACCATGCATGGCCGTTGAGCCAAGAGTAGAACGTAAAATCAATCGTGAATTTCGTTGTAACAACGCACACTGACTCGTTCACGAATTGTTGCGTCTATTATCATCAAAAATGATTACAATTGTTAAATTTTGAAGCATTTGGGCAGTGGTAATTAAGCCTTATTAAGGCATGACATAATCAAAATCATTAAGAGAAGTGCTGAATTTACAAATTCCGTAAAAAAAATTGAGCATTTCTCAGTAGGTATTTTAGCTATAATAACCATCGGGGTGTTGAAAACGTTAAAACTTATTAGGAAGGAATTAGTAATAATTAGCGTCTGAGCCTCTATCAGGCACAAATGCCTTGAAATGCCTTTATTGCCAATTTATTTAATCGCTATTTTAAATCAACGTTCAGGATTCACGCAATCGTAAATTTGCTAGGTTTATCTAGCTAATACTAAAATAACACGAACACCATAGAAAAGCAGGAGAAACTCAATTATCATTTTAATAAACATCTGCGTCTCGGTTACCGTTCACACACGCACGGTTAATTTACAGGTGATGATAAGAAAGATCAAATCCAAGGCAGAGGATAAAACTCAGAATAAAATTAATTTGGTTTTGAAATCAGCCCTTAATGTATTCAACAGCTATCGCTGATGTGAACGCAAGGGTATACTAAAAATATGAAACTTCGATATTCGGCGACCCCTTATTCTTGCAAAAAACGAGAAAAGGCGAGAATATAGAATACCAACTTTAGGATATCGCCGCCGAAACGATCGCGGTGACAAAGACAATCAGCGATTCTGTTGAAATTAACCATTAACCAGTAAAAAATCGCTTTATTGTCGACTTTTCAATGTTTCTATTAATTTCCAAGTGGAGTATCGACCTCCGACGTTCTGAATCCCTGTAATGTATAAAAAAAAATATTCATTATTCGACTATTCGGTATTCGTTAAAAATATTCAAATTATTCGATTCGAAAAAAGATTCTATTTTGCCCACCCTAGACTAACACCCATTCAATTTGGCTTTGGTTCCTAATAAGTTTGTCAAAGCGGGTCGTAATCGTGGAGGATGCAAGGTGCAGTAGCTGCTTGAGATGATCGCCAGATATTTCGGGACTATTTTCGATTACTGGAACAAAATTAAAATGCTCTAGAAATTAAAATAATCATTGAGTTATTTGATTTATACATAATATTAGAAAATGCGACAAAAACTGAAAATCCACGAAAGCAAGCCAATGATTACAGCCATGTCTAAAGTCTTTCCAAGTGAAAAGTGTCTGAGTTGCCGCGAAAACTCTTACTGTTGCGTCACTATTGCTTCTTGTAGATTAGTCAACGCTACGCAAATAAACACGGGGAATCCATTCGACTAACAAATAGACTTCCGCATTTTAATTTCAAGTCAATGATTAGTTTCCAATGAAAATTTTCTTCGAAAGTAATTAATTTTTGAGGCATTAACATGAGCCGCAGGAAAGGTTGTTGAGAGCCGCACGCGTATTATTTGAGGTATTTATCTGATGGGAAGCTGTGTGTACCAGGTTAGGCCATCATTTTATTCCTGTTTTAGTTTTATTACGAGCTCGGGGACTGTCTGTGTTAGCCAAGAGAATATACCCCCTACCCATAGGTTTCAGTCCCTTTACACAACTTGATGTAAAGTAGGCGAACAAAATTAGTTACCCCCATATTAGTACGCACACTTCTAGAGCGACCAAATTTTTGTCCAGTATCGTTGCCATAATCCAAAAACCAATGCAGTTGATCAAGTATACAAAACCGATTGCAATGCACAGTTATAGAAATCTTGCTCAAAAATATGATCACCCCTGAATTCTGAAATTCCAAACCCTGTCGTTGTTAGTCTCAAAAACTAAGCCAGCGATTTGAAACCGTTTTCGATAAATTCCTCCCTTTGCCACGTTCTCGGGCGAACCTCGATGAGATGTTGATAAACGGAAAAAAATGTATCCACATGGCATTTAATATTAACGTGAAGGTAAATCTTGCATATTAGATATTATCGGTTTAAGTGGATGCTTGGCAGGAGACAAGCTTACATGCGACGTAGTATTTACATTCAATACATTGTGCTGTTGGCCCAAAAATAATCCCTGCCGTAATGAAATCACATTTGACGTGACCAGAGTCATATTTTTCCTCTACAACTTTTCAAGCTTTTATTTTATTTCTTTCACTTCGTTACCTTTTCTTTTGCTATTTTGTGACTGGCGAGCCAAGTAGATCTATTCCACATATTTAAGATAGATCAAGCTATGGTGCATACATACAAAAGGCGGATATTTTTGGTGGAAGTACTCAAGTACCCCCAAATAACAAGAATCTAGAACTAAAGCAATTGGTTATAAACATTTCAGGAACTCAAGGATTAGTTGAATAGTTTGATTACCATTTATTGTTTGATTGCACAAACTGTAAATATACATAAAAGCAAACCTAACACTGGCAAAACAAAATGATCTTCAAGTTCAGCAAGTTTATTAACAGTGGAAAATCTGTAAGTGGTTCGCAACAGAGGGTCCGGCCACACAAAGGGGCCAAAGATCAGTTGGAGTGGGGTGACAATGCTAGGTGCAAAACTGATTTCATTTTCCCCTTTACAAGAAAAGACCCCATTCTTCCTAGTTTCATTACTTGATAAGGTTATTTCACAGGCTTTTGTTCACTTTGTTGAGCATGAATTCTTTGAACATACCGGTAATGGGATTTTGAATCTATGAATCAAATGACACTATAAATACCACTGGAATAATAAAGAGAGGGACATGAGTACTGAAAGCCTCTAAAAGGGAGACACAAGCCTTTTCATCCGATTAAAGTGGATCCAGAACTTTCTTCGCCATTGCCAGCTCCACTGTCGACTTGATCCAGAGTACCTGAAATATATAATTTTGGAATTTATCGTGTAATCAAACAAATATTTTTACCTATGTATGTTACATGGTCCCAGCCTTACAAAAAGTATTTACTGTATTTTTAATTTCACCCAATATATCAAAGAGCGAGCTTTTGCTAAAATATTGACCTAAATCAAAAATTTTAGGTATCATTCTCTTATTAAATGACAATTGTCCTGCTATATGCATTTACAATCAGTCATGCTTCCAATGCAAAGCTCATATTGTCTTTTCTCACCATGACCTCTTTATTACCTATTTACTACTATGAATTGTTTCTTTTTAGATAAGATAAGATTTTATTTCGATTCATTCGCAAAAACAAAATGAACATATATACACAAGAGATTAAGGCGAAGAATCTGGAAAGTGAACAAAACCTAATAAAATAGGTTTAAAACGTATTAAACGCGTTCACTTACCAAAGAAGAAAGAAATGAGTCACAAACACAAACATGAATATTGACGGCAGTCATTACTCAGGCGTTTCACTTGATAATCAGGTTGCGTGCAATCTTTTCAAAAACAAAAAAGTGAATTAAATATCCGCTGTGCGTGTGATGCGGCATGTAAACAAACAGTCCGAAAAATCCTAGTTGGAGGTGCGAATGCATGTTTCCGTTCCATGCTCAAACATATATCTTGTAAAATCTACTAAAACGTTAACACACCAATGTAAAAATCGATTGTGAATTTTCTAATATCAGTTCGTGCAGTTTAACCGTAGTAGTATATATTTACGGTTTAACATTTGTATATCCGGTCTTCTCCATATTTGAGCAGAGCATAATTTCGTCCATCACAAAATCTTCCATTTTGCACATTTCCAGTTCATCATTAAAAAATCTGCTATTTCTGTTATTTGTTTATTGATGTCACTAAGTCTGGGATTCACTTCTCGAATGCATATCTTCGGCTCGAGGTAGCCACGTCCTCACGCGACGGCGGTCGGTACTGAAAGATATTTGATTCATCTCTGCTTGACCCACTGTGTGAATGAGAGGATATCATGTAAGAAGAAACCATGCATAGTTCATGCACTGTGATGTCATGTAATATAGTCAGTATATATTGGTAATATTTGAGCCTGATCTAAGTTACTAAGATCTTGGTCTCTGGCACCCTTAATAACATCATTTTAATGTTAAACCATATTCGATTGTAATTTTTTTTTTTTATCTTTGTACATTTGGCATCGTTATGTCATAAACTGACTGACATTAGATTTTTATCAATCTACCTACCTTTGCTTTTTCCATGTTCTGTATGAAGTGGTTAGTTCCACATGAAATTTAATCCTACCTTGATCTTGTAGAATACCATTTATTCATTGATCATGTGCCTTCCAGTTACACACTGAAGTTCAATTTTCTTACCATAAAAGGTTAAATTATTTATGACTACCGGTACTACCGTTGCATGCATACCATACTACTGGTAGGCTTCCTGTTCGTGAAACTTCATTTTTACCATTGATACCTAAACAACTGTAGCCCTGCACCATACAATGTTCTACATACGACCACAGTCACCTTACAATGGTACCATTGTGACTTTACCTCAAAGCAGCTATCGTCATGGCTACTTAAATAATTGGTGCACGGAGTCGTTTCTTGTTTTGTTGTTGTTGAAACGCGAGATTACTGGGCATACCTGGTTGGAATGCCTTGACGTATTTATATTTATTTTCAAATTAATGTATATATGATACTGTATATACACAGTTCGACTTTTTTTTGTTATTATTTCCTCGTTAGACTTGCTTATGGGTGCCGCTGCTCGATAACCAAATTTGGTTTCTCGCAGCTCCCCTCACCCTGAAATGCCTTTTATTTATTTATTGCAATTTGTATATCAAGTGTGCATTTAGTATGGTGAGAAAATAAACTACTGATTACTGAAAGGTTGAGAAGGCTCATCTAAATCGGTATTTGATTAAAATTAAACACTATACATATATTATTATGAACTGTCAAATTTGAAGGAAAACTTGCCTAACCCTAACTTTTGGAAGTTGACAAACAGCAAGTAATATGATTAAAAGTTTTTTAACCAAAAAAGCACCAAAAATAATTGACACATTTCATAGATGAACTGTAGAAATAGGTATACATTACAAGTAATATAAATTGCTAATCAGTAACTAGCAAGCCAAGAGGTGATTAAATATTATGTATAAAACTTAAGCACCAAGTTATGTATAAAACAAAACTAAAAACGTCAACAATGCACTGCTTTACATCTTATACACAAACCATAGGCACTTTTTATTAAGCAACAATTAGAATTTTACCATCCTCTGACTGGAAACCATTTGTCAACTATTTTTCCTTCATTGTCTGCCACATAGTAAACAGGGTGCATAGCACATGTTGCACATGACTGTTAATAAATCAAGAAATATTAGAAATGAAAATTTAGGTAATACAGCAAACCCCCAAAAACAGCTATGAATCAAAGCTTATGGAGTCGGTAATGCCAGAAATATTGGAAGATTCTGCTCCAAACAATAATTTTCTTCACAATTATATTCTTCTCATTTTTCAGATTAATTTTTTCAATATCAAGTTGAAGTTGAATTTTTTTTTAGTTAAAGTTGTGTAATCAAAATTTTAAAATGTGGAATCTTATATCATGGTTTTAAATTCCACTGTCGCAAAAATACATTTGGAATGGTGTTTCACAGTAGTGGTAATACCAAAAAACATCAATGGCTATAGAGCCAGAGGTAACAAGGTAAAATATGAGGCACCCGTGACAGAGCCACAGTTTGGGCTGGATTGCGAGCTCAAATCACCATCTTCCCATCTCTGCTATGATTATGATTGAGAATATAAATAATTAAATAGTTTCGTATTCTAAAATTATTATTCATAACGAACATATCAAATTAATTTACCTCTTCAATTCATAAGACCAACTCAAAAGATTGCCAATTAGGCAAGGTAAAATTATACTAGATAAATTATAAAATGAAAGATTTCAACCAATCTCTTCGCTTTTATTACACCGACTTTGCTATAGATCCGTAGTAATACTTACATGATAAGGCAGTATGAATAGCATGGACCCAATAGGGTATTTAGCAAAATCAATAGAAGTTCCATCAACATTTGTTATCTTTCCAACCTCCTGTGTCAGGTTTTCCAACCTTGGAAAATGAACAATTTCAACCAAATTAGCAAAGAAAAAAATGTGGTTGGCAAACAAGTGCTAGCTTGAAGCTTCAGAACAAATATTTGCTTTCACTAAACACAACAATCTTTTTGATTTTACAAAGCAGAACTGGTATTCACCCTTTGGTGTGAAAATTCACACAGTTATGACATAGCTTACTGTTTACGAAGATGAAATTAATTGTGGGCGGGATGGCTTACCGGTTGAAGCCTTAAACTTAACGGTGTTGGCATCTCAGGTTACCCATCGGCCATCTTGGATTCAAATCCAATGTTCACCATCTCACCCAGGGTGTAAAAATTGGGTAGGTAACGTCAAACAAGAAAGATTTCAGTTTTTAGCTCCTCATACAGCATTAGATATCGGTGGCTGTGCTTGTATAAAAAATCTAAGCTTGTTTATCGTTTCAGATGCATACACACGGAACCACAATGCAATGGCATTCCTATTTTTACAAAATGATTTTGCTCTACTGCCACGACTTCATCTGCAAAGCCATTCAAAGTACCAATACTGAGCATGTTTGCAAATTAGTAGGATGTTCCATCCCAACAGTCACGCCTCAATTTGCCAATACCTCATATATTGAAAATATATCAATATTATTTTTTAAATAATAAAGAAAGCGATAAAATGATTAAAAATAGCAATCACTTCAGCTCAGAATGATTCAAAATTGCCCCATAACCTCCAGAAGGCACTTTTCCGTAACCTTGTTGGGTCAATGCAGTGAATCCGCAATCTACTACCATGTGACTGAAGCCTTTACTGCTATAATGGCCAATGATTCTGGTTGCCACCATACAGGCTATGTCACTTCTCTCACAGGAATCAAGCATTTCTTGTTGAACATCTAATAATTGAAAAATATTGAAATGAACAAGCTTACTTAATGTCACAAAGTTTCTAAATTTGTTTAAGCATAATAGGAGTTGAACACTAAACTAATATTGTCTACATGATCTTCATCTTAAGCATACACCAAACAAAATTCTATGCCGGTCTATTGAATTGCTGATTTTATATGGCCATACTAATCTATTACACTTCGAGGAAAATAGGTGAAGTGGGCAAAGGGTTTGGACCCAAAATCTTTCTCGCAAAGCAAACATTGTCAGTAGTCAGAAACATGACTGTCGATTTTGACATGGATTCACTGGAGTCAATTGTCCAACTGCCTGGAAGTCAACATTTTTGATTCCTTGGGGTCAGAATCTCATACTTTGAATGGTTATATTTTTCTCTTCTGATCTGTTATTATATGAGTTAGGTACTAGTTTACCATAAAAGACATAGTTTCCAGGATGCCACTCTGTAACTTTTCTCATCATTTCAGTAGGTTGACTACATGTTGGTGTTGAACCAAGTCCATAATGCTTGCATTGTATACCAAGGGTTTTCAATCTTAAGGAATAAAACGAAATCATATTGGTATGTACCATAATTGAAAAATTTGGGTAAAAATGAAAGAATTGCATTGCAATATTAATCTAATGAGAGCTGGTTAAAATGGCTAATTTACAATTCCAAACACTTTGTAATGTGGAATATATCATAAATTAAGTTATTGTCAACCAATTTGGGTGGAAGTTCCGAGCTCTGAGTCGGGAGTCAAGTCCAGTCATGGGACATGTCTTATAAGAGTCTCAAGTCTAGTCTGAGTCTATCATGTATGTATGGACTGATGTCGATTTTGAGACATTCCATAAAGATGGCTCGAGTCACTTCGAATCTTTGATAAATTGTGACTAGAGGCTCCTCAACACTGCTTTCAACAGCATTATATATATATATTACTAAAGATTTGATTTGTGAAAAATATGAAATTATTATTTTGTCATTGTTTTCACAATCTTCTTAGAATAAGTGTTAAATCTTGTATATTGATTATAGCGTTAACAAATTTGAAAGTATGTGAATATTTGTTTAAGGCAGTGGTTTTCAAATTGAGAAAGAGAATTATCATGAAACTTGTTATGTTTATGTGCCCTTCAGCGAGTATTCATCTCACTAGAGACTCCGCAGGAATGAGAGCATCACAGCAGACAACTTCATGAGATGTACTGATTCCGTCCCGCTTTATATTTGTCAAAATGACTGATAATTTGAACGTCAGTGATATCACTTTTTTCTCTTTATACCTTTCCACTGTTGCAAGTAAGTTGGTCACAACTTCATCAGCCACATTTTTGACAGTCTTGTCTGCATTAAGATGATAGGAATGTCCACAATGGGTATAGAGACCTTGAAACTGGATTTTCTCACTCTTATGGAGTAGTTTAGCAAGCTCTATGAGTTTGCTCGAGTCATGCAATGCACCAGCTGAATGGTAAAATAAAATAATTTATAGAAGATACAGATGAATTTGAAACGTGATGATTTCGAAAACAATATATGATTTGAAATGTCAGTAACAATCTTTTCAACTCTTCAGTTCCAATTAAGAGTAAGTGGTGCCTAGAGCTGGGCATTTCGAATCGAATAGTAAATTATTCGAATCGCTTTAGAGCAAAATTTCGAATCGCCACCATCTTGTTTATTTTCTTTCTGCCAATGGTCGAGGTAAATTTCCTATTTTTTTAAGATGTTTTCAACGCAATTCTGACATACGACTCTTTTCTGTAGTGAGTTATTGATGAAAACGTATTTTTATTGTATGTGAACGCTCAGCAATCTGACTGAGTGATATATTCTACGTTTTCAGTAATTTATGTGTCTTGAAAACCTAATACAATAAAAAAGTTACATACAATTCTATATCCCCAAGGTATTCGATTCGGAAATCATCAGGTATTCAGAAATGCCCAGCCCTACAGTGGTATCACATGAGAAGAAGGGTTGTAATTATCAACACATAAATACCTCTGTGATATCCACAATCCGTCAATAGAAAAATGGACCATTTCTTTCCATTTAGTAAATTAGTACTGACAAGTAAATTGGCAGTGTCAATTGTGTCTATCATCACATGGAATTCTGACAGTTTTTCAGATAAAGCTTTGCATCTGAAAACTGAAAAACTGTAGACACGGTGGCCAGGGCACCTGACTTGACATTACATGCAACTCAAATTATAAAATTTGTGGGAATTAGAATAGACCCAAACTGGAATTTATTTACCTTTTGATCTTGTCGGGATCATTTATCAAGGGGACAGCATACAATATATCATCAAAACCATTTTCAGCCAGAGCTTCTGCTTCAGGAAGAGTTGAAACCACAAGACCACGTTTTGATCCAGCAGTTTGGAGTTCGGCTACTTTTCTGCAAGTATTTATCTATGAAAGATCTTTATTTGTTAAATCGACAATTCTAAGAGAATGGATTCTCATCTTTTTAGACACAAAGCGGATTCGATTTTCTTTGCAACTAATGGACCGACCGATTTAAAAATTTTCGTACCGAACGATGGTATAAGCTGATAGAAGTCTATTATATTTTTTAATTTCCTCCTAGTTCTCGGTTGAGCAAAACTCTATATTTCACACAAAACCGCTGTTTTATTTTAATTAATAAAGGGAACATTTTCATATGAATTATGGGAACACTTCATTCTGTCACGCTTGCCTGTCAATCTATTTAGCAATCTCAGTGCTCAGCTAAGACCCAACTGTGTTGGTACTGATGAGCAACCTACATGTCCATATATTTGGGCATTGCTCTCTCGTTTTAATAATGATAATACAGCAGGGAGATAAACAATTGCTGGATTGAAGTTCATATTTTTTGGTGATTGGATTCTTCACATTTAGAAAGATATTAACAATTCAAAACGGTTTGATCATATGGCAAGCCATGGGACCTCATTCCCCTTGCCAGTTCCCACCAACTGCGCCTGCCTGATCAAGTGTGCACATCTTTAAAATAGTTGATCCTTCCGGATATAAAGACTTACACAACTTTTGAAGTTTTGAAATGGGGCCGAAGTCTAACGCCATATTTCTTAGACCTTTTTTCCATATCTTTTATATTCTTTTTAACTTTGTCAATGTACACGATCAATGCCGGAGTAGGAAGGTCAGAAATATCCATGGCGGGAGCAACAGTAACATATAATTTGACAACCTTAAACTACAGAATTTTATTTGAAAGATGAAATATTTTATCAACCAGTATCAACGATTTCATAGAATAACATTTAAGAAATGAGAAAGAAAAAATAGAATTTTTATTTTCGTCTCGACATATACCGCAGGTACAATGATTCAGTAAAATCAAAATATATACGAGTGAGTGTAAATGCGAGTGAAAACGGCTAACTGAGGAAGAAAATTTTAAATTATTCGAACCTATATTGATAATATTTCAGTTTAATCAATGTGAATTTATGACCCTTTCCACACATCATTAGATATCAGTGGCTGCTATACAGGGCCTTGTTCGAGAGCGCAAGGTGTAAATTTATAAGTGTCATAATATGGAAATAATATTTTAATTTGATCAATGTGAATTACACTACTTCCCATACTAAACATAGATTAGCTTCCAAAAACAATAACCAGTGTCATGTCAAAAAAAAACTAGAAAAACTATCATAATTCAGAATAATAATAAAAAAAAAATATGAATAACAGAAAAAAATTGCACGATAATTACAGAATATAAATCTCTAAGTAACAAAGAAATTACTAAAGGCACAACAAAAGTTCAGTGAACAATTTAATACAAGACATTAATTCACAAAGAAGGTAGATTTCATCCAATTCCAAATGTATTTGAAAGTGTTTATTTCGGTGAATTACAATTTTTCAATTGAAAATGTGTCAGAGAATATTTTCTTAGAATCTAGTCAGAATGGATAAGTGTTCCTCCACTGTGATAACCAACATTGACAGATTGATAAATATGGAAATCCTATGTTATCCTAAAATAATATATAAATATATCATAATTGCAAGATTTTGTGTTGAAACAAACTGAAGTTTTGCAACAGCTGTATTTCTAAAATTAAATAAGATATTAAAAAGTATTTTGAATATCATCTCTGAATTGGGTGGGAGTAAAATCATTGATAGCAATATCAATATTATAAATGTACAATTGTAAAATAAGAATGCATAAAAATATCAAGTGAAGAAATTGTGTATGTTTACTAAGAAATAGAACTACGTTTAGGGAAATAAAATATGCAATAGAGTGATAAATACCATAATTAATATAGAGATAATGCAATAATGATTTTCAAACTATTCTAAAAGGATGTATCTACAAGATAAAAAAAATCAATAATGGCAGACAAACCAAACATACAATAGCTAAATTTACACACAGAAAAGAGCAAATATAAATAATGCTGAAAGCAATACATGGAAAGCCAAAGTACTTATCCATAAATATTTAAAAAAAATTAAATACAATACTTATGTTTCCATCTTTGATATTAGGTGGTCTTATGTTCTCAATATTACAAAATACTAATGTAAAAAAATTGCTCAAAGTGCTCAAATTGCTTAAAAAGTGAATTAATATTTCCACATGATGTGAATGGTAAGGAATTCTCATGCCATTCTTTAATTTTAAGAAAGGAAATAGATAAATAAATCTCAGGAATGCTTTCATCAGGCTACTCAAATATTTAAAGTTACCGTGAGTCATGTTTGACAGCTAGATAACTTAAAAGAGCACTACTGAACTTTTCAATATATATTTAATGAGACTGTGAAAGATAGTTTTAAACGATGAGAAAATATATGCCATATTGAGTTATGATATCCATACAAGATTGCAACTCGAAACTAAACAATGATATTTATTTCAATCTTTGAATAGGGTACCTTAGTTGGACATAACAGACTTTCGACCCCCAAGCTTTTCCATAGGCATAAGACGGTTTGAGTTATGATTTTCAGTCGCTTTGGGAGTTGCCCAACCATAATAATATACAACTATGTGGTTTTTTAGGACATTTGAACATATTCACCAAAGCAGTGACAATAACATGCCGGAAGAGATACAATCCTAATACTAACTATGCCAAAATTTTCAAACAACTGAATTATTTATGATTGATTGAACTGATTATTATGGTTGATTTTGCCATATTTGTGCATCATGAGCAAAATTAAGAGTCACGAGGAGAGAAATAGTGTTGTGCGCGTGCTCGTAAAAAACGACGGTTGTTAATCAATAAATTGTGTACTTCAAATATCAAAATTATTACGCAATAGCCAAAACCGAATCCTTCTGGATTCGAATCCTCAGGCTTCGATATTCTGAATTGCTCATCCCCATCCAAGGCGACTAAAAATCAAAATCAATCTGTCTTATCCAATCCTGTGGTTAGAAAAGTCCGATGGCCAGATGTCTGGGTCAAAACGCTTATGGGTCGAAAAGTTTGTATACCCTTAGGTTAAAATTTACACATTAGATTCATCCTTTCCTGAATACATATCAACAGTTTGCATTGGTAAATCTTTTTGTCTTTGAGCAAAAGAATAATATCCATCGATATCATCTTCACTCACAACTGCGTCGGAATCTGATGAATCAGAATTTAATTTTTTTTCTTGATAGAACATACGACCATTAGTATGAAGAACTGGAGGAAAAGATTGAAGTATTGCGGCTGCCCGCAGTTTTGAAGAATTTTTTGTTTTATGACGATCCCCAGCAGAAAATGAAGAGTACGCAAAATTGTAGACGTTTTGATGTAAAAGTGAGTTTCCATTGTATTTCGGTCGACAAAAAGTACTCATAGGAGAGAATGAAAGAACTGGCAAAGTATGGTGAGAGGAACCAGCTTGATATCTATCCTTAAATCGCATGTTTTTGTGAGACAATGAATGATGCGTTCTTGGGTTTTCATAAGTCATCACAAGTCCATTAATATTATGTTGAGATACAGCAAGATCCAAGTGATGAAGATTGAAATTTTCATCATCTTCTGTGTCGATATTTTCATTGCACTCAGAAAGTTTGATATCGTTTGCAACGTTATGATTATCATTCAAACTACATAGACTTGGCAAACTTAGACTCAATTTTTTAGTGCTTTCGTTATTTTTTGCAAACATGTTTATTCCATTACTGTGTTCAATTCTCACACCTAATGTTTTCCCTAACTTTTGTTTTCTCCATTCCGCAGCATGTAAACGTGCCATTTGTTGTCTTTTACGTTTGTATGCGATTTCCTCTCTTATACATTTATTGATCATACGATTCTGCTTCGCATCATAGCAGACAAATCCCCAAGCAAGCAAGTATATTAGGCATGATAAAATTGGCCATGATACAGCATGAATCATCATATTAACATCCAAAACTAAATCTCGTACAATTTCATCTGGTTTGTTTGGATTGAAATAACAAGGAAAAACAGAGCCAGCAACCCCAAGTTGATCAAGAAAATTCTCCACACAAAGAGTTGGATCGTAATTTTCTTTCCAGCTTTCGCAAGCATCTTGATATTCATGGAGTAAACCATGCGTACCAAAAGTATATGAACATGGGTTACAATTAACCAACGCTTGTTCATTTTCCATTAGAATTCCACTTTCATATTTCCCACTTGTTCCTGTAGCATACAGAACCGTAACTTTGACGCACGGTTTGAATATATCTGTTCCAGCGCTACAACTCGCAGATGATTCGTTAAGAATAACATGTTCAGAAAGCTCACATTTAGTTCTGGTAAAATCTCGTGTTAGTATATAGGGACGAACAACAAATATTGCCACAAGAATAATAATAAGTACCATAGCCAGGACCACAGGAACTCCAAAAAGTAGAAGTAGACGTAGCAAATTAGCACTCCATTCTCTTAATTTTTCACTAGTTGACATCCTTCCGTGCCGCATTTCTTTTATTTCCTCTTTTTCCATTCTTGTCAAAAACTTGTTGTTATGTCTTGTGTCTGGGTCAATCGCAACTCCATTATCCATTCCTAGAGCAGTCATTTGCAAGCTGAGTCAATATCTAAATCCACTAGTTTGTTGTTTTATGCAGTTAACGCAGCCTATATGACATGCTGACATGGAATAACAGATAAATCTGTAAATAATCAAATGTACAGGAAACATAATAAAAATAAAATGAGACAGTATACCGTATCATGTAGGCTGTCAATTTGTCCGAATGCGATACTGATGTATGCTCTCGTTGAATGTGACCTTGGTAAATTGGGTCTAGTAAAGTTTGGTACCACAAGTACTATCAGTGGGCGTACGGTAGCCTAACGAATTTTGCTAATGTTATTCCTAACCCCCACCTGAGTCTGACTAGACTATGCCATCTAAACATCTGAACATTACCGTACGTCACCAAAAAATCTGTCATTTCAACGTCACAGTGGCACAAGGCCCACCAAAGTATGCGGATGGTCGTCCAAAACGCGCAAACGATCACTTGAAATCGAGCAAGCTATTTCTCTCGTTTTCTCGTCAAAACGATCACGATAAAAGAGAGATAGCTTTAGCGAGTTCGTTATCAGCCGCGCAGATGCTATTTTGGGCGATCATAATTATACTTTGGCAAGCGCTATAACGTGATGGTGACGTCGTAGTGAGCAAGTGAGGTACGGTGTAGTCAGGCGGGGGTTAGAATTGACATATGCAAAAATTGTTGACCAGACCAACTAGAAGTGTATGTCGTACTGCAGTATTGATCTGAAGTCACCAGACCCGGTAAATTTACTTCTGTACTTGGATCAAAAAATAAAATCAAAATCCAAATAAAATCAGAAAATAGAGATAGCCTAGGCCTAGGCCCAGTCTATGACTAAAATATTAAAATACCAATTCCATTGAAACGTTGTCTTTATCTAAGCAGTAATACTCAAATTCAAGCTCAAAATGGCAACTTACAGTAGACTTAGTCAAAGACTACTTCTGTACTTCCAGACTTGAAACTTTGTCTGAATTCAGAAATTCTCTATACGTGCTATACGGTACGAGCATGAAAGCTGAATAATTTAACGGAATCAGAACTTTAGTTTTTGTTAAAATCTTGCAACAACTCCTCATCCAGTTGATAATTACGGTGGTTATCGTACATTGCTACCGGTACATTCCTATTGCATTATTGAATGATGATAAATTTCAAAAAAATAGATTTAGTAGAAGTGAAGCGCTGCATTGTTTAAGAGCGAGCAGTCAATAAAGCAATAACGGGTTTCGTTAAATACACGCCGCAAGTACTTCTAGTTGGCCTGGCTAGACAATTTTTGTATATATGTCCTTACTAACCGAAACCCCCACCTGACCGCTGACGGACAACTCGCCATAGAAAATGCGAAAAGACGTACAACTCACCAGGCCTCTCTGTTGTCGAGTTGTCTCTAGTGAGTCGTCCGTGTAGTCGAGTTGTCCGCCTCCCTGTTCGGCTACCGCAGCTGATTAGACCTCTGTGAAGTTAGCAGAAAATCATAAAATTGAAGCTGACAGAATCGCAAAAAATCCCTACGCGTAAAAACAATTTTCACACTTTTTTGTTTGAAATATCTAAAAGTGTGCATGTTGATTAGTTTTACTTTTTTAGTATTAGTACTCATTTAGGTTTTCACAACTGCAAATAATGTAAAACAATTAGTAACTACACCAGGGTGGCCCAAACCCAGGCCCGCGGGCCACACGTGACCCGCCGCTTCATTATCTGTGGCCCGCGTCGCATTTGCGCGTGGGTAAACAAAAAATCGCAATTGGTGTTGTTTCGTAATACAAATAACCAGCAAAATTTTTTGACATATGTATTGTTACATCACCAATGAATGTCATGAATTGACTAGTGTCGATGCTAGCTGAAGCAGCTAGCAAAGTTTAATATTGTGTTTGGATAGTCTCTAAATCAGTGGTTCCCAACCGGGGGCCAATGGCCCCTAAAGGGGCCACGAAGCCGTTCAAGGGGGGCCACGACACAAAGCCAATAATTGATCATAACGCAACTTCATTTACATACTTTTCTTTTAAAATAAAATCCCCTGTTCAGACATTCACCACAATTTCATTACCTGAATAGGTTATTTGCGGTCGCAGAGTGAATTCACTTTCTTATACGTGAATTGTTTGATCATAATGCCAGAGTACGAAATCAGAAGTACGAAAATGAAACAACAGTTACGTTGGCTTTGGTTTTACAAAAATAAATCGAGATGACAGAACATGAGCAGTGAATCAATACTCCCATCTAAACTCCAGAACCATCGTGACAAAACGTATCCTTGGGTAAAAGACGTGGGCATCGGTTTCTTGGCTGCCAAGCAATTGAATTTGACAAAAAAGCAACACTGGCCAAGTTCGGGATTCTGCCGGAGGGAAAGCCCGATCTTGAAGTGGCATTTTGTACTCTTACCTGTTAGTTAGCAAGAAAGTAATTTGCCACAACCTATCTGTACGAATCTGTTTATTCTGATCTTGTTACCATCAAAGCCGTTTTTATATTAACAGTGACATTCGTCTAGCTATATCAAAGACTGTACCTCCTATAAAAAAAACTTGTAAGACAGTCCCAAGCGCAAGATTCTGTTCGATTGTATACTAAAAAGCTTGGACTTCTTTCACTTTGGTTGGTTTTTGCATTCCATAAAAGGTCGTAAAAACATAATACAATCCAACACGTGTAGTTTTTTGGGATTGTGAACAGGGGGACCACGAGTGCAGAAAGGCCCCACGAGTGGGCCACGAGCCATAAAAGGTTGGGAACCACTGCTCTAAATTGTCGACTGGTTTTCGATTTTTTGGTCGGGAATATATGCTAACAAAATAGGCTTAATAGAGAACTAAAAATCGAATGAGGAATCTATCAATCTTGGTTGGCTATGCCTGATAACTAAATATCAACGTAATGGCCGAACAACATAATTCCTGGCGGGTTTTATTTTGCAGCCAGCTTAACCAGTAAAAATGCTGCCTATATGTCAGAAAATTTAGTAATTACTGTCTCAACTTTGATAAAATTCGGTAATCAAACAATCTGCGGTTATTTTGTAAACATGAGTTTGAAAAGAAAGCTGACCAATTCAATCAGATGTTTGACTGGATATGGGAGAGAAACTACCACAATGCTTGCTTAATATGTCTGTAAGTTGTGTCGGTGACAATCTAAAACGACTTTTTGTCCGTTATGAAGAGTTTGAAATCTTACACTAAATGTAGATATAGTAAAATTTTGCACGTTCTAGTGAGTTTTTTGGTGGTTTTGGCATGTTTTAGCTTGATAAATTACAAATAATGATCGATGTGTTTGGACAATAAAATTTTTTGTTTTGTATTGCAATGTTCAAGGATTCTTGGCATTATTGTGGCCCGCGAACAATACAAAAATGATAGTGTGGCCCGCGAAGCCGTCATCTTTGGACCACCCAGCCCTAAACCAATCATTTTGTTAATATATTGTAAACATGTTTCTATGATAAAACAAGAGTAACAGTAAATAATAAAATTCCATGCCTAGTGGTAATATATTTGGACCTAATTTCTTAATTATTCGGTAATTACAATCAAAGAATATATGCCATGTTTTGTATTCTATATGACTATGCCAAAACGTGCTGGTACTGTTCTGCCATAATAAAAAAATGTAGCCCCGCCAAAAACAATAATCTTTTTAAATTTTTCAAAAGTATCCACGATAGGGCGTGAAATGTTTTCTGGTATTTTATACTCTACGTACGCAACCTATTCCGAGTGTATTAAACTACGTTATTGATGTATGAAAAAGTAAAAAAGATAATTGAGAGATAATTTTTGTCATTCATCACTAATTATTTTTGATAGACAATAACCATGCGGAACATAAGGAATTTCTCGTCATTTTTGCAAAAAAATCTTCAATATGACAGAATCAACACGTGATTATTGTAAGAAATGATTTTTTCACATCTAAATCTTTAACAGAGTATGTTTAAAATACAATTTCAAAGCATATAGTAAAACTAACTCTGGTTCTCAGCTAAGCAAGTAAGTCTATAGTCCTTACCATTTACCGGTACCGAAATGCATGCGACAAGTCATGCCTATCAGTCTCATTAGCCGACTTTTCTGAAATTTAAAATTTTGCAGCAACAACAATCACTCAAAAACAAAAATTTCGCTAAACGATACATTGTCCCACTTGTTCCGTATCCAATAATATATCGTATATTGCGACTTCATACTGGCTCTGAGACTGGCAGGCACAAGTTTATGTTAATCGATAACACACGAAATATGACGAAACACTAAAATTATCTATAGATTAAAATCAATCGAAAAGATAGCAAATAAATTTAAGATTTCTGGTTTTTCTGTTGTGATAACCGGCGAGTTTCGATGGCACTGCTAATCATACATAACCGGTGGTATATATATATACTTAGATTACATTATTTGACGGTTGGGAAATTGCAGGAAGCCTACCTAACGGCGGGAGCCTACAGTTTAACTTGGCTGCTCACATGCAACCAAGGCAATTCAATCTTGATATTTAACCTTTAAATTATAAAACTTTTAAATCTGATAAAAAAAAAACAGTTTTGTGTGTGTCATTCTAGAGAGGGACCAAAGTAGTGTAATCCAAAGTTTATGGTAATCCGGGAAGACAAAAAACAACATAATCATTCGTCGAACTGATCCGCTAGGCTGGATCACTTAAATGGGTCCACGGTTTTCAATTAAATTGTCAAAATATAGGCGTCCGTGGTACCGAAAAGGTGTTGAACCACTAACCTAAAATATCATTTGTCGGAATTGTTATAGAAAACAAATGTACAGGGTGGGGCAAAAAATCTTCCATATCTTATCAATTCATATATAAATTGATTTCGTCTATTCCCAATCCAGTTTGATGATGAATGGATATGGTTTTTTGCTCTCAGCATATGGACTTTGTCAGATATATCGCTCGAGATCAAAATCGGAATTCTCTGTAGGCAAGGCAGGCTGAAGCCCAGGTCTTTAAATTCCGTGACAACCTCGACATTCAATTTTGAACTGACATACAGTTTTGTAGCAATGAGTGGCACCAGTTTGGCCAATCTTTCGTTGTTCTATCAGAGTCTTCAGTGAATAAGTAAGTTTGAGGAATATAATAGTTTACTATTTCTAAAGC